GTTGCGATGTTTGTCTATGACCGGTGTTTGTGTGTGTGTGTGTGTGTGTGTGTGTCCATGGGAACCACGTGCAGCAGCAGCAGTAATCGTTACAGAATTTAAGAGAAAAAAAAATCGGGTCCTCATACCTCTTCCTATGTATAATGGAAAAAATCCATATGTTCAAAATTCGAATATATGTTTGCATAAAGCGAATGAATGAAAAAAAAAAAAAATTTGGGGCCACCACCACCACCAACACCACAATCCAAAAGGTTTTTATGCAAACAACAAAACCTGAAAAAGAAACCTGGTCAAAAAGTCACTCGATGCCACTTTTCACACACACATACACACACACACACACAAAACATATTGGACAATACAAATAGATAGATAGTTAATGTTAAGAAGAGAGAATAGACCTAGATAGATAGATAGATAGATCCAGGTGATGCTTCAAGATTTTCAAATTTTTTTTTCTTCTATCTCGCTCGTTCTCTTATTCCTCAAACCATTTTTGAGATTATTATTTACATAAGCCAATGATGATGATGTGTGTGTGTGTGTGTGTGTGGCAACCAAGTGTCTTTTTTTTTTTCATTCTCTCTATGGACGTTGCTTAGTTTTTTTTTTTTTTTGTTTTGTTTGATATGTGATGATGATGTTTGCATAAGCGTTTTTTTTCTGTTTGTTGGTTGAATTTTTTTTTCTTTTTTTGACTATCTATCTATATATATATAATGTATGTATTGTCAATGGCGTGATGATGATGATGATGATGATGGTTTATAACTTTCTCAGCAAGTTGGGTTTATTGGTTCTCTCTCTCTCTCTTAAACGTTCAGCTAGCTGTGTGTGTGTGTGTGTATGTTTAACTAAGCAAGCTTTATTATAATGTAGATGGCTAATCAAATATCATCATCTTGTTGTTGTTGTTGTTGTTGGTTTTCTCTCTCTCTCATTTTTAGTTTCGATTGACGGTTGATTGTCATTTCCTTTCTCTCTAATAGCAGCGAAAACCCAATATATTTCCATTATTAACTGGTGATGATGATGAGAAAAACTATATGAACCGCATTCATTTTATAGATGGAAAGAAAAATTTTGGTCTCCCCCCCCTACCCACAAAAAAAGTATGGATAATGCAATTATCAAAATATAAAAATCACATTGACAATTGTGGTTTCTTTTCACTCATCATCATCTTTCTACCACCACCAACACCCCCTTTCCTTTATCCATCAATGATGGAAAAAAAGACGAAAAACTTTATGTAAACACCATGCACACACACACACCTCCCCCTTTATTTTTTTCTGGTTACCACCTCTCTCTATGTGTATGGTACAAATTTAGCCAATATATTGTCAATACATAATGGTAGAAAAATTATTTTTGTCAGATAAAATCAATGGTGATAAGAGAGCCTAAATGGCTAATATCTTGAATTCATTGCTATACACACATACACACAGATGTTCATCTTTATCTTTTATTTTTCTACAATAACAATAGCCAGACACCAGTGTGTGTGTGTGTGTGTGTGTGTGTGTGCAATATTTGAACATTTTTTTCGTATTTAGCGATCTTTGATCTATGATCATCATACACACACACACACACCCAACAATTTTAGCTAATGTCAAAGTTCAATGATTTTTTTTTTTTGCAATCTATTTATATATTGTATATGACCACACAAATTTATATTGACCCGAAAAATGTACAAAAATTGGTAATGTCACCATCATCATCATCATCATCATTATCAAAGATCGAAAGTTGATTTTGGTTTTGTTTGAACAAAACCAAACAAAAATTCACTCTATAATCAATATATAAATAAATAGAGATAAAGAGAGCGCGAATGAAAAAAAAAAGTCAAAGGAAGTTTACCTTACACACACACAGAGATATAGTTAATATCTATCTAATTTATCTGTCCAAATTTTTGTGCCTATAACTGCGTTTTGTTTTGTTTTTCTTGTGTGTGTGTGTGTCCATGTGTTTGTTTTTAGGGTTCGGTCATGCACAAATATATTTTTTTTTGTTATCAAACGAAAAGAAAAAACTTAATTCAATTAATCAATCAATCAATCGATGATAATGATCATCATTGAAAAAGAATTACCCGGAAAAACCAAAAGAGAGAGAGAGTGATCAATTATCAATCAATCAATCAATATCGATTTTTCCTCCTCTTCTTCTATTCGTCCATTGTTTTATTATGATGATGATGATGATGAATAATTAAAAATTTAAATCAATGGAAAAAAACGCGGTATTTCTTGTAAACTTTTTTTTCTTTTTCACTGACTTTTCGTTTCAACAACAGCAAATATATAATTGTCTTTCAATCTATCAATATTTGTGTGTGTATTTAATAAGTGTATTATTTATATATATAAGTGTAGTATGTGTGTTTAATTAAATCTGTTTGCTCCCGTGTATGACTACAACAACAACAACAACAATAATAATGATAAATATTTACCAATTAGCGTTTTTTCATCATCATCATCATCATCATCATCTTCATCTTCTTCATTTTTTGATATTTGTCTTTACAGAACATAAATACACACACACACACACACACACTTTTAATATTTGATTAATGCAAATATTAACTCAAGGTATTTGCCTATCATCATCATCATCATCATCATCAAAATCTAAACATTTATCTTTGGCTATATATACACAACTGCTATTTATACATCACATATACACACACACAGTGAAGATGATGATATTATGAAAATAGATCTAGGATTTGATTTTTGATATAAATATATGGTTTATATAGAATTGAGTGCAAATTGAGTTTTTTTTTCATTTATTTACATCAATCACACAACCCTCTCTTTTTCTTCTTATTCTTGCTTGTATAGCACTTGAAAATGGAAAATAAATAAAAGAAAAATCTTAATGAAATTGAAAACAAAAAAAAAAAACAAAAACAAAACAAAACAAAACTTGAAGCTAATTTTATTTGTCAAGTGTGTGTGTGTGTGTTTGTTTGTTTGTTTGTGTTATTATTATTTGATGATGAGCAAAGTCAATCAAGTTGTTGTCATTGTCGTTGTCGTTGCTTTTGTTTTGATTTTTAATAACAGGTGTCAATGTATGATTTGATAATCACTTAAATCAATCAATGTGTTTAGCAATGATCTTGATTGAAACTGTCTTTTTTTTTAATTTTCTGGTAGTGGTAAACACGTGTTATGTTGGAGTGACGATTTTTTTTTTTTTTGATCTGATGGATTTGATCGGTGTGTATCTTGAAAAACATCCAAAATCACAACGTTGTGCAAAAGAAAAAAAAATCTCAGATTGTCATCTCGGCTTGTGTGACTGGTGTGTGTGTGTGTGTGTTTGTTAATCCCGTGGAAGAAAAAATTTTTTCCCAATGAATAGAGAGATTCTTCGTTAATTCCATATAGATTCTGTTTTCATTCATTAAGTGGCGTGTGACATTCACCATCTGATTATCATCATCGTCATCATTTTGTTTGACTGATGTTGAACACCAAACAAGATCAAATCACCATCACCATTTTGTTTTTCTTTTTCTTTTCGATATAATTAATTTTCATCATCATCGAAAAAAAAACATCCCAAAAATCGAAAATTCAGTTAATTCGTATCCAGAACAAATTCCGAAAAAGATCCGGTTAATATTTTTTTTTTGCACCAAACAATAGTGCAAGAGAACAAAAAAAAAATTTAATGATCCACTGACATTTGTTTATCGGATAGAACAAAAAAAATTTTTAATTTTATAATCCGGTTATTAATTTTCCATCATCATCATCATCATCGTCGTCGTAGTCGTCGTCGTCGTCGTCGAAATTCACCATGTCAGATTAAATTAATTAAAAACAAAACACACACACACACACCCGTTATAAATGAATGGCCAAAAAAAAAAAAAATTGAAAAACGAAAAATATCACCATTATAAGCTCCTATAGAAAAGATAACCGAAAACGTTTTTTATCAACAAAAGTCCAGATCCAACAGCAGCAAATGATGATGATGATTAACACTTCGGAAAACGTGCTCGAAAATATTGAACAACGATTAAAAAAAAAAAAAAAAGAAAATTTCAATGCTGTTTTCACCATTTTGGAATTATTTTTTCTTTCTTTCTTTCCAATTACAATTGGCCATATTTTATGATGTTGATGTGATACTTTACCACATCATCATTTTGTACAGTCAGATAGATAAATAGACAGATAGGATTATCATCATTTGTTGTTGTTTTTCGATTATTTATTTTTTTTGTTGTGAAAAAAAATTTCAAAAAAAAATTCAAAACCGAAATCCTATCGCCATCTGGTGGTCGAAAATTTGATCAAAATGAAAATTCGAATAATTTTTTTTTTTAGTTGCCCCAAATTTTCTTTTTTGTCTCTCATTCTTCATTCAAGATAATACGGTACATTCAGTACTTCAGTACATAAATGATGATCATTCAAACATGGATGACATTATCTTGACATTTATAATTAAAAAAATGAATGAAAATTTAAATCATATCTCTATTATTGATTATTCGGAAATCCTGTGATTGTGTATGTGTGTGTGTTCGTGTGAATGTACTTTTTGTTTTGTTTATCAATTTTGATTTTCAATTTGATTTTTTTTAAAACATCCAAAAATATTGACGATGGAAATTTTGTTTTTTTTTTTTGACAAAAACAATTAAACCAAAAAAAACAGTGCCCGAAAATTTAAAATAAATGACATTTGTCGAACATGTACAACAAAAAACTTGGCGATGAAAATGTTTGTATGCTATAAATATTGGCTAATAGCCGCTGCCAACAACAAGACGATGATTTTTTTTTTTTTTTGGTGGTGAAGAGGAGCGTGTTGTTGTTGTTGTTAACCGACCGGTTGGTTGATGAAAAAAACAACAAAAAAACAACAAATGAGCAAATGTTTTGTTCGGTGAAGAAAAATGAAAAAAAAAACAAAAACAACAACAAAATAAATAAATAAAATTCCTTTGAAGAACATTTACCCTGAATGTGAATTTTGAATATTCAAGTCGAAAAAGTTGTTAATTTTTTTGTTTTATTCATTCAAGGTCGTCATTAAAAGTCGACAATTGTATATGCATTTAAATGTGACTTTTTGATTATTTCGTGTTCTCGATGTCGGTTGGTGTGGTTGATGCGAAAAATAGATTTCGACAATAATCAACACACACACACATTTATAATCATCATCCAGTTGATGATAAACATTTTGTAATCATCATTTTGTTTGTTTGTTTGTTTGAGGAGAGAGAGAGAGAGGGAGAAAAATCTCGGTTATTATATAAGACCGTCGTGGTTGTGAATACCGATTTTTTTTTTTTTCGTTTTCATTGAAATTTGCAAATTTTTTTCTCTCGTTTTTTTCAAAAAAAAATTATAATGGCCACCGTTTCACAAAGTGATCTTGAACGTCGTAAACAGATTAGTGTTCGAAATATTGCTACCGGTATGTATTGATGTTTGAATTTGGCATTTTAATTTTCTAATTTCCATTTTTCCAAATATTCCAGTCGGCAATGTTATCGAATTTAAACAGGCATTCAATCGTCATCTACATTACACATTGGTCAAAGATCGTATCGTATCGACACCAAGAGATTTTTTTCTTGCATTAGCACATAGTGTACGTGATCATTTAACATCACGTTGGATTCGTACACAACAAAATTATTATGAAAAAGATCCAAAAGTAAGTATTCAAATGATGTTTGTTGATCGATGATTTGTTAATCTCATGTTTATTATCAAATGTTTTAGCGTGTTTATTATTTATCATTGGAATATTATATGGGTAGATCATTGACCAATACAATGATCAATATTGGTATACAATCAGCATGTGATGAAGCATTATATCAAATGGGTTTGGATATTGAAGAATTGGAAGAAATCGAAGAAGATGCTGGCCTTGGTAATGGTGGTCTTGGACGTTTGGCCGCCTGTTTTCTGGATTCAATGGCAACACTAGGCATGGCTGGTTATGGTTATGGTTTACGTTATGAATATGGTATATTTGCTCAGAAAATTGTTAATGATGAACAAATTGAAGAACCAGATGATTGGCTTCGATTTGGTAATCCATGGGAAAAATCACGACCAGAATATTTGATTCCTGTTCATTTTTATGGCCGTGTCTTGCATGATGAATCTGGTGCACATTGGGTTGATACATCTGTGGTACAAGCTATGCCTTATGATAGTCCTATACCGGGATATCAGAATAATTACGTGAATACAATGCGTCTTTGGTGCGCTAAATCACCACATAATTTCAATCTGAAATTCTTTAATAATGGTGATTACATACAGGCTGTGATTGATCGAAATTATGCAGAAAACATAACCCGAGTTCTTTATCCAAATGATAATGTATTCGAAGGACGAGAACTGCGTCTAAAACAAGAATATTTTCTTTGTGCGGCCACCTTGCAAGATATTATACGACGATATCGCAAAACAAAAGTGGGTGAAAAAACTATCGAACGTAATTCATTTGATGAATTTCCCGATAAAGTTGCCATACAATTGAATGATACACATCCATCATTGGCAATACCAGAATTGATGCGTATATTTATGGATATCGAAAAAATGACCTGGGAAAAAGCCTGGAATATTTGTACGAAAGTTTTCGCCTACACTAATCATACGGTATTGCCAGAAGCATTGGAACGATGGTCTTGTGGCCTTTTAGGTCATGTTTTGCCACGTCATTTGGAAATTATTTTCGAAATCAATGCACGTCATTTGGCACGTGTCAGTGAATTATATCCAAATAATTTGGACAAATTGCGTAATCTTTCGTTGATCGAAGAAGGTGATGATAAAAAAGTTAATATGGCTAATTTAGCCGTAGTTGGTAGTCACAAAGTGAATGGTAAATTTTTTTTCCGTTTGACATTAATTTACACGATTAATTGAATTTTTTGTCTCGAAAATTTTAGGTGTTGCCGCCATCCATTCAGATATTATCAAGAAAACTGTATTCAAAGATTTCTATGAAATGACACCGGAAAAATTCACAAATAAAACAAATGGTATAACACCACGTAGATGGCTAAAATTATGTAATCCTGGACTGTCGGATATTATTAGCGATAAAATTGGTGACGATTGGGTCGTACATTTGGATCAGCTACAGCAATTGAAACAATTCATTAATGATCCAAATTTCATACGTGATATTCAACGTGTCAAACAGGAGAATAAAATGCGTTTGGCTAAAATTTTGAAAAAAGAATTGGATGTCGATGTTAATCCTTCATCACTGTTCGATATACAAGTGAAACGTTTACATGAATATAAACGACAATTGTTGAATTGTTTGCATATAATCACATTGTATAATCGTATCAAACGTGATCCAAATTTATCCATTGTGCCACGTACAATTATGGTATTTGTGTTTCATTAGATTTTTTTTCCCGAATTTTGTAACTATTATTAATCTTTCTCATTTCTAGATTGGCGGAAAAGCTGCACCCGGCTATCATATGGCCAAACAAATTATTCGTTTGATTAATAAAGTGGCCAAAGTGGTAAACAATGATCCTGTCGTTGGCAATAAACTTAAAGTTATATTTCTCGAGAATTATCGTGTTTCATTTGCCGAAAAAATTATACCGGCTGCTGATCTTAGTGAACAGATTTCCACTGCCGGTACTGAAGCATCTGGTACTGGTAATATGAAATTCATGGTAAATATAATTGAATTTGTTTCGTAAATTCAATGAATTCTAATCATCAATTTTTAATTCTAGTTGAATGGTGCACTTACAATCGGAACATTGGATGGTGCCAATGTTGAAATGATGGAAGAAATGGGCGAAGAGAATATTTTCATTTTTGGTATGAATGAACAAGAAGTTGGTGAACTACAACGTCGTGGCTACAATGCATGGGATTATTATAATTCAAATGTCGAACTTAAAACCACAATCGATCAGATTAATAATGGATTTTTTAGTCCACATGATCCAGATATGTTTAAAGATGTTGTCAACGTTTTGCTTAATCATGATCGTTTCTTTGTGTTTGCTGATTATCAATCATATGTTGAATGTCAGGAAAAAGTTTCAGAATTATATAAGGTAAAAATGTATTTGTTGCCACCATTGTTTTTCCTAATGATTATTATTATTATTATTTTACTGATCAGAATCCATTGGAATGGACACGTAAAACCATCTATAATATTGCATCATCTGGAAAATTTTCCAGTGATCGTACAATTGCTGAATATGCACGTGAAATATGGAATGTTGAACCTACGTTCGATAAATTACCTGATCCACATGAGACTACAAAACCGATTGAAAATGGTGATAAAATGAATGGAAAAAATTCATTTTGAATGCAAAAACAAAAAAAAATGAAATTTTTATTTGATTGATTTGAAGAGACAAGTTATGAACAAAGAAAAGAAAAAATTTTCCTGGCTACTACTCAATTGATTGATTAATAATCTATTGATTTTGTGTGGCTAAAAATTTCTGTCTTTTGGCCATCAATCGTTCCTTTTCTCGTATGGTAATATAACTTTCCAATTGACCATTATAACGTGCCATCAGATTGATACGAACTTGTTCACGGCTTTTACGATAATTCCATTTTTTCATATAATTTCTCCATCCTTTTTCCTTGGTATAATACATGGGTTTTAGATTTTGTTGTTCTTTGACTTTACCATCATGGATGAATATATCAAAATCAAGAATTTCGGTATCACCAATTTGTTCGTCCGTTCGACAACCACCTAAATTATCCGATGGTTTAGCTTTCAATATTGGATAATTACTGAACGATTCATTGATTTCCACAACATTCAAACGTTTTTCATCGGCCATTTGTTGAAATGTTTTCTGATTGATCAATCCCAATAAAAATGCTCGTGTTAGATTCAGATAATTACGTTCACTACCTTCCACTTTACAATGAATATCTTTGATACCGATTACATCACAAATACTACGTAGACATCGATGTGCGGATAAACCATAACCTGGTGGTTTTTTTTCAACAAAAACTTTTGTTGAACCAAAACGTGAATAAAAATCATGTAGAATTGTATCGTGATCCAATTCTACACGAAATAATCGTTGTCCGGCTTTATTTTTAGCATTACTGATTGCTGTACGTAAATCTTCGGATTTGGCTACAGCATAACCAACTAGACCATTACCATTTCCAGTGACAGCTAAAACTGAAATGGTTTTTGTTCGTCCAAAATTCGGTTTCATGTAGAAAACTGGTCTAACGACCAATAATCTCGTATCGAATCCCAGGAATTCTTCACCAGCAATCGGATCTGGTGGACCAATCCATTTGCCCAACAGTTTTGTACCGCTCCATCCACGTTCCAATGGATGTACATATGCTCGTTTTCTTTTCTCCATTTGGTCACGAATTTTTATCAAATTTTCCTTATAAGCAGGATCAGCCTTTAATTCTTTTATCTGCACAATTTCACTACCTTTCATAACAGGTGCATTGAGTCCGGGCCAAAGAAAATGTTTTTCCCGACACCCATAATTTGTCCTCTATTTAGATCTTTGAACATTTTTCGATTTGCACCTCTACCTCGACCTCTTCGACGGCCGGCATTACTGACCGATAATAATCCTTTCCATATCTGTTCACCGGAATCTAGATTAAATGAAAATCAATTACATATTTCTCGAAATCATTTAAGTTACAAACTTCGTGTGAAAAAGCTTGATGAATTTCTCCACTGTTGATGATTGCTGGCCAGATTTTGTAAGTCAAAACATTTTGCTGTGGACAAAATTGATTGATAAGAATTCAAGTGCAATGAATTCGTAACGAAATGTCGAGAATATTGAATAATTTTCAGCATCATTTTTGAATTTTTTTAAATTCAATTTAGAACATGTGACGAAAAAAAACATTTGCGTAACGTTGTCTATGAAGAATGACGAATTGAAAACATGTGTGCATTATGATTGAAATTGAATTCGATTTGATATCAATTTTTGTTCTCCAATTATTAAAATTAAAATAATGTGATGATTAAAGAAAAATAACGTGAAAAAGATGGCAAAATCAAATACATTATTAAAATATGGTGTTCCGTTTCTGGTATTTTGTAATCATGATGATGATGATAATTGCCTTTGCCAAATAATCAAAACGTTTTTTTTTTCGTTTTGTTTCAAACAGAGTTTCATGGTGTTAGGATCATTTTTACTTCGTGAATTTACATCGATCCGTTATGAAGTGTATAATTATCGTAGACGTTATGTGGTTAGTTTTTTTGTTTTATTGAGTCCTGTTATCCATTTTTTTTCTACATTGCTTTACAAATAATTCCATTTCTCAACTTTGTCTTTTTTCTTCTGTTGAAAATACAGGGAACTAAACGTCGAGATCTAGATTATGTTGATGATGATGAAAAATCTGATGAAGTGACTACCACCACCGCCGCCGCCAACAACGATAATGAAACTTTGAAAGAATTAATTGAATTAGGCCGAAATGATGAATGGAAAAATGTTCGTGGTCCAAGACCATGGGAAGATAATCGTGAATATAAAGAAATGGTTGATAAAGTTGTAAACAAAAAAACCACAACAGCAACAACAACAAAATCAATATAGATTAAAGGAATAAATTTTTAGTCAAACAACAAAAAAAAAAAAAAATTTTTCACAAAAATTATGATTTATAATTTGCAATTTTTTTTGCAAGAAAATCATCATCATCAAAAAATTCCGATCCACTGAAATCATCATCAACATAATTTTGATGAACGAAACAAAACGAAACGAGAAAAAAAATTATGCTGTTGTCGTGTCGTTGAATCCACACGATACTTTATTGGGCCATTCTTCATTGCCATCACCAATAATGGTATTGAACTTACAAAATGAATGATGGAAAGGCCCATCACACTTACGTTCTGCACACACACACACATATTGGTGACTTATGTGTGTGTGTGTGTATATGCAGAAAAACGAAAACAAAAATCGTGACTTTTTGTCTATCGAATTTTTAAAAAAAAATTACCTATCAGGTATTTTCACATTTTGTTGTCCGGTATGCGGATGATGATGATGATGATAAAAAGTAGTTTTGGTAAAAGTTTTTTCATTTCGTTTGTCGTGAATAAACGAAAACGAAAAGAAAAAACTTTCGCTGTGAATATCTTAACACAAACACCATGCACAACAATCATTATCATCATCATCGTCGTCGTATATGGCTAATCGGTATTGTTCATCATCATCATCATCATCAATGGCTGTTGTTGTACGATGTGTGTAATTAGAGGAAGCTATGTGTGTTTTTGTTTGTCCAAAAAAAAAATCTGGGAGAAAGAAAACAAAAAAGAATGAATGAATGAATGAATGCTCTACAACGATCATCATCATATACAATCCATTGTAATATTCGATAGTTTGCATAGTTTTTCTTCATCGTTGTTGTTGTTGTTGTTGTTATGGTGTCTCCATGATGATGATACTTATAAAAGATGATGATGATGATAATGTGTGTGTGTTTTTTTTGAAACAAATTTGATATTTTTTTCGCTTTCTTTCGATACAAAATTTTCTTTTTTTTTTTTGTTCGAATGTTTTTTTTATTGGCCACCGTTGTTTGTCATCATCATCATCATCATTATTGTTTCGATGTTTTCGATGATGTATCTTCTTCACCATTCGTTCAAAATAGCTTATTGTCTTGTGAATGAAATAACAGCAACAAAAAAAAAAAAAAATTCATAATTTTCTTCACAAGGAAAAAAAATTGGGCCATTCAAATTGGTTTGTGTGTTTCATTTTCATTTTCTTCATTTTATGAAAAATAAAAGTTTGTGTCTTTCTGTTTGAAAAAAAGCATCATCGTCGTTTTTTTTTTTTTTTTATTCGATTGAATGGTTTAAAATTAGCATTCATTTTCGATATATCTGATCAAGATTTTTTTAAAATCTTTTTTTTTCTGCTTACACACACCACTTACACAAACATTATCTTGATTTTTTTATCGTTCATTTTTTTTTTTTACTGTGAAAGAAACAAAACAAAACAGGCTGATCGATGCAAATTACGTTATTTTTGAATTAATCACCGGATTCGCTTTCGAATGTTTTCTTTCGCTCACTCTCTGAGTGTAAATAAAATCAATCGAAAAATGATTTGCTGATTTTACTAAATTAAGTTAGTCGGTCATCATTAGTCGACTTAATTTCGGGGAATTTTTTTTATTATTCATCCGAAATCCCGATTTAATTTTTTTCAATTATGCAAAAAAAAGGAAAAAAAACCACCAAATAAAGTTTTTTCAGTTTCAATTTTTTTTCCACCCGTATACATCAAATGACTAACTAGTTTTCATCATCTTCATCATCATCAACTTCACTGGTTTGTCTTGTTATTAACCGATGATGATCGACTAACTTGCTGCTGCTGCTGCTACTTCTTCGTCTTTTTTCGTCTTCTTCAAAAAACGACCACGAAAAAAGTTTTTTTTTCTTTGAGAGCCATTTGTTTCCATTCCATCTACCTGGCCTTTTACCTGACATCGGGCATCTGTTGTTTGTGTTGCCCATATCTAACAACAACATTTGGTAGGTCGTCACAATTTGTGTGTGTGTGTGTGTAGTTTTTTAAAGGTTATGACGAAGAAAAATGATCAATTGATTATCAAGAGCTTCGATGGTTGAACCCCCGAAACACCGAACAACATCAGTGGTATGTTGCTGCTGTTGCTGCTGCTGCTTTTAACCTTGGTCTGTCTATGTGTTTCAAGCGCAACTAGATTGACTTATTTTTGGCTACACTTTTCTTCTTTGAACTTCATTTCATTCATTCATTCATTTTGGTGGTTGTTTTCCAAAGATGAAGCTTGGCCGAATTTGACCATTTTGTCTCATTGAAACAGCAGCAATAGATTGAATGAAGCAGCAGGCGAAGCAGCAACAAACAACAACGACAACAACTATCAGCCAATCTAGATTGTGCCAAAATCTCGATTGTTGACCACCAAATGTTCTTATTATTTTAAAGTTTTCAAAAGTCGGTGTTTGCCTTGTATGTGTTTGCATTGTTTTTTCAACAGATTTTTTTTATTTTCTTCTTTTTTGTTAGTCACCATTTCAAAATGAATTAATGAAAATCAAATGTGAGCATTTCCGATTCGATCCATTGCCAGCTGTTTTTTTTTTTTCGAACGTTTCGAACGAACAATTCATTTTGTTCATCCACCATTGTGTAAAATCCAAGTTTCAAAAAATGAAAATGATTTCATCAAACAATCAATATTGGCCGAATAAAATGGCCATAAAAATATTGATAATTCTACCGATAATTCTACTGCAAGAAAATTCTATTATTTTTGGATCAGAAATTCCAATTACAACAAATGTCGATTCTACTGCCACTACTACTACTACTGCCGTTGTTGATCTCCATGAAAATATCTTCTCCTATTCACCATCATCATCAACATCATCGGCACCATCATCTATATCACCAGTTAATCATTGTCATCGTTGTATAAATGGTGGCCATTTATTATCATCATTGATCATACAGGAACAAAAATCCGATTGTATCAGTGGTCATTATTTTACATCTTTAAAAAATAATAATGATCGATGTGAATGTGATTTTATTTGTGCAAAAAAATCTGGACAAACTTGCTATAATCCATCATCATTGAATCGGAATATGAATAATAATTATAATGGTGGTGCTGGTTCTTCTAGTTTTAGTCATTGTGATCCTTATTTAAAATTATTTTGCAATCAAACATCCAAATTATGTGAAGGTAATCAATTATATTGAATGAAAATCAATCAACCAGACATGTTATAAATTCCAATTGACTATTGTGTGTTCACTGTTGTTTTAAATGTGTGTTTGTTTAATCCTAAAAATTTATTTTTTTTTTTTTTGGTTTTACAAATATAGGAAGTTTATCATTAATCATTGATCAAATACAAAATGATTCTATTCAAATTGAATGGAAATCATCATCGTCATCATCATCATTTTCGAATCAATTGAAATTGAATCGTAATCCAATAATAAATGAAATTCACATTACAAGATATGTGCCACAGCCATTAAAATTTCAATTTGAAAAAATTGATGTAAGTCATGTTTATTTGTTTTTTTTTGATTTTTTTTGCTCTTGATCTTTCCACTGTGAAAAACGACAAAGACACAGAGTCATATAGTTCATTTATTTTTCTTCTACTTTTTTTAGTCAAAGGTGACCGAAATTTCTGATGGACATTTTCGTACAAAAATTTTCGGACTAAAACCAAACACTATTTATTTGGTGAAAGTAATCAGTAATCATCGTGAAGAACTTTCAATCATCACCACAAGAGGTATGTGGTTATTTTTATGATTATCTTCATTCTCCCACTTCATACCTTGATAATTTATTTATAATCTTTTGGGGTGATAATTTTATTTTCCATCCACCATTTCGCTTCAATAAACATGATTGTTTTTTTTTTCGTTCTCATAGCCAATATTGTACCTGAAACATTACCAAAAGTATTAGTCACTTATCGTAATGCATCATCGATTACCATTGTTTTTGATGATTTTAAACCCGACACTGATTCAGGTTATGCTATACATTATCGACCAAACAGTGGTTTCATGCAACAACATAATCAATGGTTAATAATTAAATCAAATGGAACACCATTTTTCACGTTAACCGGCTTGAAACCACAATCACATTATATGATACAAGTGTTTACATGGAGTGAATTGGATCATAAACAAACACTTAGTTCAGAAATAATTGAAACCAGTACCACGAAGGGTTGTCTATTTCGTAATCGTTCATTTGAATTGAATGAAACAATATTGAATGATTGCGAACAAACCTGTGAATGTGTTGATGGTAGTGTCAATTGCCGTAAACGGTAAGTCTGATTTGAAAAAAAATTTTCCGATTCACACACACACATTGACTAATCTAAACGATATTTCTTTTTCTCTTAATCATCCTAATTGATCTATGATTTTTTCTTTTCTTCTACGGCAAAAAAACCAATGTAGCTGTGTAGCACCATATTTATCTGTGAATGAAGCAAAGAAAATCAATCTCAAATGTACATTCGTTGATGATGATGATAATGATAAATGCTGTTTACAATGTATTAATTCGAATGGTGATCATCATCAAATATCATCATCACCATCATCATTTTTATTGGAACGTGAAACACAATCTACACAATTCATTGGTAAACCTGGAATCTGTCCAACAAATCCATCGATTATTCATGGTGCTGATAATCATACAACTTGTATGAATGAATGTACACATGATTATCATTGTACTGGTGTGAATAAATGTTGTAAAAATTATTGTGGTCTGTTATCATGTCAAATACCGGTCAAACTTTATAATCATAATCAACAACATCAACATTCGGCCACCATCAGTGCTAAAGTGATGAAGAATGATGGTGATGATGATGATGATGATGATTGTCCACTAAAATGTGACCCAAATTCTATATGTCGATATATTGAAAAAGAGTCTACTTATCGATGTATATGCCGTGACGATTACATTAACATGAAAGTTGATAAAATGAATGGCTGCCATCGTTATGATGATTATGTTAGTAATGGCAATGATGGTGATAGAAAACATTTATGCCATTTTCATAATAATAATAAAACCTATCAAATTGGACAAACATTCGAATATGATTGTCACATTTGTCAATGTTCAGAGGCATTAGAAATTGAATGTAAACGTAAATGTTTTGATTATCAATCAATCAATGACGATCAAATTGGTGCTAATTGCCATCTGGTGGAAGATTTATATGATCCAATTTGTTGTAAGAAAAAAATTTGTCATAATCAACAAAATCATCAAAATGAAACAACGAATATTCCATGTCATCATTCAAATCAAACATACAAAGTGAATGAAACATTCAATATTGGCTGTGAACTTAAATGTTTATGTCAAATGAATGGTCAAATTGAATGTCAACCACGTTGTTTTGATGATGATGATCATCATGGACATTATCATGAAATGTATTGTCATCTGCGTCCAGATCCAGATGATCCTGAATGTTGTAAAATATCAATTTGTGATTATAATAATTCCACTATTGATCAACATAAATTTTTGGTCGAAATGGCTGAATCAATAAATTCAACGTCGATTAAATTTCGTTTAGTATTTTTCAAAAATTTAAATCCAAATGAAAACATTACCATTTATTATGCCGAATTTATAAATCATCAAAATATAAATACAACAGCAACAACAACAACCGATGAATTGAAATATCAAAATGAAATTATCACCGATAAAATGATGACAATCGTGACGAATGATTCAAAAGAAATTGTATTGACACATTTGAAGCCTGAAACAGATTATTCAATTTATTTCCATTTTGGTAATGATACAAGTAATACGGTTATTGTTCGTACATTTCCTCCTGGTATTGATCATACATTTAAAGGTTGTTTTCATGGCAGTGATATCATTCAAGTTGGTGAAATATTCTATGATGGTGATTGTGAATTTAAATGTATCTGTAAAGAAGGTGGTATTCGTGATTGTATTGAACGTTGTCCATTGTTTGTTGATATGATTGGTGCAGAAAATTGCCAGATGATACAATCACCAGATGATTCTTGTTGTATGATACCGATTTGTGATGTACATCAATTAATTGGTCAATCAAATGATTCTAATGGTGGTTGTTTATTTGAAGATGGAAAATATTATCGTATTGGTGATCAATGGAATTATGGCCATGGATGTATGGAGAAAACTTGCAGTTGTATAATGAATAAAAATAATTTTACTGAAATTAAATGTAAAAATCATTGTCCAGAAATATTACCATCGGTATTGAAACCAAATGATGATTGTCCAAGTCCAAAACTTATCCAGACAAATGATCCATGTGCTTGTCCATATGTTGTTTGTGCAAATAATATAAATCGTAAGTTTGTTTGAAATTTTTGTTTAAAATTTCTCTAAATTTCATCTAAATTTAGCATTAGATATGCCTGATTTGAAAACATTATCGCTGACGAAAAACATGGCAGTGGCAAATAAAAATTATTGTGAATTCAAAGGAAATAAAATTGGAATCGGTGAAGAATTCTATGATAGTTGTCGAGCGGTTTGTGTTTGTAGCATGAATGCTACGTTTGATTGTCATCCGATTCAATGTAATCATAATAATTTTGGTCCACATACAACGAAATGTTTGGAATGGGAAATTGATCCATTGTTTGTGCCAAGGCCGCCGAATTGTTGTCCCGAACCGAAATGCAAAAATGGTAATTCTATATCCTGTGAATATATTGCCCAAAATTTGATGCATTTCATTTTTTTTTTGCTTTTTTCTAGATGGTTCATGTTCCTATGCTGGAATAAGATTTCCAAATTATCAAATTATACCACAGGAATTATTACCATGTCATAAACGTTGTATGTGCGATAATGGTAATGTTCGTTGTAAAGATATTTGTCCAGATATCGCGGATGAACCACCATTAGGTTTACCTTGCCCATCATCATTAGCATTTCGTGGCCATTTACCCGGTGATGATTGTTGTATTCATTGGCAATGTCGTGAACAATATAATCGTGATAAAATTTGTAAGTTTTTTTTAAATCGAAATGAGAAAATAATAATAATTGATTTTAAAATACAAAATTAATTGATCAAATTTCATAGATGGAAAATGTTCCTATAATGATAAAATTTATAAATTGGGTGAATACTGGAATGATGATGAAACTGAAATACATCGACGTTGTCAATGTAAAATTACCAATGGCATATTGCATGTTGTTTGTGATCCAGGCCTATGTCAACCGATTACAGAAAGATTTCTGGAACCAACAGCTGAATGTAAAACACCAACAGTAGTTACACCAAAAGATGCTATAATTTGTCCATATGTCATTTGTAATAATACTGGTACATATGGTGATGATTTGGATCAAATGGATATTGTTGCCATCAATGCTACATCTGCTCGAATACGTTTCACGATACCATCGATTTATGTTGGTCTTTTGGGACATGCTGAAGTTCATTATACTACCGATATAAATATACCGAGAAATAAATGGAATATACAGAAATTTGCTCGGCCCAAACGTCTATTTGATATACCAAATATTGAATATCATTTGGGTAATTTGCAACCAAATACCAATTATTTTCTACAGATTGAAATTATTATTGAATCACTTAAAACTGGTCCGATAAGTGAAATATATAAAATTTATCTACCACCATTACCAGTGAAAACAACGACGACAACAACAACGACAACCAGTACATTACCGCCTGTCATTATGTTAGATATGAATATAACGGCTGCAATTATCGATCATAATGCTATACGTATTTCATGGCGTCCATTCACGATACAAGAGAAAAAATTTATTGATGGTTTACAAGTTCGTTATAGAAAATCTGACAACAGAAACAACAACAACAACAACAATGATGATGATGATGATAATGTTTGGTTTAGTAGTCAAACATTACATCGTGATACTACATTCTATATTCTCAATAAATTAGAATCCTCAACTGCTTATCTAATTGATTTACATTTCAAATCGATCGATCAAATTAGTGCCAATATAATATCATCGAAACCATTGTTGATTGAAACACCGCCAACGGCATTGGATGATTATCATTTTGATTTTCATATATTTCCTGATGATGTCACAATCGGTAGCGATGGTAATGGTGATAATGCTGGTGGCCGTATCAATATTGGACTTAGAAATCTACCAAAACCAATCAATAAATTTGTCAATGTTGCAAGAATTCATTATCAAAATGTTAAAACTATGGAATCATATTATAATTATGTTAATGTTGATGATGATGAAATTGGAAAAATATCATTTTCAAGTCTTTTACCCAATACAAGGTATGTGCTTGTTATTTTCACATAATTCAATTTGATTGATTGATTCGATAAAACGTTTTCTCTCTCTCTCTCTGCTCCTTCCTACATCGTTGGCTGCTGTCATCATCGACAATTTTTGCCAATGGCCAATACAGATATAAACTATGGATCGATTTATATTTAACAAATGGACAAGTGGTCACATCAAATACCATTGACCTTATTACAAATTTCGATGCAAATCCTTTTAAAGGTATGTCACACACATGCACACCAAAAGCAGGTCTTTAACTTGAACCAAATGAAATTTTTTTTTTTTTCAAAACTTGATAAAAATCTCTAGATAAAAATAGCGCCTTATCATTGGTGAATAATACAACATCCAGATATATGTTTGGTTTGACTATACTTTCGATATTTATGTTCACGGCCGGTACAATTTTCTTTGTTATCACTTGTATCTGTTTAAGGCGTCATTCAACTGCTGCTATTACTCGTGGTGGCGGTGATGGTAATGTTTGTATAACGGAAGCAGCATATGATAATCCTACATATAAGGTAAGTAAAAGATTACTTAACTTTTTTTTCGACACCATTTTTACCAACATGTGACTTTTTTATTTTACAATTCATTTTTAGACATTTGAAATGAAACCAGATACGAAAAGTATTATTAACCATGAAGATCATCATTCATTATCAGCAGCAGTAGCAGCGGCAGCAGCAGCAGCAACAACAACAATGACAACAATAAATACGGCAAAAACTACAAATGGTTGTAGTGTAGTTGTATGTCCCTAAAAAAAATGATAATTATCATTATCATCATGACCTCATTATCATCATCATTATCATAACGAAATTCTCACCTAGTTTTTTTTCCTATTTTATTATTTGTCACAAATTTTGTATATTATTTCATCACAACATAATGATAATTGATTGATTGTAAATTTTGTTTTTTTTCCGGTGTGGATGATTTGATATGAATTAAAATGAAATAAAATTGAATTGAATTTTGAAAAAAAAATATTTTGAAACAATTTGAAATCAATGTCAGATATTCAGAATTTGTGGTTAGAATTTTAATTAATTTCAAAAAAGAATTGGCAAACAATTTCGGAATAAGAATTGTTAACGTTATCTATGAACACACATGCACTCAAACAAGATTGGCTGCTTAAATATTACGATAATCGACACTGTAAAAAAAAAATTCGAATAAAAATCGAATCATTATTTTTGTTTCATTCTTTGATAACTTTTGTGTGTTTGTGTGTTTTAACATGATTCGATCACAGCAATAGATTTATTTTTATTTGTTTTTGTTTTTGTGACATTTTATAAAATTGTCATTGTATAAAATGAAATAATTTCTATGATGATGATGAGTGAAAATGAGATTTTTTTTGTTCATTTCAAGAACAAAAATTCTATTATTAAATTTTTCATCATCATATTTAGCTTCGAAAACGCCACACACAAAGTCCAGATCTACAGCTCTATCATCATGACACATTAACAAAGACCAGCCAACCAGCAAGTCAAAGCCATTTTCAATTTTTTTCATGATTTAATACGATAAACGTGTAGAACACACAGTCCATATGGTGACACACAACATAACACCATTGAGAGACAATGCACAAATATCCATGTCCATTGTATTAGTGTGTAGTGTGTGTGTAGCAAGTGTCAACCGAAATTCTTGCCGAAAACTAAAAAAAAAAAAAAATTCTACTCTATAGAGTAAAGAATTTGTCTCATAGATTTCATTTAATGTGAATTCACTGTCTATGTTTTTGTTACCATCAATGACACATTCATGCCTGTGTTTAGTGTGTGTGTGTGTGTGTATATGAATCACAAATGAATCAAAACTTCTGTATACATCACATATAGTTGTTGTTGAAATAGTGGCCAAAGAATTTTCTGCATGTCGCGAATGTAATCTATCTCTTTATCATGGTTATGCGTTAGTTTTGGTGTGTGTGTGTGCGTGTCTGTGTTATTCTGATCTTGATTCTACTTCCTCACCCGTACATACATTCAATGTGTTTTTTTTTGCCAGTGAATTTTCATCATTTACTGTGTGTGTGTGTGTATGTGAAAATGTAGTTGTTTGGAGCCAACCATTACCAAACAGAATATATTGCTCAATTGCAAAAGAATTTCGGCGCATGTTTGAGTTGTTTGTTTTTATTATATGATATGTATGGTATAATGATTCTTCTATTCACCCAAAAATAATTCTTCACTCATCTCATATCACCACCATCAACTTGGTTATGATGAATACATAGAATGGAAAGAGAGAGATAGAAAAAAGTTTTGAATTGTCTATGATATGCTACATGCTGATGATGATGATGATGATGGTTGGTAGAACTCTACGACAAATTTTTTTTCTGTTGTTGTTTTTGTCTTGAAACAAACGATAAAAAAACTGGGCAAAAAAAATTTTTTTTTCTCCGTTACCCAAAAAGAAAACAGTGAACAAGAAAAAAATTTATAATTTTCAACTCTCTCTCTCTCTCTTTTCCTCTTTCTGATTCATTCATTCACTATAGATGACTTTTAGCGGAATTTTTTTATTCTTTATTCTTCGTTTGTCGTCGTCGTCGACATCGTTTGTTGTTTGTTATTACTAGACCATGTCTTGATTCAATAAAAGAGTGAGTGAAAGAAAATGAAAATTCCGAATTCTTGTCGTTGTCGTTGATGATGATTCTATGTTTTTGTCTCTGTGTGTGTGTGTGATTGATAATGTTTCCTTTTTTTCGTTGTCAAAATGATTATGATGGTGTTTGAATCAACTAGCCATATCGACCAAAAAAAAGACACATAACAAAATCTTGATTGTATTTTTTTTTCTTTTTTTTTGATTGAAATTATGCACTTTTATAGTGGGTGTTTTTCGTTTGTTTGTTTATATGTGTGATGACCGTGCCGTGTTATTTGAAATGATTAAATTGAATTACAAAACAACAGCAACCATTTGATATTTTCATCATCATCATCGTCAAGTCAGTCAGTCAATCTTATTTATTATTCATCGTGTTTTATCTGAAAAAGTCTCGTCTCATCTTTCAGTTGTCTGTTTTTTTGTTTTTGTTTTTGTTTTGTTTTCGTCATTCAATCATTCATTCAATTATTTTGAATCAATTGTAAATACTTTCATAAATGGAAATATTACAGATGTATGAGAGAATCATTGGGTAATTTTGTACAATTCAATTCTTTATTATTTGCATCATAATAACAGCAGCAGCAACAACAACAACAACAAGAAATCATGTGGTGAATCGTATCGATGTGATGATGATAAGTGAATGTTTGAATAGTCTTTTCTCTACAATCAATATGATTCAATCATCACCTATTGAACGAATTTGCTGAAATTCTTTGAATATTCGATCAGATCGATACAACAGCAGTAACAACAACAACTAACAACGATCAATAACAATAATAACAAAAACCAGAAAACTTGAATTGTAAATTAGAAAAAAAATCATTATTTCATTTTCATTCATTCGATTCAATTCTTTCTATCTGTCGATTTGTGTGTGTGTGTGTGTGTGTGTGTGTAAAACATTGAAAGAATTGGCATCACTTCAATGCAAATATTTTATTCTCTTCTTTTTTTTTTTTTCTCATCATTTCAACTCACACTCAACACACACAATTGTCTTTGATGGTTTTTTTTCTCATGGTGATATATACCCTTTTTTTCAAGCAAATAAAACAAAACAAAACAAAAAAAAAAAATGAAGAATGTTTATAATAATTGAATTGAATTGAAAAAACTGAAATTTTCAACAAACAATGAAAAACAATAAATAAATGCCATCATCATTACCATCATCAAAGATTATTAATGTCATCACTCTATTTTTTCCAGCAACAAAAAATTAGAGATAATTATTTATTCAAAAAAAAAAAAAACATAAAACATTTTTATTATCATCATCATCATCATTTAAATCTTTTCATTTGAATCAAAAAAAGTGCTATAAAAGTTAATTTCCGTTGTTGTTGTTGTGTTTTATTACTTTTTTTGAAAAAAAATTCTGATTTAAAAAAAACAAATTTCATTTTGTGCATCAATGCCAAAAACAAGATGATGATGATGATAATAATTTTTTTCTTGAAGAATTTGTTGTTTAAGAATTTTCATAATCATCAACATTATCGAAAATTTTTCGTTTCGTTTTTGTGCATTCTTCTTCTCTACTCGGCAATAGACTATTATCAATTTACCTGCCTCTATAATTTCCAAATCGAATGAATATAAATGAAATGCACATTCTTTTTGAATGAATAAAATGAAATGACGGTGAATAAATAAAAGAAAAAAAAATTGAAAATGTAAACTCATCATCATTGCTGAGAAAAAAAAGCCATCAATTCAAAGTTGTTTTTATTGTTGTTGTTGTTGTTGTAGAGATATTTGTCACTGCAACATCATCAACAACCACACTAAACCATTATCATCATCGTCATCATCATACGCCGACATATAATTATCACATCTCAATAACCGCATCCGTTTTTTTTCTTTTTCCTCATTCATTCATTCATTCATTCACATTTATTTATTTTCATTCCAAGTCATCTCTCGCAATATATTTGCATTGTTCTCGTTTTTTTCTCTTTCTCTCACAAATTCAAAGATTCTCCTCTTCATTTATATTATTTATATACTTTAACCACTCACACTCCCACCACTTACGATTTTTTTTTCACTTTGAAGATTCTGGAAAAAAAACCATACATACCAACACATGCCATTAGTGTTCTGTGTGTTTGTTTTGCACATTTTTTTCCACCGTTTTTATCATCATCATCATCATTGTCGTTGTTATTCTTTTGCCATATTGTTGCCTATTCTTGGTTAATAATAATAATACACTCACAAAGACACAACAGCCAACAGAATCGAAAGAATCTCACTTTTTATTCATTAGAATAAATATCAAAAATGCACTGGTTTATGATATCTATTCTCAATATCAATGATTTTTTTCTGTTTCCTATTCTTCAAAAATATGGCGATTTATAAAAAAGAATCCTCATAAATAATGATACGGATATTTTCAAATGTTCAATCCGTTGTTGCCTTTGATATGGTGATTATGTTTAAAATTATTATGATTTGTGTTTATCGTGATGGTGATGGTGGTGGTGGTGGTGGCGGTGGCGGTGGTTTTGAATGTCACACAAACATCACATTATAATGTAGAAAGAAAAATAAAAATGTGGCAAAAACATCAAATCGCAAATTATTCAACTATCGATACACAATTGTATCAATCCTGCACTAAACGTTTCAAATTTGGCACATTCAACTTTTAATTCTTTCATCAATTCAATCAAGTGCTACTAAATTTTCCACATCTCTTTTGTGTAAAAAAAATCAATTCTCATCAATCACCTTGATTAATTCGGAATTTTTTTTTTCATTGAGAAAAAAACATTTTTCAACTAAAAAGAAAAGAAAACATGATGGAAAAACAAATCCATTCGATTTTTGTATATATCTTCATCATCATCTACTGCCATTTAATCGGCCATGTTTTGTGTGGTGGTGGTCGTAATCATTCTGATGAAATAGAATTAGAACCAGGTAGCATCAGATGTTCACCTGGTCTAATCATACCGGTATGGGAACCTACCACAAATTTAGCATTAGGTGATATTATTGCCCGTGGTGTTATCTATTTCGTATTACTTGTCTATATGTTTGTTGGTGTTTCGATCATAGCGGATAAATTTATGGCCGCAATCGAAGTCATTACTTCACAAGAGAAACAAATTACAATCAAAAAGCCAAACCGTGAACCACAAGTAATTAGTGTACGTGTTTGGAATGAAACCGTATCGAATCTAACATTGATGGCATTAGGTTCATCTGCGCCGGAAATTTTACTTTCAATCATTGAAGTTTATGCTCAAGATTTTCAAGCCGGTGAACTTGGACCCGGTACTATTGTTGGTAGTGCAGCATTCAATATGTTTGTCATCATTGGTATTTGTGTGTTTTGTATACCAAATGGTGAATATAAGAAAATCAAACATTTACGTGTATTTTTTGTTACAATGATTTGGAGTGTTTTTGCCTATATTTGGCTTTGTTTAATATTAACATGGACTTCATATGGTGTGATTGAAATCTGGGAAGGTTTAGTTACATTTATGATGTTTCCAGCAACCGTATTAACAGCATATATTGCTGATCGTCGTCTTTTAGTTTATAAATATTTATCAAAAAAATATCGTATGAATAAACGCGGCATGATTGTCGGTGCAGAAGGTGAAGATATGGAAATGTCACAAACAAAAATGAATCATATCAATGATAATGGTTTCAAAACTTTTGAAGAAATTGATGAAGAAGCCAGAGAATTTGAAGAACATCGACAAGAATATATGCAAGTATTACGTGAGATAAGAAAAAAACATCCATCTGCATCGATGAATGAGATTGAAGTATTGGCACGGAATGAAATTATGAATCGTGGCCCAAAAAGCAGGGCTTTTTATCGTTTACAAGTAAGTTTTATTCAATTTTTTTTCTCGTTCAAAAAAATTATAAATGAGTGAATGAATTTACTTGCACTTGATTTTTTTTGTCATCTTTTCGACAAATATTTGTCTATTCGTTTAATTATTAATTATTGCTAGTTGATAAATATTGAAATTTGTCATTTTTTTAATTTAAAAAATTTTTTTGTTTCAAAAATTTTTCAAAAGGCAACACGAAAATTGACCGGTGGAAATGTGCTCAGTAAACGACGTGTTGAAAAGAAAAAAGAGATGAAAAAATCTACGAAAAAAGATGATAATACAATCAAAGTATTTTTTGATCCAGGCCATTATACTGTCATGGAAAATGTGGGACAATTTGCTGTTACCGTATCACGTGAAGGTGATCTTAATCATTCGATTTGTGTTGATTTTAAAACTGAAGACGGTACAGCAAATGCTGGTTCCGATTATGAAGCCGTTGAGGGTACGCTCATTTTTCGTAGTAGTGAAGCACATAAACAGGTAAATTGTGATGGATGTTTTGTTTGTAACAAGAAACTAAGTTTTTTTTCTCCATTTCTAATCAATCAAATCAATGTTTAGATTTATATAACCGTTATTGATGATGATGTATTTGAAGAAGATGAACATTTTTATGTCATATTAAGTAATCCAAGATTTTTAAGCCATGATAATTTAAATGGCATCAATCAAACTGCTGCTGGTAGCAGCAGTGGTGCGAATCAAAATTTACCCAAATTGCAATTAAGTACACCGGCTGTTGCTACCGTCATGATATTGGATGATGACCATTCGGGTGTATTTTCATTCTCTGAAGGACAATATGAAATATCCGAATCTGTTGGTGAATATCATCTAGAAGTTAGCCGTTATAGTGGTGCAAGAGGAAAAGTTATATTACCATATAAAACAACTGAAGGTACAGCTAAAGATGGTAATGATTTCGTGCAAACATCTGGACATATTGTATTTGAAGATAATCAAACATCGTTAGTATTAATCTATTGTTGTTATTACTATTGTCGATCAATCATCATCATATTATTAATTCGATTAATTTTTTCCCCAAAAAACAACCATCATCATCATGATCATCATTCATGAAAAAATAATAGGCAATATATTCCAATCAACATAATGGACAATGAAAGCTATGAAAAAGATGTAATATTCTATGTTGAACTTGGTGAACCAATCCGTGAAGAAGGTGCTTATTTAATATTGATGATAAAAATTTGATTATTTTCTCATATATTAATTCTATCAATTTCAATTTCTTCTTATTATTATTCTAAACATCAATATATTAAGATTTAAATGCCGATAATGATGATCGTGAAGCACAAACAGCAGCCGATGCTGATGAAATTGCATTGTTAGGAAAGCCAAAATTGGGTGAACTTTATAAATGCCAAATTCGTATCCATGAAAGTAAAGAATTTAAGGTATTACGATCTGATATATTGATGTGACAATGTTCTAATTAAATCTTAAATAAAATAAAATTAGAGTATGGTTGATAAACTTATTTCAAAAGCAAACACAAGCATAACGATTGGATCATCATCATGGAAAGAACAATTTATTGAAGCAATAACCGTTTCTGCAGGTTTGTTATTCATTGAAATTGATTTATTTTATTCGAATTTTAAAATTTTTCGCTATTTCATAGGAGATGATGATGATGATGATGAAAAAAAATACCCAACATGTTCAGATTATGTGATGCATTTTTTCACATTATTCTGGAAATTATTATTTGCATTCGTTCCGCCAACAGGTTTTTGTTTTATAATTTTTAAAAATTTTTTCTAACAATTTTAATTCTTTTACCCATAATATAGATTATATGAATGGATGGCTTTGTTTTGTTTGTTCGATTCTGATGATTGGAGTCCTAACGGCATTCATTGGTGATCTAGCATCACATTTTGGTTGTACCAGTGGAATTAAAGATACTGTAACAGCCATTTCATTTGTAGCATTGGGAACTAGTGTTCCAGGTATGTTGTATCAATTTACAATGGTTGTGAATGAATTGTTATTTTTCATACCAATATTTTATTTAGATACGTTCGCCAGTAAAGTGGCTGCTCAAAATGATAAATATGCCGATTCATCAATCGGTAATGTTACTGGCAGTAATGCTGTCAATGTTTTCCTTGGTATCGGTATTGCATGGACATTGGCTGCCTTTGTTAATGCATATAGAGGAAGAGAATTCCGTATCAATCCGGGTAGTTTAGCATATTCGGTTACATTATTTTGTGTATCAGCCGCATTCTGTTGCCTAATATTAATGATTCGACGACGAGCTGGTGGTGAGCTCGGTGGACCACTTATTTCAAAAACATTGACAACAATATTATTTGTCAGCATTTGGTTATTCTATATTCTAATGTCATGTTTAGAAGCATATGAAGTTATTCCGGGTTTTTGAAAACAAAAACAAAAAGCCAAAATTATTTTTTATTTCAAGAAAAAACGGCGCTATACATATACATCAAGACATTATTCAAGGGTATCAAGAAAACAAATGACGGAACAAAAAAAAAACAACAACAAAAACTTTAATTATATCAAGTTCGTCCACTGAATGAAGATTTCGTCGAAATGTGTGTATGTTGTGATCATTTGAAGAAAAGGCCAACCATTTTGATCCGTTAAAATTAATTCGTTTCGATTTTTTTCTTGTGAATTCAATTTGTAAATGCCAATTCTATTTCTTGAAAAAAGTGAATTATCTCCTAGCAGATAACAATAATAACGCCCTATTAACTTGCCAAAAAAAAACAGAAGAAAACTACATTGAAATTGAAACCAACAACGACCATCGACAATTATCGATTTCTCATGTGTAAATATACAAACAATAACATTACAAAACAAAACAAAACAAATACTTTCATCCTATCCCTATTTATTTATTCCTTTTCTTTCTTAAAAAAGTTTAGTCTATTTTCTTGTCTTGTTTTTTCGGTTTGTCCAATTCTGACAATTTTAAATTTTTAATAGTTGAAAAATTTTATTTTCAATTGTCTTGTGTATAATTACACAACCAACAATTTCTCTCTTTCTGATCGATAGTGATTCTCTCTCAATCAATCTCTTCTAAAAAAAAAAATCTGATTTGTCCATAATTTTTTCCCTTTATCTGTTTTCGTGAACGCTATTCTAGTGTTTTTTCTTTGCAATTAGATCCTATTCCTTTTTCCCGTATACTCGCTCGGGAATTTCTTTTTTTATTCGAATTTGTTTTCATCTCCGCCCAATCGATTCATTCATTAATCTTAGCTAGACAATTTATTTGAAATGAAAACGAAAATTCTTTATCAACATCGAAAAGGCTTTACCTCTTAGCCGTTTCGATAAAATAGTTTTAATTCAATTCTTTATTAGCCAAATTAAAATTTAAAAAAAACGAATCGAATATTTATTCTATTACACATTACATGCATAATACACAAAAAGATGAAAAACAAAAAAAAAGACAAAAGAGAATATGTTTGACAAACCGAGAAACATTTGGCCTTATCATCAATTGTTATAATATAATATATTGATCGTTATTGTTAATTCATTCGTTCGTCGTCGTCGTCGTCGTTGTCGTTTATTTTTTTGAACAAAAAAAAAATTTGTTAAAATCGATATATGTTATTGTACCATTATTATTATCATTGTTGTTGTTGTTGTTTTTAAAATGGATTGTTTTTAATTATCATTTCTATTGTATTTTTTTCTGGGATTGTAGAAATTTGTTTTTTCCTTTTTCTCTTTTTTTTCTAATCATCTTCATTTGAAATTCAAATTCATTTCTCGCCATTTGCCATATATATAATAATTTCTTCCATTCCCATTATTGTCATTATTATATTATTATAAATCGTTCAATTGTAATTTCAGTAAATATTATATTGAATGATTTTTCTTTTCCCTTCTTTGTCTGATGATATGAATAATAATAATCGTTAAATGCAAACTATTTTCAAAACATTGATTTCATCTTTTTTTTAATTATTACAATTGAACAGAGTTGATTTTTTCATTTTTATTTTGTATCGACCACCACCTGTTTGTAGTTGTTTATTTTTGTCAACAGATAGAGCCACTTCTAATTAAAATTGTCATTTTTATTGTTAACAGATGGCGTAAATCTCTGGTATATAGCCTTATGAATTGATACTTTTCGAATAAATCGTACAAGTGACATGCAAACATTTCATTTGAAAAAATATTTCACCTCTGAATGTATGGCCAACATACTCATGATTTAAACGCATGGTTTAAATTAATTGTTAACATTTTTTAATCATCTTGTAGCTGCGCATAGTCCTGCCTATTTCAATTTCTTCCCATTTCGACCGTGAATGTTGGTGAGAGAGACGAGCACGTTTTCAACGATCAATTCAGATCACTAACTCACACTCACATGAACACGACGATCAAAATCTGTCTTGAATAAAAGTGATTTCTCGACTATCCAAGAGCTGGACCGAATTTCCTTTTGTCTTGTAACAATCTAATAATAACATTCTTCCAACTGTGGCTTCTTCCATTAGCACCATGGATGACAACGATTAAGTGAATGAATGATACGACGATCGAGAGAACCGCAATGACAACGACGCACGAAGAGAACGACAACGAACGAAGAAAATAAATGGTTTTTAATAATGGGTTTTACGAAGTCGGGTACCGCATATGGAGATAACATGACGCCAGAGAAATTAAGAGACGAAGTCAAAAAATTGATCCAACGAATAAAATTAGCTGAGCTGTCATTGTTTCATCTAGGAGAAAACGTCACGTACAAAACAGTCAAGTCAATATACGACGACATCATAGCTTTATTATTAGACAAAAAAGCTGAAAAATTGTTGATGTTGAAACCAGAAAGAATTTCCAATTCGAAACGTTCCAGAGCAAAACGTTCACATTCCGCCAATAAATGTCAAAGTTGAAGATGTAATCAATTGCTTTTTGAAGATGAAAGAATCGATGGAAAAACAAACGAAAGAAATCAAAACAACATTGTCAAAAGATGGCTCAGACCGAAATAATAATCGAATGACACCATAGATAGTGAACAAGCCGATGTTACATCACCTGATTCACAGTAACAATCAACATCGACAAGTGACAATCATCCACAACAAACGACGAACAGTAATACGAACGCAAACGATGGACGACAAAACGGTGATATTTATCAAAAAAATATCTTATGAATAAACGCGGCATGATTGTCGGTGCAGAAGGTGATCCATTGCCACCAATGCGACGTCAATGCAATGTCATACGAGACTCAACATCAATCCAAATTGAGGAGTAACCTGATACCAACAAAAGATCGATACATCAACATCAACCAGTTGGACGGCAGAGTGAACATCGAATTCCGATGCATCCACATAGAAGATATGAATCCGTTTCAACGGTATGGGTTTTAATTATATTGGTAAAGCGAATGGATACGACAATGAACACTATTGATCATCGAAAACCGCGTTTAATCGTTAAAAATTTAATCAATTCAATGATTCGTATGGTAATTATCAAGCATATAAGCAGTTGGTATGACGTAATATCCAAAGTGATGATGGCCGTTGATTTCCAGCTCGAATTCAACCACACAAGGTATTATACATTGATCTTCGTTTCCTGCGACATGGCCAACACAGACAATCGTAAAATGTATTGGCAATCGATGACAACGAATGTCCTAATCTAATCTGGTTGTTGCAGGTCGTATTCAATTGGCAAACTGATGATCTTCCAACCGTGTCGTTAAATTGTTCCCCTTCATAGAATAGAGATCTTAGCCATAGGCACTCCAATGATGGGTTTGATGTGGTGATGCATTCTGATTGCTATTTTGTGGACTAATTGGATTGGCAGCACCATTTGGTCCAGTTTTATACAAATGATATGCAGCGGCATATTGATCGACTAAATGATGATAAGGATGATGAGCATGATACGGTGTAGGAGCCATCACTTGTGGTTTTAGAATAGGCGGTGTTTCACGTATAACCGATATGTGTCGTAATAGATTTGGCGATGTAGAACTGACAGTCGATTCATTAGCGGTGGATGATGGAACAACAATATTACCCATGGAATTGTTTGGTGGCGAAGGAGATTTCCATGGTCTGACTGGACTAGAATTCATCCTACGACGTTTTATATTGTCCGATGGTGATTCCATTGGCGATGAACTTGAATGGGAAGACGCTAATCTTGGACTACGGGTCATATGTGATTCATTTTGACTAGCGGCAGTTATTTGACATTGAGCTCCACTGCCACCACTTGACAATTCTATCGATACAGATGGTCTCATTACGTTGTTTAGTTTAGTTCCAATTATTTCCGGCGAAGGTGAACTTGAATGAGATTTCTTGATATGCAATGATCGAATTTTACTACCAGTATGCGAAGTAGAAGTAGTAATAATTTTGCTTCCAATCTGACATGTATCCATTATGATACCAGTATATTCTATTGCACTGTGAATATAAATAATGAATTTTCATCAAATAAGATTTACAAAATCCGATGGTTATAATTACCTTAAAACATAATTGACACATATTACACTTTGTTCTTGATCGTCTTGTCCACCAGAAGGCGGAACAGGCGTCGTATTTGGAACGGTAGTTGTATTTGGTGTACTAGAACCAGGACTATTATTATTATTACTATTGCTGGATGATTTATTTTGCGCGTTGCTATTAGCGGATGATGCGGTGGTTGTTGGAGGATTATTACAGATGAGTGTTGCACAGGTTTGTACCCATGTATATCCACCGGATTTATTTATGATTCGATAATAACCGGACATTGATTGACCTTTATGTATCACTATAAAGAATAATTTTGAATATAATAAAAAAGACTTTCTTCACAAATACTGTACTTACAATCAAGATGACATTTTTTCATAAGTGTAACATCTTGTCCATGTATCAATGAATAGAAATTTCTTCCAATCAATTCTTCGGGTAAATAATTTAATAGTTCAGTTACTCTATAGACAAAAAAACGCATAAGATTTTTAGCATTAGAAAAATCCAAAGAAATACCTTTGTTCACAATGTAATATTTTAAAATCTAAACTATGCCTGGTGACAAACATATCCGGCTCTAAACGTAATTCATTTATCGATGGTGGTGGTAATGCAATGGCCAATGCAACTAAACCGATTATCTTGGAATGAGAATTTCCATTCATTATTTGTCCAGACGACGTCGTTGTTGAACGACGTAACATTTCGGCACGTAAATGTGCCACAATATTGACCACTCGATATCCACTTGATTTAAAATGTTGACAACCACGTTTAGTTAATGTAGATTTCATTCGCATACAGAATTGTCTTTCAAATGTGTCATTTACACCAGTGGAAGTCATCAAACCATGACCATTGGAATAATGTGTACCACCGCCACCACTATCGGATTCATTCGAAGCATTTGATGAAACACTAGCCGGTGGTAAAGGAGAATTACTATGATGATGATGAATTGAAGTGCCCATTGTATTATTGGCAGAATTTGGTGCAACATGACTCAGACCTTAATGCAATGAACAAAAGTAAAATCAATTGGAAATCAAAAATTTCTAAAAAATAAAACTCACCCAATTGTTCAGCCAATTCTGTATGATCTTGTTGATGTGTATAATCAAAAATACTTGATCCAGTCATTTCAACTTGACTTAAACCAAGATAAATGGATACCGTTTCAGAAATATATAGAAATCTACCATCTTGTCCCAAAGCGAATGCAAATCCATCCAATGATTGCAGGATATGTGTGCCTTGATGACTTTCAAATATACTATCTGTACAACAAAAAACGAAAGGAAAGGAAATTTATTTTTGATTACAAACTGGAAATAAAAAATAAATGTCACACTGAATACAGAATTCATCATTCAACGACAAAAACAGAAATTATAATTTAATCAATCAGATATATTCGAAATGAAATGAAATCAGAAACGAAACGAAAAAAATTTGATTCTCATCAGCTATGATCACACACACTACTATATATTAATTAATGATTGATTTGATTGCCAATCGAATCCAAAGAAAGCCGGAAATCAAACCAAAATGTCCTATGATTACTACTTGTACTATACTGTTCAACATTATTATTGTCGATGATTCATCAGTGTGCGATCATCATCGAAAAAAATCAGGGACGAAACCATCGAGTTTCAAATTTGGTTTGGAAAATTGGAATTTTTTGGAAGAAAAAAAAACTTTAATATTTATTCATTGTTTTTTCTTTGGTTTGTATCAAAAAAAAAAAAATTAAAAAAATATGACTAAATTATGGTAATAACATCAACAGCAACAAGGAAAATAAACATTTTCTAATGAAAAAATGAATAACCATCATCAATTATCAACTCGGGTATCATTATATTTTGTTGTCTTACGGTTATTATTCTGACATACACTTGGACCCGGCTACTATTAGAGCGCCGTGTAACCAATTGAAGCGTTCATAACTCGATTAGTGGCGTTTGTCAACACCAAGCGACTAAATACAAACACAATAAATGAATCAATGAACAATGACGATACACGGGACGGCATGAAAGAAACAAAACAAAACAGAAAAAAACGATGTACGGACGAACGGAAATTTTCAAACTATGAACCTGTGAACAATTCATTCTCTCTGTGTATGTGTGTGTGTGTGAATGAATGACCTCTGATAACTAATAACAACAGCAGAGAAAGAGAGAGAAAAGAAAACGAAAGAAAACCTAATAAACCATAGGAGTTCTAGACACGAGTTCTTATCAATCATAATCAAGCAAATCCTTTTGATGTTTTTTTCCACGAGGAATAGTGGGGTAGACGACGACGAAAGCTAAATGATCGACCATGAATGGAACCAGAAAAAAAACATCACCACACCACTATGAATAACAACAAAGCATCATTTCACTAAACCAACCACCAATCGATTCACGCCTCGTGGATATTCATTTTCTTCTTCTGTGTGTGTATTGGATACACACACACACACACGGTCGCGACAAGAATGATGATGATTGCCTGATGTGTTATGTATGGTCTATGGAAAACATGACCACATTTCATATAAATTGCGTATTGCTTCCCCCCAACATTCATAAATAACACAATCGTCATCATCATTATTATAATTGGTATATACCGCCCCATTTTTATATAAATGATTCATATTATCAATGAGATATATACAGGGGCAAAAAGCTATAGTTATGATTATTATTATTAAACCGTGATTCTAAGATTTAAAATATTAAGGTTTTTGGTCGATTGGTTGGCCAAAATCTAGATGATTTTATAATAATGAAATTTGCCACACGACAACAAACAAGAAACATAAAAAAATACGGCTTGTATCATCATCACCATCAATCAGTCAAATGCCAGGCTAAATTGGTTTTTTTTCATTCATTCGGGGAGTGAAAATAAAAATCGAACCGAGAAAAATGAAAAAAGTGTTTTGCAAATTATGAATTAAATTCATTTTTTTAAGAGAAAGACAAAAAAAAACATAGAACATCATCATAGATCAGACGACGACAATGATGTATGACTTTTGATGATCTCTGAATATACAATCTTCAAATCTAGGGAGAAATTCTACACACATTGGTTCGGTTGGTTTTTTTTACCGAAAATCGAAATATAATAAACGAAAACGACTGGTTGTCGAACGTCGTTCTCAATGTGTATGTGTGTGATTGAGCCAATTGAAGCGAAAGAATCGATTCAATCGAGAAGGCTTCGATGCTTGTTAATACATTTTTTACATTCATTATTTGTCATTTCGTAAAAAAATATGAGCAAAACTAACTATATCTCCTCTCTAGGATCTTATTTGGTGTATGACAAAAAAAAATATACGGTTCGTTTGACAAAATGTTAACAACTAATTAATCATCAAACGAATGATGATGATGACAAGCTAATTAACATTAAACATTGGTAATAACAAGTAGTGAGAAAAAAAATGAATTCAGAAATCATTGATCATTGGTGGTGTGTTGCTTGTTTTTTCTCGGATTTTGCCAAGGCAACAAAAAAAATGGAGAAAAAACAAACTACCAGCTTCAGATGCCATGTGTTTGTGTGAGTCGATGTTGACATTGGTAATTTCCTTTCATATATATGAAACTTACTTGCTTTACATTTCAATGCACTCATACTGCTCAATGCATTATTCCATGATGGTTCACCATTCTGTGAGAATTCACGTAATTTTAGATAGCTTATTGTTAAACGTATTATTGATGCTTTGTCTAAATAATAAATGGATCAAAAAAAAGATCCAAAATAAGATTAGTTTTTTTACATAAACAAACAAAAAACGGAAAAAATCCAGAATATTCACATGTTTCACTTACCTAACTGTGATGTAATAGCTGCCGGCAATGGTAACATTTTGGCCAATTCATAAAATTCATGATTCTCTTTACCACGTCTAGAACGGGCTGCATCACGACTTTTTTCTTTTCGCATTTCAAGTATTCTACATTCATCGACATTGATATGAAAATCGTGTATTGTATCAATGGATAGATTGATCGATAAAGAGAAAGAAAATAAAAGAAACAAAATCGAAAATAAATGACCATGGTCATAAATTAATGGGTTAATCTCTCTCTTTCTTGGTTTGAATTATCATTCGATTTATATAAAAGTATCACATTTCCACATTGAATATAATGGGGATATCCAAGTGTGCAAGTTATAAATAAAATCGAGAAAAACGAAAAACGAAAACAAAAAAAAAAATCAAGACACGTGATTTGAGAGTTGAGTTTTATAACCACCACACTGCAAAAACTGACTGCAAGATTATTGTTTCGATTGAATTTTAGTCAACACCAAAAAATTGTGTGTGTGCGCTTGCAGCATTTGTTATAAAAATTTTTCTTTCTTTTTGTCAAAACAAAAATATCATTGACAGTTAGTCAGTGTTTTACAATGGTTCATTGATTATTGATTATCATACTACTACTACTACTGAACACACACACTCATAAATACAATTTCGATACAATTTTGATGATTAGCTTGATGAAAAAAAATTTTTTTTTTCAAATAGCCGATTGACCATTGGACGGTTGCAACAAACAAAAAAATTGCGTTGGCGTTAAAAATCTGTTATCCTCTCTCTCTCTATCTCTCTCCTTGGGGAGAAATAATTTGCTTATACTTTTTTTTTGGTGCGTATGGTCCGGCTTTCTCCTAAATAATCATCATGATGATGATCATCATTTACTCTCTACAATCATCATCATCATCATCAACATTTTATTTATTTCTAGTCGAAGGCTTGGCATCCAAATCTAAATCCACACTTTTTACTACTAAAAATATATTCAATCAAATCAAATAAACAAACAAATAAAGAAACAACTAAAGTTGAAACTTTGTTTTTCAATTTATCTAAATTGATATTACAATTGCCAATTGAACCGATACACACACACACACACACACACACACACACATGGAAATAATAATGACCAGACAATTTTCTTGGATTATTTCACAAAACAATATATATTCAAATGACCGGAATGGTCAAATGTGGCGACAATTTTTTTTATTTTATTTGTTTATTGTTGTATAAAATTTTCACAATGGTCAACACACACACACACACAAAAACATAAATCAGATGATCAATTGATCGAATAATTTACACGATTTTGTAGATATATTAGTTAGATAAAATAAAATGAATGGTCAGTCAATGATGAATTCAACACTTTAAAAAAAACAGTGAATCTAAAACTGAATGAAAATAATAAAATTTGATGAAGAAATTTCGAAGAGAAAACGAGAAAAATAAAATCTCAATGTGTCACTACTACTATACATTCATGGTCATTTATTATATTGAATTAAATAAAAAAAAATAATCAACCGATGGGCCATTACTACTACCTACCATCATCATAATCGTCATCAAAATCAAAATAGTCGTGCGTTTGTTGTGTTGGTTGTGCCATTAGTCAATTTGTTGTTTTTATTTATTGTGTTTTGTTTGGTGTTTGTGTGTGTGTATGGTTTTATGGATGTATATCGATATATTTTATATATATTGATTCAATCAATCAAAAATACAGTGTATATTTTAAATGTATCTACTAAAAACGTGTGCACAACAACAAACAAACAAACAAACAAAACATAAAATCCTGGCTAATCCTTAATCACTTTTACACGATAAGAATTCATTTTTGTTATGATATCAAGATTAATATTTGTTGATAATGATAATAAATTGTGTGTGTGTGTGTGTGTGTGTGATAAAAAGAAAATCTTTATCCAATCCAGTGCAAAATTTTTGGTAGGAGGTAATGCATTGGACAAACGAGAAATTCATCGAATTTATAGCCACTATCTGATCATCAGAAATATCTAAATCTTTTCCTTTATTTTTATTATTCAACGATAATCATGACATCATCATCATCATCATTATCAGTGAATGATGATGATGTCACTTTTTTAATGATCCAAAAAAAACACACACACACACAGATTGTGTCATTGCCATTGTTAATTAGTCCACAGGACATTTTCATTTCAATATTTTTAGACAGAAAAAAAAGAAATTATCCAAAATTAGGCTTGGCTAGAATAGATAAATAGAAAAAGAATACGGGCCATCATGATGAACACGTATTACAGAACTTTTTTTCTGTAAAAAAAAACATTAATTTCTCAATTTAGATATGGGTTATATCTATTTTTTTGTTTTTTTGTTCTAGTCTACTACTACTACTACTGCTGCAACTACTATACACCATCGATCAAGCATCAAATCTAATTTAACTTTACTATTTTGTCGTTGTTTTGCTTGTTTGTTTGTTTGTTTGTTTACCATCCTTGTTTAATGGTTAATTAAATTCGTATATATATTCACAAAAACGAAGAATTTTTTTTGTTGAATAAATTAAGGACCCAAGTTACTAAATAATCAGAATCGAATATCATGGAACAATGGAATGGATGATTCTGTTGATGATAATAAACAAACAAAGAATCAAATTCTGAAAACAACAAACCTTTGTGTGTGTGTGTGTGTGTGATTAATTCAAACCTGATTGATTGGCATCAAAACAATTTAAATACACAAACAAACAAACAGAATGGAAACTTTTGTCGTTTCGATCAATTAGACACGATTCTATTCGAATGAATCGCATTGCAAAAACAAAAAAATTTATTTAAATAAAATTTTACTAACAAAAACCCAACTAACAAACAAACAAACGAAAAAAAGCCATACATTTTCAACCATCGATCCATTTATGATACACAAACACACACACCAACTAAACTCTCTGGAGAAACGGAAAAAATTCCAGGATTAGAAAAAAAAATTCATTTTTTTCTGTTTGGTCATCGAAAAAAAAATTGGAAATTGGATCGAAAAATCACCATTATTTGGACGTCATAAAATAAAAATCCACACGATCATTTTTTTGGTTTTATTATAATTTTTTTTTCACTTCTACTCAATGATTAAGTTTCAAGAATTTTAGGGTTTTTTTTTCGCTGTGTGTTGATCCAACCAAAAGTGACCATTGTCAATAATGATGATGATGATGACATCAAATCCCGAATGAATATTTTTCGCTTACTCAAGGTTGTTGCACAGACATTGGAATTACCGTCGTTGTTTTATTATCATCATCATCATATTTATCTAAAAAAATAATTCGATTATTCGCGACTAGTCGTTTCCAATCACACAGGGTCTGTCCTGTTGTAAAGTTCATTTTAAATGAAAAAAAACTTGATTTAAAATGAAAAAAAATTCCAACTTTTTTTTCAACAACATTAATCAACACTCATTCAAACGACGGACCAGTCCTAAGTTCATAGTTCAAACACACACAAAAACACATCAATGGACATCACCCATCATGATGGTAGCCGGACACAACACACAACGAAGCTAATCTAATTCAATATTCTCTCCAGATCATCATCATCATCATCAATATGTTCAAATGTGATGCAATTCCATCATCATCATCATCACAATATCAACACATATAGAATTTTGTTGAATAATGATTTGTGTCACATATGGTCTTTCTCTCTCATTCTCTCGGTTTTTTTTTTTTGGATCAAAATTGATGTAACCAAAAAAACAACACACACAAATAGTATGTCATGGACAATTTTTTTTTTTGGATTCGATTACGTACAGAATTGATGATGATGATAAAAAAGAATATTCCACCGATTCCAACTCTAAGCATAATTGATCAACATTTGAAAAAAAGCGAAAATTAGCTTTGCGTTTTTTTCGACACACAGAAAGTGAATGCAATATTTGTTTTTTTTCGTTTCATTTTTGATGATCCCAAGAGATCCAAGCCAAAAAAGAGCCAGAGTCCAGAAATCGTCAAAAAATCAAGCCAAAAACATACATACATACACACACAGGGAGTAAAATGGACAGATGAGAGTTGGCCAATAATTGAGCTGGCTAATACATATTCAAGAATCCAAGGCTGAATCTCAAAAAGAATTATTATCGTTATCGTGAATTTTTTTTTGCAATTGGAAAAAAAACTTCCACCACCACCACAAAAAAAATTCATAAATTTGTAACGCATGAACTAGCCATTATTATGATTATTATTCCGATGTGGGGAGGGGGCGCGCCCGTTAAATTGGTTCCAAAATTGATCCACCACTATAACCACCACCAACAAAAAAAATGGCGTGCATTAATTTATCATCATTTTTTCATGTAGTGAACAAAAAATACATTTTAAATATTCGACGATTGTTCGAAATCGAAACAAACAAAAACAAACAATTTGAATTTATGAAAAGTGTAAAATATGAATAGGTTATGAATATCTTTTCAATAACAACAACAAAAATTTATTTTTACAACGAAAAAGGTCATGGATGAATGTGAATGAAATTAAAATTAACGCGGCAAAAAAATGAAAATGAAATTTCACTGACCGCAAAAATTGATATATGGGCAATGAAGAAAAAAAAATATTTACAATTCAAACACAAACGATGATGATGATGATGAAAAAATATCAAAAATGGATTTTGATTTTTGTTTGTATATTCATGAACCGACAACAAAATTTCACATGGAAAAAAATGTAAAATCACAACATCCAATACTGCTGTTGTTGTTGTTGTTCAATGCGTGTGCGTAAATTATTGAATTCCACTAAAAAAATTTGAAACAGATTGAAAAAGGCCAAGGGAATGGCCATAATAATAATAATTTAATTTGGCCATTTTGGCCATTATTTTTCGTTGGCCGTATTGAATCATTTGCAAATTGTTTTAGCCCCAACAATGTGAATATTACAATCATTGCTAGTTTTGTTCTGTTTGTTTGTTTGTTTCGTTCTTGATCATCACATCGATAATAAGGTGGTGGAATTCCATAATTTGAATAAATAAAGCATAAAAAACAACAACAACAACGACAACAACAATGAAAACATCAAACCGAATGGTCAAACATTTTTCTGCTTCTCGTAATATCACATTTACCAAATGAAACGTAACTGAAATGAAAAAAAACATCATCATTGATGAAAGAAAGAAAGAAATGAAATTCAAAATTCGGTCCATTGGTCAACAGCAGAAAAAACACTACAGAAGCATTATTATGATGACCATGATAGATTTTTTTTCTGTTTCGGTCTGTTTTCATATTGATTAGAACAGCAACAAAAACAAAAACAATGGCCACTGCTGCTGCTGCTGCTGTTATCGTTGATGATGACAATTTAAATGTCCAACAACAAAAAAAATAAAGCCCAATGCAATCAAATTAACATAATTATGCAGTAAAAATAAAAGAAAAGAATCCAATTGTATGTTGGCTGCTTGTGTTAATATATTATCATTTCTTGCAAACATACACACACAGAGAGAGAAAAAACTTTACTATAAAATCACAATTGATAATGACCTTTTAACTGTTTTTTTCGAAACCAATTTTGTTCAATTGTCATGACCTTTTTTTGGCAAAAAAAAAATCTGATCATCATGGTAGAGAGAGAGAGAGAAAAAAAAATTGATCCTGAATCCGATTTTTCAAAAGTCAGAATTAGCGTTTTTTACAACAACAAAAAAAAAAAAATTTGACAAATTTTTCAACAACAACAACAATAAAAGGATAATGATGATGATTTGGATCAAAAGTTTTTTTATCGTTTTTTTTCGCTTTCATGAAACAACATGAAATTCTACTCACTATCTATATAATGGGCACGTTTTCATCATTTATTTTTAGCCCTAGCCCTAGTTTTCATTCTATAGAATAATAATAATAATAATAACGGAGAGAATGAAAAGAAAAAGCAAAAAAAAAAAAAAAAAACGAGGGCACATGGCAACATTTTTATAAAAGAATTGCACCATTTTGGATATTTTTACAATTGTCATTTGGGCGACAATTCTTCTTCTAAATATAAATAACACACGACCATGTTTTACTCTATCAAGATTATACTCATAATATAACACCCCCATTGTTAATCACATTAATTCTTATATATATAATATGTGGATGTAGTATATAATGGATAGATTCCTTATAATTCAATCATTTATTTGGATTCTTATTGGAATTGAATCTCCACACTTATTATACACAATGTACATACTATTCCGAATGTGTGTGTGTGTGTGTGTGTATTTAAGAAAAGAAAAGTAAAAAAAATTCTTTGCCATCATATCGATGTATTTTGTCAATTTCTATTCTATATATTCATTCTCTTTGAATTTGGATTTATTTTATATAAAACACACACAATCGTGATAATAAAAAAAAACACTGGCTTTTACATTCATTCATTGAAGATTGATTCAATGTTTGTTTTTCAATTTCAATCATCATCATCATGATAAGTTTATTTTCTTCTTCTTCTTCTTATTTTAATGCAATAATTGCATTATCAGATTATATAAAATCTATACTACAGATATATATGGAAGATAGAGAGAAAAACACACACACAGAGACACAAAGACAAACCACCACAATTGGTGATGTATAAAAAAAAGAACAATCATCATCATTCACCATTATGGCTAGAAGGGACAATTTACAATCGGATAGCTAGATAGATATATATAGACCTTTAATGTTTGTTTTTTCATTTTTCATTTTTTTTCTTATTTGGTTTTTGGCTATTTATTCCACTTATTCATTGATTCATTCATTTCAGAATGAGAGAAACGAAGACAAACAGAAAATGATGATGATGATGATGACAGAGTAACATTGATGTCATCATTCATCACATGATTATCATCATCATTGAAAACAGGAAAAGAATTGTCTAATTGACTTTAAGACCAATTAACAGGCAAACAAACAAAAAAACATTACATAGGATGTATGTATGTGTGTAATCGTCTTTTTTTTATTTTCACGACATAAATTAAGCCATCATTAACACACACACACACACACAAGAAGAGGGTATTATCACAATTGTGCAAATAATGAAATGTGTGCCATTTTTTTTGTAGATAATCCAATTCCTGTAAAAAAAGTTGTTGTTATTATTCAAGCCTACCACAATTCAAATGAATGAATGAATGGCAAAAGCAATTTGAGAATGAAGAAAAAGAACAAAAAAAAGATGTTAATGCGACATCAGTTGTCGGATGCCGTATATTATTGATGCTTTGATCATTTTTTTAAAATAAAAAGAAAAATTATAATGGAAACACAGTTGCATCTCTTTAGATCAAAGAATCAAAGTTACAACAAGAGAATAAAATGATGTTTTATCTTTCTATCTGATGATGATGGTTCCAAAAACAGCGAACCACCACCACCACTAATTCAAAGTGAAATTATTATTATTGCTCGATAATAATAATAATATCATAACTTGATTACCGCCGTTACCATTTGCCATGTTATAGTCGGATATTTCAAATAGAAAATTTTTTTTTTTTCGCTGCTGAATGGACACACACACACAATTCAATTATATAATCTCATCGAGAGAAAGAGAACAAAAAAAGCATCACTTTCATCAATAATTCAAATGAATAAAAAGTAGTAAAATTCAGTGATCGACAGATGAAATCTATCTAATAATAATGATGAAAAAAATCGACCACAAATACTAAAAGGATGATGAAATGGTGAAAATTAGATTATCTCTCTATTCATACACATATATGTGATGCGATATATAAAGCGAAAAAAAATATCACTTTACTGGATATATTGTAAAGTTTTTTTTCCATTCACAATCACATTCATGGATCAATGAACAGTACCACATCAATGATGAATTTACCATACACCTAAATGTGTAATGTAATGATCGTTTTGCAATGTGAACGAATTACGGCTATAGCTAATCGTGTACCGCAAATAATAATCATCACTTGCAGTAGGTAACATTTTGAATGAATGGCTGCTGCTGCTGTTTGAACAGAAAAAACAACAATGACCACGTAACAGGCTGCACAAATGATTGAAAATGGTAATAATTTTGCTGCATCGAATTTTAAAAAATGTGTTTGAATTTGAATAAATCGAAACAAAAAATTACATTCAATTTGAATAAAAATCCATAAAGTTTTTTTGCTTGTTTGTTTGTTCATTGAAACATCTTTATTTCATTGAAAAATAGCACTGTGTCCACATTCATATGATTCACACTACGAAATGATGACGATTATGATTACGTAACTGATCATCATCATCATCATCAATGTTAATTGTGTAATTAAAGCAATAAAAAACACACACACGAACACACACACACACAACATTTTTCTTCAATATAATGCCAATGATCGAAAAGAAGAAAGAAAATAGAAAAATAGAGGCCAATGGCATCGATATATTCATTCATTCATATTCTATTTCTAAACACGTATCATCATTTTTTTTTGGACGTGCCACCATCACATACACGCACAAAAACATGTTGTATGTTTGTAAAAAAAAATTGTTATACCGGCACCAATTTTTTTTCGCCATTGGGCGCCATACAGAAAGATCACCAACACACGCACAGACAAATTTGGTATGCATGCTTACACACTACCCCCCTATACGTAGTATATGCACTACAAACGTGATAATGGTGGTGTGTGTGATTGACCATCACCATTCAAAAAAAAAAAAACAAAAAACAACAACATGAAGACCCTACACGAAACCTAGAATAATGGTGGTGACAGAAAAAAAAGAGTATGGACATCATCATCATCATCATGTGATGATCATATATATGGCATATTAAATAGCCGTTTCATGTGTATGTCAATTACACCGATTGTCTACAACCCAACAAATGAACAACAACAACACACGAATATGATCGTGACATTCGTGGTTAACCAATGAATGTATGAATGAATGAATGAGAACACGTCTTGATAGCAAAAACCAGACTCTAGTTCGTGCTATCATGTCCCAGATAGATGAAAATTGTATCAAGAATTTTTTTCGGTTTTTTGTTTCTGATTTTTTTTTGTTTAAAATTCCGTTCAACAAGCAACATCATCATCATCATCAATGATCATCCATGTATTTCTTCACCCTCCACACACACACAACAACCAATGTTTTTGAAGTGTTGTATATATATAAAAAAATTAAGTGTGTCGACGTGCACGAAAAGACTGGAATATTAATTGTCTCTATCCATTCATATGTTCATGGTGGTGTTGAAAACAGGAAAAAAGGGGGCAAATAGAAAAAAAATGATGATGTTATATAATACACAATGACGATGACGCCGATGATGATAAAGACGTGGTGACCAAGTGTTGCACGGATTCGTAAAAGAAACGTGTGTGGTTGTAGAATCTGTTTGTATGTACGTGTGATATGTGAATGAAAATGAAATGAAACCACCATCATTCAAATACATACTCAGGCAGTTACCTAATCAGTTATTCTAGAAACATTTTTTATCCGTGATCAAAACAAAACAAAAAACGGATACGTGCCGATCACTTATCTAGGTTATTATTATATGATTGTGTCGCGTGTCAATGTCACACGCACAAATAAAAACGACCGTATCATCAACAATTGGTGTTTTCAAATTAATTTTACCTGGTTTGAACAACAGCTGCTTGTGCAGCAACAGCAACTGTTGCTACTGATGATGATGATGATGATGGAGAGGGTGATAATGAAGAAGAAGAATTTGATGAATGAGAATGATGATGATGAAGTGGTTGCTGTGGCTGTTGTTGATTCGGATGAGTAAGATGATTATTATGATGATTTTGATGATGAGAAGAATGTATACTATGATGATGTAAATGATGATTAGAATTTGTATGATGTAATGGATGATGTGTATGTATTGGATGGATAGGATGATGTTGTTGTTGTTGTTGATGATGATGATGATGATGATGAGAAGTTGGTGATGCTAGTGGTGGTGGTGGTGGCGGTGGTGGTGGTGGAAGAGGAGAAGGATTCGTATGATGATGATGATGATGACCACCAATAATTGATGAATGATGATGTGGATGTGAATGTGTTAGATTTGAATGTGGATGTGGAACAACATGAGAATGATTAGGATGATGACCAGTATGATGATGGACAAGATGTTGTGATTGTTGCTGTTGTTGTTGTTGAAGATGTGATGTCGATGTTGGTGGCGGTGGTGGTCCAGGTGATGAATTTGTTAATAATGGTGATACCGGAGTTGATGGTAATGTTGATGCGGATATTAAACCTGGTGGTGTTGTTGTTGTTGCTGCCGCTGCAACTCTGCAAGTGGGTGAGTTTAAAAGAAATAAAGTAAACAATGAAAATCAGAGAAAAAATCAATTATCAATCAATGTTTAGCTAATTGAAAATGGACAAAAACACAAACAGAAAAAAGAGAAAAGATTTTTCTCTACTCAATTTCTCGTCATCATCATCATCATAATAATAAAATGTTAATCATGAAAAAAAATTTTCCATTGATGAGAAAAAAATTCAAATAAATAACTCATCATGACCAATGGTCATTATGAGCTATCGGCCTTTACATCGATCTTTTCTAGTCATCATCGTCATCATCACATCATAAAGCACATGCAAAGAAAGAGAGAAAGAAAGGAAGACTTGATTGGTAATTTACGACTCAATAAATCTAAACCCTTTTTGTTTGATTGATCAAAATCGAATTGACTAATAACACAATGATGTTGGTGGTATCATGGTGCAATGAATCTTTTGTTTGTGACACGTGTTTGAATTTAATTTTGTTTTTGTTTTCACACCATCTCTCTATTTATTTATACACACACTGATTCTATATCTAATAATAATCATTTTCGACCCTTTTTTCTTCATACTCAATTAGAATCTAGTATATTCAGTCTATTGTTCCAATGGACCTTAAATCCTGGTATGTGTGTGTGCGTGTGTGTGTGTAAGGAAAAAGAAAATCAAATAAAAATAAAAGGGTCAAATCAAATCAATCAAAAACCAAAATAGAAAAATTGGTTGGAGTCCATACAAAACTAAACTAAATCATAATCAAATTTTATGTTTGAAACAAAAAAAAATTGCCATACAGCATATTTAGTCTATTCAAAAGGAAATAGCATACAACCACCACTGCAAACAGATAAGCTATCTCTAATATATGGGTTTTGTCCTGACAAAAAAAATGATTGGTTTCCTGGCTCATGATGATGATAGTCATGGTTTAATGAATTTACAATTCTTTTTTTTGTAATCATCATTAAAAGAAAAAAAATTTTACCTGTAATAAGCAGCATGTGGATGATGTGCTGCATGTGGATGATATGGTGAATAAGCTGTTGTTGGATCATGTTGTATAATTGCTGCTGCGGCTGCAGCCGCAGCGGCAGCAGCAGCAGCTGCTGGATTATGCATTATCTTCTTTTTTATCCGTTGATGATGACAAGAAATTAGAATCGATTAATCGATATTGTTTTCAGAACTAAAAACATGAAAAAAATGAATAAATAAACAAATCAGATTAGAATGGAATGGATAACGAGCAAACTTCAGGAAATCAAAGAACAAAATGAATAAATATTTGTGTGTTATAAGACGAGTTTGTTGTTCACCATTTCAAACTCCTCCTTTATCATCTGGGTATATTATACACACCACAATGATGATGATGATGTGACACATGTACATACATAACACACACACAAGCTAATAAGATTTGTATTCACCAGAAATTGTTGACAGGAATTAAATAATTGGCCAAGAAAATTTATGAACCCAATTTTTTAACAAAAAAAAAAGAAAAACTTGTTGTGCTGTCTGTGTGTAGGTAGCTTAAATAATTAAATATAAACAATCAGAAAAATCAAGAATCGGCTTATGATGCACAGACAACAAACCACAGAATAATAAGATGATGATGATGATCTTTATGTAAATATTAGATGGCCACATAAATTCAATTAAAAAAAACATCCTTAATGGTTTGATTAATTGAATATAAAAAAAATCATAATAATTAATTTGACCACGATAATCATCATCATCATCATCGGTCATCCTAATCATAATCATCAATTTGGGGATAGAACAAAAAAAAAAGGGCTAGGTTGGTTTAATTGTTGAAAGAAAAACTTGATTGGAAATTATTATGGAAAAAAGTTTTTCAAGTCACTAAAAACCAAAAAAAACTAGATTCGATGCAATTCTTGGAAAAAATGAATGAATGAATGAATTTTTTTGCCATTCTCTCGTATTGTAATAAATATTTAAAAATGTTATTATGGATATTGATGATTATCATGGGAATTTATCATTACCATCGCCATTATCATCATGTATGAACTACACTACTGATTATTATTAAAACTATGGTCGAAATATATTAAAAAAAAACAACACAAACCATCATCATCATATTGGACATACAGTGATAAAAAATAAAGTTGTCAATAAATATAGATATGGTAGTAGTAGTAGTGACCAAAAAAAAGTAGTTTCATTAGTCTCAAGAGAGAAGCTGACAGTCAGTCATTACAAGGCACATGCAAAACCACAAAACATCATCATCATGTAACATGGAACTGGAAATTTTTTTTTGTTCCATTGCACATTCATGGATTTCATTTTGATATAATGATTTCATGATGATCAAACAAACAAACGACAATCATTTTTTGCTGTTACTTTTTTTTTTCTGGATTTCTAATCTAATCTACACTTTTGACTGCTGTAATTTTTTTTCGCTCTTGCTGTGGCTGCTGTATGTAAATTGAATAGATTCAGGTGTTTATAGATGATAATATTCAAACGTAATTTTTGTAAAAAAGATTAACGAACGAATGAAAAAAAAATGAATGAATGGGCAGGTGTATCAATAAACATGCGTTTGTCATTGATAGCCACACAACCTTAGGTCTACCGAAAAAAAAAAAAACAAATTTTCAAAGTTAAAAGGTCATCATCAAGTAAACTAAACGATGAGCAGATGAATTAACAATTTTACCAAGACAAGACGATTGATGATGATGATGATGATCTACGAAAATTAGAAATTGATAATCAGATTTTTCTGTTTCTCGCAACCAACAAAAAAAAGCTGTTCCAATGAGGTCAAAACATGGTGGAAGAAAACAGGACAATTGATGATGATAAGAATAATTATCCAAAAAAATTTTTTTTTCGCTACCAAATAATGAATAAACGGTTGTATCATTAGTCTGCTTGATCAACAATTGTTGTTGTTGTTGTTATGAAACAGAAACGAAAAAAAGAAAACCGACACACGTACACGCACACACAAAATGTTTCAAATCGGATTTCAATTAACGTTGGATGATGATGATGATGATGATGGTTGTGTTTGGGTGAATTCACGTATCATTTTCATGTGTGTGTGTGTGTGTGTGTGAATGTTTATGTTTCAGCTACTGTAATTTTCACTGATGATGATGATGATGATGATATTGATGAATCGTAAAAAAAACACAACATACTGACCAATAATCAAACGACAATTTTTTTTTTTTTTTGGATTCATCATAATGATTACAATGTATTTGGCAAAGTCAATGTTAATGATCAAAATTATTCATCTTTGAATTGATTGGAAAAAAATCAATTCATTTTTTTTTGTTGACAAATTGAATAATCAGAATCAATGGCGATTAAATTGTTCCAGATGTTTAACTTCACCAATGATTTTGTTGTTGTTTTGTTCGTTGCTGTGTTTGCCATATATAAATTAATTGTAAATTAATCATAACCAAAATCTGAATATCACAGGATCATAGATAGATTTCGAGATTGTTTTTTTTGTTCGTTTTCTCAATACTTCTGGCAAATGACCTCATCGCGATATATCAGAAAAAAAAAGTGTGTGTGTGTGTGTGTGTGTGTGTGTGTGGTAATCACCAATCACCAAAGGAGGTCTCTAAGACACACACACACACACAAACAGGCCATCATCATCAGGATAATCTTCAAATATTTTCGATGAATATTAACTAGAAATTAATAAATACTAGTCATACTTCTGATGAATTGGCTTCAAATGATGGATCATTCATTCACTACAATATTGATTATGATGAATCTATGCAGGTCGTGTGTGTGTGTGTGTGGGTAAAACATATGCAGATGATGATAAGGATGATAAACAACAGAATGAGATAGTAGTAGAAAGAGATTTTCTTCAAGATTTTCGCAAACATTTTCAAGCTTCTACATTTGTTCGTTGTTCGATTTTAACATTTTGTAACAAAAAAAAATCATATCAATCACAAATAAATGTGAATCAATGTGATGCTTCACACCCATATCATCATCATGATCATTTGGAAATTATTGTAGAAGCTGCTCGATCAAAACAAAAAAAAAGTTTGATTCAATGATGATTTGAAATGGCTTGCAAAAAAATGAGAAATAAAAAAAACCGTAATGAAAATTTTTTTCTTCAACACCAAATAAATTTTGTATTAATCTCTCTTTGATTTCAAATCATTCAAAAGTTTTTAATTGAACACAAAAAAATCAAGATAACGTATTCATGTTGTTGTTGTTTTTGGACCGTTTTTGTTGCATCTTGAATCATGATGTCATCATCATCGTCCATAAAAAAAAATTTATAATCGAGATGCAGCGGTTTCTTGTTCTTGCTCTCTCTCTCTCTCATATAATTTATTGATTGATGAAAATGTGAAACATACACACACACACATACATTTTTTATTTAATTCAAATCCTTATCATCATCCTGATCATCAATTGCCATGTGGTGGTATTGGCATTTTCATTAGCAGCAAAAAAAAACCACCATGGCCAAAAAAAAAGAAATTTATTTATTGTCGTCATAAAAAACAAACAAACACGAAATATCAAACAAAAACAACAAGAAAAAAACCAATAAAGATGTTAAAAAATCAGGATCATCATCATCAACATCATCATCTTTGACACAAAATGGCCAATCGTCGCATTTCTCTTATGTCGTGGTCATAATAAAAATAAATATCAAAATTCACCTCGTTTACAACATGCACACACACACACACACACACACACATTTAATTTGAATTTAAATTCAACAAAACAACGAGAAAAATCTAAATCCAGGAAACAACAAGAAAAAGCAAAAAAAAAAAACGTTGAAATTCTAAAATTCAAATCAATCGATGTATATACAAAGAAAGAAATGGATTGAGGTTTTTTTTACCTAATTGTAAATTAGCTTGAGTTCTATACAATTATTGATACTTTGTTTTTAATAGCCAATAGGAAAAAAAACCAACACCACATAGTTGTTGTTATTATTATTACACATGCAATTTACAAAAAAAAAAAAAAAATTTATGCTCATTCACAATTTGGGTTAAAAAAAATAAACTCTACCTGACAAGCCAGAAAAATAAATGCTTGCGACTGACATTTATTTTCTTGTGTATTCGAAACAAACGAAAAAAATATATTCCAATTCCGTTACATGTTTCACTGACACTGCCATTACATACATGAACCTTATGATGTCACTTTTTGTTTCATTGGTCATATATCATATATATCAAATATGGCATTTACATACATGGTTTTCATTTCGGAAAAATATAAAAAAAAAAACAGATAGATAAATTTACTCACCTCGAACAAAAAAATGGAAAACAGAATGATTCAAGAAAGAAATGTTGATTTTTTTTTCTTCTACATTACACTTGGCATTAATCGGCATCCTCTAATCATCATTTAATTTATGATTTTGATTTTCAGCATGCCAAAATTTAAAGATGTTCATGTATCGCACACACACACACACAACACAATTTTTAAAAAGGGTTAAAGATGATGGTTCAATTATTCAACAGACACAAAAAAAACACCGTGAAACATCAAATAAAATTAACACAGCCAACTATATTTTGAAGATTGACCTTTCAGATACCGGCTTTTCAGTCTTTTTGATTAAGAATCCGTTGTCGTTGTCGTTGTTGTTGTATTATTTTTCAGGGGCTGTTGACAAAAAAAAGAACGAAAAAAAAATAAAATTACTGCGCATGTTGATAAAAGAAAAATGATTCAAAAATAAAAAAAAAATTCAAAATGGAGATTGAAAAAAACAGTCGAAAATAAAAAATAACAAAATTCGTGACCAACCAACAAATAAGCCAATGTTTTATCAACATTGGAATTCTAAACTCTGCTTGAAAATATTACCGTTGATAGCAGCAGCAGCAGAAATGTGATCAGATCACAAACCCGAAAAAACAAACGGAATTTGTGTCACACACACACATTGTCATTGGTTACGAACGCTATTCAACAACAACAACAGACAGACAAACAACAGAGAATCATTACACATCATCTCGAAAGAAAAGGGAAAAAAAATTTCAGAATGAATAAAAGAATAGGGATTGGAAATTGTGTAAATGATGATGATCCCGCCTCTTCATTATTAACGTCGTCATCGTTATCATTTGTAAATTGTATCAACCATCAACAACATGCATTCATTCAATTGTATAAAAAGCGCGGGCGTATGTTTTCTCTTCTCTCTGTGTGTGTGTGTGTGTGTCATTCATTTCAATCAAAAAAAAAAAAAAAAAACAGGCGTGGATACCAAAAAAAAGCTATTCATCTCTCACACAATAAAGATGCCTATTATATACAGAATATATATATAAACATGCGCGAAAACTGAAAAAAAATTCAGCAAAATAAAATTGGGAGCCGTCTCAATTTGACCAAAAGAAAGGAAAAAAAATCTTTGGATCTAAAAATATTTTTTTTGGTCATTTCTTGAAATAAATAAATAAAAACCACCACTACCACCACTACTGGCACTGCTGTTATAACCGGACAAATAATCAACAAAATAGGAAAATATAACTGTGTTTTTTACATATATCACTTTGGATGATAACTTTTTTTGGTTAGTATGAGAATGGAAAACATACATAGCTTAGCTTAACTCTCAAAAAAATGATGATGATGATAATGATGATTAAACGCAGCCAGCAACAACAAAAAAAAAAAAAAATTTTTTCTGGTACGTTTGTGTACGTGATTTCAACATTGACACAGACGGAGAAAGATGGAGAAAAAAATGGTTCCGAATGTAAAACAACCATCCATTCAAGAAGCGTGGATTCATTGCTTTTTTTTACTTCACATTCGTTCACATTCAATAATCATCATCATCATCGTTGCTATTGATGGAAATGAGAATGGAAGAAAAACAGAAAAAAAATTCTAATCACGTTCCAAAGTATTCTATTCACGTATTAACTTCGTTAGCGGTACCCAACATTCATTCATTCATTCAATGTGTATGTGACTAGTGTTTTCAAACGGGCAAACGGACAACCAGAATGAAAATACGGACAACCAGATTCCAGCACAGAGTATAAAATAATACTGTTATATTATATTGCCAACAATCGTCATAATAGTAGTACCCTCCCTTTATATGCTTTTTTTGTCCAGCGGCATTCAAAATACACAACACACACACACGAATTCACATAACGTTAGTGAATGAGAGAAAAAGAGGGAGTCACGCACTCACATATATACAAAGATAGGGAAAGAGAGAGTATTATAGGTTCATTATGGCTTATTGATGACGATGATTGTGAGAGATGTCTTTGCAATGGCGCGTTATGGATGGTTTCATGCGTAAAGTTTACAGAATATACTGAAAAACCAGAAAAGGCCAGATAGCCTTTTATAATCATCATCATTTATATTAAGCTGGCTGAAAACATAACAGTCTAGAATACTCACTTTTTATGTGGAGCCCAAATTAGATTTTTGTTGTTGTTGTTGTTGTTGTTGAGATGGTCCGTGGGCGTAAAAAAATAATTTGATGAAGAAATTTTCTTTAATACAACAGGGCTCTTTATCTCCCCTTCTCTGTAAGTTGAATGTTGAAAGTTTCCATTAAAAAAAAAGTTTTCCTTTTTTTTTTGAATGACAATTTTTTGATCCACGAATATATATAAAATATAAAATGAAAATCCGTGACAAAAGAAAAATTCTTCGGGAACATTTTGACACAATTAATATGCGTTCTAGTTCTAGTCAAAGAAAAAAAAAATGGTCATACAATTAGATGGATAGATTTTGCACATTATAAAAATGTCATTCATATACCATTTCATTGTTTGTTTGTTTGTTTGTTGCTGTTGTTGTTGTTTTTTTTTCACAATCATCATTTGTATTTTGAACATTTTGGGCACATACTACATGTTTGGGAGTTGGTTAAATTCTGTATTTTTTCAGAAATGAAATGAAATGGAACAAAAAAAAATTATAAACAATCATCATCATGTCCATTCATGAAAAAAAATTCTACATATCACCAGTGTTATTTAATTACCTAAACAAAATGACAGAAAATGTAGATACACAATTATCTCATGATGATGATGATGGGCGTTAGTTTTTTTTTAGTGATGTTTGACAATTATTTCTGTTTTTTTGGTGTGTCCTTTGAAAACAAAACATAAAAAATGATATTCTCTAATAATGAATATGAATAAAATGGTGGCTTTTTTGAGTGAGATAATAAATTTATTCTTACCTTAGTGTAGTGGCTGTGGCCATCATTGCGTATGGCCGTTAATTATTTTTTTTTCACCAATTTGAAAGAAAGCTACTGGAATTACTGTAGATAACAATCATGATGATGATGATGATGGATAAGACAAAGCATTTTTTTTTCTTTGATCATCACGTAATATATAAGTGTGTGCAAAACAATAGTGTACAGCATCGTTTCTCTTTCTTTGTTGTTGATGATGATGATGATGAGATGATCCTATTTGAAAAAGTGAAAATAAAAGAAAAACAAAACAATTGAATTGACGACAATCATGAGTGATGATGCCTCTTCACCATCATGATGGCCATTCAGAGACCGATGGGTGGTGGTTTTTTAAAATGGCCAGCCTAAATATTTTTTAGAAATTAAATTAATAAAGATTTGAATCATAAACCAATTATGTATGAGAAACAGGAATCAAAATGTTATGTGTTACCTGAATACATAACATCAAACACCAAACGAACGAGCCATATTCCATCATGTTGATTTGGAAAATTAAATTATTCATTTTAATGATAGTTTGGACCAAATGGATCACCATGATCAGTATCAACAATAACTGAGAAAAAAGGGCCAGGCACACACACACACACACACATGACCAAATTACCGAGCTAAACGATGATGATCCACCAAATGTGAACGAATAAACTGAATTGACTGCAAAAAAACGTTTGAAAAAAACAAGACTGCAAAACATACATACAGCTTTTTGGACCAAATTTATTTTTCGAAAAAATGGCCATTATCTCTGTGTACTTGAGAATATTCTTTTTAGCCAAATTCCATTGTTTTGTCCATTGGACACAAACGGGACACGTATTAATGAATCACCTACAGTCCAGCCATATTCACACCATATACATGATCAGAATTATAATTAGACAGAATATTTTCTTTGCTTTTCTTTTTTTGGCTTGCTAATATTCGAAAATTCGAAACCACGTTTGTTTTTATTTCGTTGTTTTTTCATTTCATTTGTTGATTGAAAGAAAAAATATTTCAAGTTTGTTTGTTTATTGACGGGCAAAATTTTTTTTGGTTGAAAAACAATCACTGGCAATCGAATTGTTTGAAAAGAAATTTCTTTTGTTCGATCATCATAAGAACTGTTTAACATTTTCATTTTTAAACCATGAAATGAATGAATGATGATTATCATTAAATTCGTAAAACAAATAGAATGAATGCAGAAAAGTCATTATTATTCGGCAACATTGATAATGAGAAATAGAATTATTCGAAAATAAATGCACATATGGATTCTGCATACCTGAATCACCATTATGGAATGAATTAAATACTAATTAATTATAGCCATTAGTTGATAATCGTTTATGTGTTATACGGTTTTTTCTTTCTCATTTCTCCAAATGATTGCAACAAAGTAGGAAATATTATATACACTAGAATAAGGATATAATGATTAATTATGAATATTCGTGATTCGGAAACGAAAATGGACAAACAAAAATAATAACCGAGGGGTAATTTTTTTTTTTGAAAAATTCTTGAGAACGAAAGAATCGAATGTTTTTTTTTCGTTGCGCGGTATTTTCATTCTATGTTGTTAGCCATTCATAAACAATGTATTGAAAAAATTCATTGTGTCGCCATCTTTGAGTGAAAATGTTCGGCAATTTTTTTTGTTTTATTTAATTTTTACTTTTAATCGAATGAATGAATTTATAAAAATTTTTGCAAAATAAAAACAACATTTGAGCATGAAATAGTAACGAAAAAATGACCAATTTCGGCACAATTTATTTTGGTTTGATTTTCGCAACATTTTCAGCACTTGAAAATAATAACGCTGAACAAATGTTTGAAATTGATATTCAACCATGTCGTAAGTTGATTGATGAATTTGTTTTTACATTTAATTGAATTGACCGAAAAAAACACACAGACAGATTAATAGACACACCAGAATTAGTGACCATTGATTCTTGTAAATATGGCCAACAAAGATGTCATATATTGGAACCTGGTAATAATTATACATTCACCATACAATTTCAGAATCAAATTCCGGCAATAAAATTATTCATACGATTGTATGCATTGATTAATCGAAAACGTTATCGGTTACCATTATTTCAAGAAAAAAATTTTTGTTCTAAAATGACATCAATTATTAGTGGAGAAAAACCAAAAAATTGTCCATTAGTAGCATATGATATATATCGATTTGTAATACCACTTTGTGTACCAGAATCAGCACCCAATTTTCGTGGTCAATTAAAACTGCTTATGGTGAATGAGAATAAACAGAAATTATTCTGCACAAATATGCCATTATGGATACAGCCACCACGATATTGAATGAATCAAATAACAATCGTTTATATCAATAATTTTTTTTCTTTTTATTCAATCAATTTATGAAAAAATGTTTTTTCCCCATACAGAATCCATTTAGATAGAAATACAATACCCCCCAGCCAAAAAAAAACTAGGAAATATTGAGCAATTTTTTCAATTCGACGACAATATCAGCTCTGGCAACTTCGATCTAAAGAGAAAGAAAGAAAAAATTAATCGAAAATTCATAAACTCACAAATGACACACCTCTTTACGTGTTTGAATATCACGAATTTTAACCATTCCACGTTTCAATTCATCTTCGGCCAGTATTACAGCATATGGTATACGATTAGTTTCACAGTATTGATAATTATTTAGAATTTTTATCGATTTCTTATAAATATGTTCAGCATTGAATCTGGCATTCCAGAGTTCCAACAATAATTTCATACGTTCATCAAGTAATTCGTTACCAATTGATGCTACCAATACTTGGGTTGGTGATCCAACACCCATTTCATTAGACATACGTTCTTCAATTATTGTCAATATTCGTTCGATACCGATACTTAGGCCAACACAAGGCACTTCCCAATTGTTGGCTTCAGCCAACATACCAACCAGATAATCATAACGTCCGCCGGCAGCAATACTACCACATTCAACATTTTCATCCGTTATAATTACTTCATAGATTAATCCAGTATAATAATCCAATCCGCGTGCTAAACTTAGATCAAACGAAACCGAAGATTCAATTTGGAATAGTTTACAATAATGGAATAATGAACGGATTTCATTCAATCCTTTTGCGGCACGTTTATTTTGACCCAATTCTTGCGAAAGCAATTGATCGACTAATTCAATTGTGCCATTCATTTTAACCAATTCACCAATACGATCGGCCACATCTTCTGGCAATCCTTTTTCATTGATCATTTCTTGTTTCACTTCTTCCCAGGTATTTTTGTCCAATTTATCTACTGACGAACAAATTGTGCGAAATTTATCTTCAGGTACACCACATATCTCGAATAAACCATCTAAAATACACCGATGATTGATCTGAATTAAAAAACGAAAAAAATTGGATGATGACTGGTTGAAGAAAAACAAACTTACTTTTATCAAAAACGACTTTAGATCCAATTCATTGAGAATTTCATAAATAATACGCAGGCACTCAACATCTGGAATCATTGGATCATATTTACCAGCAATATCAAAATCACATTGATAAAATTCACGAAACCGGCCTTTCGTTACTGATGGATTATCACGACGATAAACTTTAGCAATATGATATCGTTTCATTGTGTTGATTTTGTTTTGTGCTAAATATCTTGCAAACGGAACGGTTAAATCATAACGTAATGAAAGCAATTCACCACCTTGATCTTCAAGATCATAGATTAATTTCGAATCTTCGCCATATTTACCGGTTAATACATCTTTACGTTCACATACAGGCGTATCGATTGCTAATCCACCGTGTCTTTTAAATATATCGGTTATTGTTTTGAAAACTTTTTCACGAACCAACATTGGTTTCGACTCAAAATCACGCATTCCTTTTGGCGTTTTCAGCGTGAATTTCTTGTTGTCTTTTTTGCCATCCTTTTTCGTTGGGCTATTGCATTTATTATCATCTGATGATGGACTTAGCCGGGCTTTCAAAGCCAAAAGTTTCGAAACTTCAATATCAATCTGAAGAAAAAATATATTTTAAAAACAGGAAAGCCAAATATTCACAAATTTACCTTTTCTTTATCAGCCTTTTGACTTTTTAATGAACGAACTATATCACCCTGTTGTTTAATTTGTTCTTCCAATGATGTTGAATTATCAGCCATATTGATGATTGATGAAAAATTAGATGAATTTCGACTAATGAACAATGACTGTTGTTGTGAATAGATTTTGAAACTAACAAATTGATGATTGACTAATATTAATCGATGATAATTTCGTAATAATTTATGAAACATTACCACCGAAACACGTTGGCATTTAATTATACACCAAACACACAGACACACACACACATTCAAAATCATCTGCATCGAGTCGGCGAACACAACCCAGCCAAACTATTTTTACCTTGTTTGTACTACCCAAACAGGGTTTGCAATTTTTTAAAAAATTGTTTTTTTCAAAAATTTTACTTTTTTTTATTTTAATAAATAAAAAATCAATTTTCAAGTCAATGAAAAGTGAAACAAAAACATTGTTTTGTTCGTAGTATCAAATACAAAAGTTTAGACTTGTGATGAGAGGGAATTGAAAATTCAATCAGGCCAAACGAGCAATCAAATGTTTCATTTCTTTTTCCTTACATTGGTATTTTTCATTGAAGTTTTTGTTTCCATCGGAATGTTTGTTTGATATGTTTTGGCGCTGATAATATTCAGAAAATATAATGACGCAAGAGAGAATAACAAACTGATATAACAAGGTGACAAAAGAAATTTTTTTTAAGTTTGGCAAAAAAAAAATCATATCGAATCATTCAATACTCACCAACTAGTGACAGCGACCTGATGAACAAGACCGGATGTGAACAGGGCCACAATGAGACTAAATATGACTGAAATAAAAATTGTCAAATTGCAAAAAATCAGCAAGCACACACACACACACAAATACCTTCCATATATTTGGATTGAAAATTTGCACCAAATAATGACATTTCCAAATTATTAATTGAAGTCAAAATGAATATAAAGATTAATGAGCCCAAATAACCGGCCAGTAATGTGGTCAATTTAGTTGCGATTAGATATGAACGAAATATTTGCATGCCAGCCATTACGACCAATGATAATGATGACGATATTATACATGATAATCCCACTGAAACAGCTATAAAAAATGTGTTATAAATAAGTCAGGTAATAATTATGATTATCTTACGCATTTTTGGAAACGAATCTGATTTTCAAAGATTCAAACGATTTTTTTGTTGTTGTTGTTGTCAATATCAAGTCAACTCTCGAAAAAAATAAATGATCATCAAGGATTGTTTTTCGGAAACTTTTTTTTTGAATTTGTTACTTTTTTTGGAAAGTTTTTTTTTATTTTTAAATTTCATTACAATAAAGAGATGAATATTTGCCAAACAATTCCTGATCAGGAATAAATAAATTCAATTCAATTGTTCAAACATCAAAAGTTTTTGCGAATCTGATAAAACAACAAATCTTGATAAGCTTGGTCATCAAGGTGTGTGTGTGTTCATATCATTTGGACAATTATTAGCTCTTTTTTTTATCGTAAAAAAAATTATTGACACAGGTGGCAATAATAATTATCATCATCATCATCATCATCAATTCGGGTCCATTATTATGGTCACGAGCATAGAGACCTGTCGTCTAGACTCTAGACTATGAGAGACAGTTATACAAAAACAACAACAAGTTGCCGCCGTCAACAAGTCGACCAACACCACCGCTGCGTGTGGCTAAAGAGTTATTATTGTGTTTTGATGACAACAAAAGAGGGTATACATGCGGCAAACATCAAAAAGTGGCCACTTAATCAATCCTGATAAATCAATGATAATTGGTAAAATATAGGTGATAAATGAAAAAAATGTCGCCAAACAGAATTAAAAATTCTGTTTTGTTTTTTTTTTTTTTTTTGTCATAACTGTACATTTTCTCACGAATTTTTTTTTTTTTCTTTCCACAAGGTCTCGTGTGTTTGTGTGTGTATAAACTGCCGTTCTGTCTCGTTGAATGGTATGTGGATGATCGTCTTTTTGGTTTGTGTGTGTGTATGCATTGCTTTACAAGCAAGAAAAAGATGGGCGGCTTTTTCGTTTTCAATGTTTCTTGGGCGGTACTTCGATGATTGGTTCGAAGATTTGGTATTTAAGATTCTGCCATTCAGCTATGTCTTTTTTCGTGCCATCATCTGGATAATCTAAACACCGATGACAAGACAAGACAGTGAATTTTCATCGATGAAATGGAAACTGAAAACAATGAAATAGTCAATATTGATGATAAAGATGTTCATGATGGTGAACATACGACAAAAACAGAAGAAGAATTCATCAATGATCATAAAGTGAAAAAAATGAAACAAAAAATGCAACGAAAATCTTGTTCAAGAACATTGAAAAAATCAACAAAACGCAAGAATCATGATGATGGAAAAAGTGGCCGCCAAACACAAAATTCTAAAAAAATAAAATCATCGTCAACGATTAAACAAGAAGATTCATATGATAATCATCATCATCATCATCAATTTCTTTATCAGCAACAAGAACCATCGATGATTAAATCTGAAATTGAAATGAATATCAATTCAAATGATACAATAAGATCGGGTGTAGAAGAAATTGATTATTATTCAATGATGATGATCAATGATAATGTACAACAACAACGACAACTATCTACTAGCGATCAAACATCAGAAAAATCAATGAAAGAACAACGTGTTAATGCCAATGTACGTGAAAGATTACGTACAAAATCATTGAATGAAGCATTCGGTTTGCTCAGACAAATGATACCAACATTACCATCGGATAAATTGAGCAAATTTCAAACATTGAAACTAGCATCACGTTATATACAATTTCTAGATTGGGTAAGTTTAAAAAATGAAAAAAAAATTCAAATTTTTTAAATTTCAATCAATAAAAATAGATGCTTTCATCGGAAAATTATGGCCAAACACCACCACCACCACCACCACACCACAACAACAAAAACAAGAATCGGCAACAAACATTTGTTTTGATCATCAACAACAGAATCATCATCAATCGTTAGGTTATAATAATAATCAAGATCGTTTACCAAGTTTTTATGAATTAAATTCATTACCACCAACAACAGCAACGAAAACAATGATCATACATAACGATGAAGATAGATATGATGATTATCCATTACAAAATCACCATCATCAACATTCACCAACATCATTATCATCGACAGCATCATCATCATCGCCACATTCATCACAATCAACGCCATTCTATATGAATCGATTGCCTAATTATCAAATGAATCAATCAAAATCATTGGAATCATCAACATCGATTGATACATTTATATCATATGCATTTTCAATGTGGCGTATGCAAGCATCAGATTCATCAATCACAGCGACAACATCGTCATTACAAACACCACCACTACCACCAGCACCGACAACAACATCGGCTGATCCAATATTAATCAATTATCATCATCATCATCATATGAATGGTCATAATCAATCAATTGATCATACATCATTGATTGGAATATAATAATAATTACGTAATAACATATGTATTAATTTGTATTTTTAAAAAATTTTCAAAATCTATTTAAAGATTCAGTGATCAGATTTCATTTATATATTATATTCATTTTAATTAAATTAATGAATTACTGCTTCTGTATGACATTTGGGAAAAGAGAGATTTGAAATAAAAAATGAATTTTCCATCTTTCACAAGTTCAATTTTCAAATGTCATAACCATTTTTTTTCGTACATGACATTTTGACCTTTTTTTCTGTTGTTCTCGTCGTTGTCGTAGCGTTATTATCTTTCCATAGTAGTGTTGAACAACGAATAATTTCATGAAGATGATTTTCCAAAAAACTGACTATCTAGTAAAAAGAAAATCAATGAATGAATGAATGAGTGAAACTAAGAAGATTTTACCAACTTTTTTTTCAGTTCCGTTTTTTTTTCTTTGCTAATAAAATAAAGATTTCATTACTATTTGTTGTTGATGATGATGGTGATGATTATGACCAACAACCACTACCAACACCACCATTGCGAACACAGCTGCACATTATTTGAAATGAATGAAAAAAGACTCTTGTTGCAACACAAACATGATGATGAACATAATCTGAATCTTCAAGATTTTTTTTTTTTTTTTTTGCTTTTTGATCTGGTTTATGTGTGTGTGTGGGTGGACTTCAAGGTCGAATCATAGAACAGAAGAACCGTGAACCGAAACTAAGAATCTAAAAAATCGAAGGAGAAAAAAAACATTAGGCTACTGTGCTGCTGTTGTTGGTGCTGTGTGTCGAGTTTGTAATCTTGTCCCGTTTTAGATGATGATGAAAAAAGTGAAACAGCAACAGCAGCAAAAATGTCTGCGGTCTAGTCTGGTATTGTGGTAATCGTTCCGGAAATCTGTCTTTATTAACCATGTTTTTATGTTTTATGTTTTTATTTTGTTTATTTCCATCAAAGAAAGGTGATGATGATCTTCATCTTGATATAATAATCTTGTCATTTTGATCAATTGAACGATTGAATTTCAAAAAAAAACTTTTGATTTTTTTTTTTCCAACATTGACCAATTCAATCCAGTTTTTGAATTCGAATCGAAATGGTTTTTTCCCTCTGGAGAAAGAGAAAGAAACTGAGATTTTTTGTTTCTGCAAAATTTTTGACTTACTTTATTCAAAATTAGACCTTGGACAATTTTTGTTGGTCGTTCGTTCGTTCGTTCGTTCATGTAATTCGATATCCATATGTGTGGATCCATTGTGCTCATCTGCTCAACATAAGAAAAAAAATCGTTATGGCAAACACAACAAAATGGACGATAAAAAAAACGTCAATAGTCGTTTTTGTCATCTTGAAATTGTCTTTCAATGGTTTTCAGTATACTGAAAATTCAAGAGAAATTTAGAAAAATTCAATTTAGTTTTTTTTTCTTCTTACCCCCAAAAAAGTAGTGAACTGTGTATGTCACTCGCTTCAACATTCTCTGTGTTTAATTAGACAAAATTCGTTAAGCTTTTGTTGATGATGATGACGATAATAATAAAAAACAAACACATTTTTTCAATTGAAAAGTTCAAAAAGTCAAAAACAAAAAAAAAATTGTCAAGGTTCCATGAAAATTACCCTTGGAAATTTCGTTTTTTGTGGTTCAAATTGATCAAAGAAAAAACACACTAATCGACCGATCTGTATCTGAATGTGTTGATTATATTTCAATAGCAAAAAAAAAAAAAAATTCGAATTTTTATTCATTCATAAACAACGGATGAGCGCGGTAACTTTTTATCATGATTTGGTTCAACGAGAAAGAGATATCGAGAAAAAAATCATCATCATTTTCGCTTCATTTACAAAGAAGAAAAGTGTATCTTATTTCAACAACAACAATAACAAAACAAAAAAAAAAAAAATTTTCTTTGGTATCTTCGATTTATTTTCGAAAGAAAAATGGTATACCACCAAAAAATGGTCCAAAACCACCGGTCGATACTTTTCCTCCTGGTCCAAGCGCTATTGAACGACCAACAGCAAATCCGCTGGTAAATCCACCACCATGTGGTCCAACTTTACCGCCAACGGCAACTGGATTAGCATTGGCTGTCATCATTGTCATCATCAGAAGTAGCAGCAATAATCCAGCCAAAAAACTTGTCACAATCTGCATAAAATTCAGATGATCAAAACATTAAAACAAAACAACAAAAATTAATGAACAAACAAACAAACCCGAATAAAATTCATATTTTTTTATCGTTAGTCTGTCGTGGTCGTTAATGGTCAATGATTGAATGAATGAATGAAAATGGACACGATCGAAAATCATAATAAAACTTTTTAAAGGACAAAAAAAATATTTTCTCAACAGGAAAACGCGCATACTGCAATCTGTTGTTGGTGGTACCTGGTGCATGGATGAATGAATTTTCAAATGGTGAGAAAAAGAGATGGAAAAATTTACCTTGAATTAAAGGTGTGTTTGAGTTTGTATGACCATTTTGCGTAATCAAAAAAAAAAAAACTCAAACAACCGGAAAAAGGAAATTGCAATCAATTTTTGTGTGTCTTTAATCAAAAAAGAATTTCTTTTTTTTGTTGCATGTTGCCACACAATAGATCCTTGAATTAGTCATCATCATCGTCATTATTATCATCACCAGAGCAAATTAATTAATTGCCCCAGAAAAAAAAATTCGAGAAATTTCAACATTCCAAAACATCTGGAATGATGTTGGACCATTAACACCCTACCATTGCCAAAAGTTGAAATATCCGATTCATGATGACAATAAAAGAATGTATAAATGTCATCAACATTGAAAAAAATCGATTTTTCAATTTCAATGAAAAATCGTGATTTAGCAAAAAAAAAAGACTCATATCAAGAAAGTTCATAATAATGCTGAAGAATTGGTTGTCATATTCATGATTTTTTTTTCATTTGTATAAATAAAACCAAACAACAACAACAACAACAAGTCAATAAATATTATTACAAAAACTAAAAAACGACGACGACTTCGACTATACGAGATGGTGATTTGTTTAGAACAAATCACACACACACACATTCCATCCAGCACACAATCACATTATAATCGTTTAAACAATTTTCAATTTCAAAAAAAAAAACAAAATACTCATCATTCGTTTGATTTTTTTTCATTTTGTTTTTGTTTCTCTCTCTCTTTCTCTAAATCCAAATGAGCTTCATTCAAAATTGAATCGAATCGTTTTTTTTTCTCAATAGCAAACAAGTGTGTAAATGCCGAGTAACTTGGCAGTGCAACCAACAACACACCAAATGTCATTGATTATTACCATATGTTCTTGTTGTTGTTGTTGTTGTTGTTGATTTTATAATCCATTGTTTTTGGCAATTTTTATAGTTAGTTAAAAATCAATCGATCAATCAATCAATTTTTAAATGCTATTAACTTGGATTTGAACAAAAATATAGTCGTTTTTTTTCTTGATTCTAAAAAAAAAATTCATGTCTTTTGTAAAAGATAAATCGGGATTGTTAGTGTTAAAGATGATGATGGCGAGAGAGAAGCAATTTTGTTTATAATTTTTTTTTTTGTTCTTCATAACAATAACAATTCCAAGTAATTCATATTGAGTTCTCGGGTCCCGAAATTGATGATGAATCGTAGTGACAATAAATACAAACAAAACAGTTTAGAATTTTATTATATAAACACTGGGCCAAAATATTTCGATTCGAATTATTCAAAAAAAAAAAAAAAAAATTGGTCAATTAAAACCTATCGATAGTATCGATATTTTAAATGTTTTTTTCTGATTTTAAACATTTCTTCCCGTACATATGATAGAATTCAAAAGAAAATTTTGTTGATCCAAAAGAAAAAAAAATAATCTCCATCATAAAAATGATTTAATGATTTCATGACCATTTGTCACTTATGATAATAATGATGGTTACCTACACAACCATTCAATGTGTTTTTATTATTAATTTCAATCGCTCAATCTAGGCACAAAAAGAACAAAAAAAAAGAGATAAATAAATTCAATTAATTATTGTTCAATATAAATAAATCTTATAACTAATTAGCTAATTTTTTCTATTATTATCAATCAATTTAGTGGCACATTGATCTTGTGGAAAATTTCATTTATTGTTGTTGATTATATTTACGTCACGTTTATAATGATGATGATGATAATGATAATCTCAGCTGTACTTAATCCACTTATCTTAATGACCCATTTGTGTATGGAACGATTTAATCAAAATGTCATTAAACATGTTTATCATTTTTATTTCTGGATTCGTATATTATCCACATCATTATTCAACGTCAACAAATCACCAACATAATAATGAATCATACATCGTCCAATTTAAATATTGAAAATCTTTTCACATCAATTTGTAAAACAAAATTCTGGGTAAGAAAATTTTTGTTGTTTTTCAAATTTTTTTTCTTACTTATCATTTCATTTCATTGAATTGAAACAAAAAAAAAACAGGATCATGAACAATTCTGGAATACCAATCGACCATCATTGACACCTTGTTTTTTGAATACAGCATTAGTATGGCCTCCGATCGTATTCATATGGATTAATTTACCATATACAATATATGATTATCGAAATTCTGATCGGCCACCAATACCATTAAATCGTTTCAATGTTATGAGAATGTTGGTGGCCATTCTCATGACCATTATTGAATTAGCACATGCCATTCATGTGGTTGTTTATCGATTTTTCGATGATACTGTAATCGACAACACCTATGTTAGTACAGCACACATATTATCATTATGGTTAACATTTTCCGGTTATCTTTTGCTCATCGTTTATTTACATCTGCAACGTAAACATGGTTTTGTTAATGGTGGTGTCGTATGGTTCTATATGCTTGTTACCGTTGTGTTCAATATTTCCACCATACCATTTGCATTGAAATATCGACCATTTGAACATTGGATTTATCTTCCTATCAAACTTTCAACACAAATTATGCTATTGATTTTCTGTTCATTTAGTGATCGTAATCCATTGGAAAATGAACGAAAAATTATTGAATCAAAAATCCACCATTGTCCACGTGATTCATCATCAATACCATCAAGATTAATTTTTCGTTGGTTCAGTCCACTTGTATCATTAGGTTGGAGTCGTCCATTAACTTCGGATGATTTATGGGTTTCTCGTCAACATGATTCATGTCAATATCTAATGAATTTATTCTATAAATTTGCTAAAACAAACAAATCGAAACAAAATAATGTCGAATCGTCGTCAAAACAACAATCAAGCATTAAGAATGGCCAAATTGATAATTGTATCGTTGATGATCGAAATGATGAACAAAAAGCTCATCGTGCTTTGAAATGTAATCTTTGGACAATTCTAAGTAAAATGTTTTGGAAATATCTACTATTTCCAGCTATTGGACGTCTTTTAACCGATCTACTTCAATTGGCTAATCCAATCATATTGAAATCATTAATTGAATATACAACCAGTAATGATACACGATTATGGCATGGTATATTGTATTCGATGGGATTTTTTCTCATCAACATGATGCAAAGTTGGTCCTCCGTTTATCAGCAGCATCGATTTTCTATTTTATCATTACGGATTCGTTCTACCCTGATCGGTGCCATCTATCGTAAATCACTTGTATTAGCAACAGATTCACGTAAAAATTATAGTACCGGTGATATTGTCAATCTGATGGCAATCGATTCACAACGTTTTATTGATCTTGTTCGTTTTGCAAATTTTCTATGGACATCACCGATAATGATTATTATCGGATTTTATTTATTATATCAAGAAATGGGCTGGTCAGCATCAGGTGGTTTCATATTGATGTTTCTGCTAATACCATTACAAGGTTATATAACACGTAAAATAAAAGCAACACAAATGAAACAAATGCGAGAAAAAGATCAAAGACTTCGAGCTATAAATGAATTATTGAATGGTATAAAAGTGTTAAAACTTTATGCATGGGAAAAAGCATTCGTCCAGAATTTGAATCAAATCCGATCAATTGAATTGAAACGAATACGTATGGCCGGATTAATTACCACAATGTTTGTTATGGTAGCGATTACATCACCATTTATGATTACATTTCTTGTGTTTGCCGTCTACACAAAATGGTATGGAATGATTTTGACATCGAAAAAAGCATTCGTTACGATTGCATTGTTCAATTTATTACGTGTTCCATTATCAGCATTGCCCAATATGATGACAACATTGGTTCTTGTGAGTATTTTGAGTCTTTCGAATGAAAATTCATTTTTTTTCATCTCTCAGACAATCGTATCAATGAAACGAATAAATCGTTTTCTAAACGCTAATGAATTGGAAGATTATGTTGAACGTCGTTCATTGAAAACGGATGCAATACATATATCGCAGGCATCATTTTCTTGGGAACAACAACAGAATAATGATGATAAACAACAGCCTACATTGGCCAATATTGATGTTCGGATTCCCAAAGGACGATTAGTCGCAATCGTTGGACAAGTTGGTTCCGGAAAATCATCATTTTTAAATGCAATACTTGGTGAAATGCATAAACAAAATGGTTCATTAGCTATTGATAAAGATCTACGTATTGCCTACGTTTCACAACAAGCATGGATTCAAAATCTTACAGCAAGAGAAAATATTCTATTCGGTCAGCCATTTGAACAAGATCGATATGACAGTGTAATAAAAGCATGTGCATTGAAAACTGATTTCGAAATGCTTGGACAAGGTGATCAAACTGAAATCGGTGAAAAAGGTATTAATCTTTCTGGTGGTCAAAAACAACGTATTAGTATTGCACGTGCTTGTTATTCTGATGCCGATATCTTTCTATTTGATGATCCACTTTCAGCTGGTAAGTAGATTAATAATCCATTATCAATAATTCTTATCATTTATTCATTCAAATAGTTGATAGCCATGTTGGAAAACATATATTTGAATCGGTAATTAGTTCAAATCAAGGTTTATTGCGTGAAAAAACACGTATTTTAGTCACAAATGCATTGTATGTTTTACCATTGGTTGATGAAGTAATTTTATTGAAAAACGGTACAATAGTTGCCACTGGAAGTTGTCAACGATTATCTAAAGAAAATGAAGCATTTAAAGAATTAATGGAGAATTATCATCCATCGCATGCACATGAACATCAACATCAACATCACAATACTGTTAAGCGACAACATTCAAAAATTGATGATCATCATCATCATCACCAACAACGTCCAAAAGTATTACATCGACAATTTACAACCGAATCATTACTGTCGGATACGGCATCCATTTCATCAATTAGTACCATAGAATCATTAGAAGAAGAGGAAGAAGACCAGAAAAAAATCAATGATAATGGAAAATTAATTGAATCCGAATCAATGGAAACTGGTCATATTAATTGGTCAGTGTATAAAAAATTTCTGAATTCATTGACAAAAAAATGGGCCATTCTCATACTGTTTGGTTACGCATCATATATCACATCAAATGGTGGTGCAAATTTTTGGCTCTCATTCTGGACTGATCGTGTAGATCGTGAACATCATGATCACGGTTATGAACTGTGGATTTATTTTGGCATCGGTATTCTACAATTGGTATTCATATCGATTGGTTGGTGTTCAATTGTAATGGGTTGTCTACGTGCTTCACGTACATTACATGAACGTCTATTATCAAGTATTGTACATGCACCAATGTATTTTTTTGATACAACACCATTAGGACGTATTATGAATCGATTTAGTCGTGATATTGATCAATTGGATAACACGATGGCCATGTATATAAGGTTAGTGTTGTTGTTGTTGTTTTTTTTTTTTTGGTTTTTCAATTTTTCTTCACACACATACAGAATGTACATGATTCATACAATGAATGTTACCGCCACATTATTTATCGTATCGTTTCAAACACCAATATTTTTGGCGTTTGTTGTTCCATTTATGATCATCTATGTTCTTGTACAACGTTTTTATGTTTGTACTAGCCGTCAATTGAAACGCATTGAATCAGTATCACGTTCACCAATATTTACACATTTCTCCGAAACATTAAATGGTGTATCAACGATCAAGGCATATAATGCTGATGAACGTTTCATTAATGAATCAAATCAACGTGTTGATCGAAATTTTCAATGTTTTTATCCATGTAAAGTTGCTGATTGTTGGCTATTGATTCGTTTGGAATTCATGGCGAATTTATTGATTTTTTTCGCATCATCCATTGGAATATTGATGAAACTGATAAATAGTGATGGAAATGGCCTAAGTGGTAGCGAAATTGGTCTTTCATTATCATATGCATTGAATATAACAATGTCATTGAATCAAGCGGTAAGAATATCGGCTGAAGTTGAAAACAATGTCGTCTCGGTTGAACGTATTGATGAATATATCAATGTTCAACCTGAAGCCGATTGGCATAAAGATGATGATGATCGTTTGAACGAAAATTGGCCATCCAATGGATCAATACAAATGGATGATTATGCTACTCGTTATCGTCCAGGTTTAGATCTTGTACTTAAAGGTATTAATCTACAGATTAAACCAGGTGAAAAAATAGGTATCGTTGGTCGTACTGGTGCTGGAAAATCATCATTAACACTGGGATTATTTCGATTGATTGAAGCCGCCCAAGGTAGAATTATGCTTGATAATGTGGATATCTCTAAACTTGGATTACACGTAAGTAATTGCTGAATTACATTGTAATCGATTAATTCACTTACCAAATTTTTTGTTCAGAAATTACGTTCACGTCTAACAATCATACCACAAGATCCGGTACTATTCATGGGTACTATTCGTTTCAATTTGGATCCATTCAATCAATATAGTGATCAAGAATTATGGACGTGTTTGGAATTATCACATCTAAAATCATTTGTTTCATCATTAGAACGAGGTCTTGATCATCAAGTTAGTGAAGCTGGTGATAATCTTTCCGTTGGTCAACGGCAATTATTTTGTTTGACCCGTGCATTGTTACGTCGTACAAACGTACTGATATTGGATGAAGCAACAGCGGCCGTTGATTTTGAAACTGATTCATTAATACAGACAACAATCAGGAAAGAATTTTCCAAATGTACAATATTAACAATTGCACATCGTCTAAATACAATCATGGATTCAAATCGTGTATTAGTATTGGATGCCGGTAATATTGCTGAATTTGATACGCCAAAATCATTATTATCGAATCGTTCATCAATATTTTCATCATTAGCTAAAGATGCTGGCATTACACATTATTCGTTTGATAGTAAAAAATATTAATACGTACCGTTTGTTGACCATCAACAAAAGACGTGTATATTTCCTTTTTTATTAAATTTCATAATCGTTTTTTTGTCGATTGATTGATTGATTAAATTTCAAATTCTAAACCGGAAATATATGACATGTTGCCAATACATTAGTGTGTATATCAAATATATCATCATCCTTGAATGGCAGACGGAAATTTCAACTAAAAAAAAAGTTTACAATTTTGCAAATTGATATTGACATTTTTTATACATATAGTTGTAATGTAATGTAATTTAATAATTGATTTTTTGGTTATCAATTTGAAACAACAATAAAAAAGAAAGAAATGACAATGTGACAATATCAAATTAGTGTAAATTATTCATTCATTCATTCAAAATCAAATGATTGATAAAAAATTTTAACATTGACATTGGCAATCATCAATGATGATTTGTAAATATGAAAATCAACATCTAGTCATTAACAATCTTACACACACACATAGCAGCCATGGACATTAGACACACACACACACACACAAGGACAATTGCGTTTAATAATCATCATCATCAACAATAATTACAATCAAATCAACCAATGATGGGTGATGAACGAAAATCGATATCAACAACAATCGATTTGAATGTTTTCATTTTTATTGCCTTCAAATTTTTCTCATCATAACAAAAAAAATTTTTCATTTCATTCAAGTCTATTCTTTTTTAGGACTGAAAATTTTTCAAAAAAAATCATAAAGTGTAATATATTGAAATGTATCAAACAAACAAATAAAGGAAGCAACAACAACAACAACAACAAAAAAATCAAAAATCCAATGATCCAGATCATTTCCTGTTTTGTGATGTGTCATTGCGATATTTATACAAATAGAGATTGATATAGATAATAATGGTATACGGTAGTGTTTTCAAACGACATAATTTGTAATAATTAATAATAATAACTTTTATGTCGTTTTTTTACAGGTGTTTGTTTAAATTCAAATTGTTATTATTACGATCAAACAATAGATGGAGGATTTTTGATTTGATTTGCAATCACAAGGATGATGTGTACTTGTTTTCCAACAGCCTAGAAAAAGGCCATAAATGTTGCTTGTGTGTTATTGGACTTGGCCAAACACATTTTTGATGGCCAATATTTATGGAAAAAAATAATGTCACATCATTCATGTCAAACATACATACACACTCACATATATATCAGCAGCCTACTGGTGGAGGAGAAAAAAATGAAAACTTTTTTTTTATTATCTGGTCAATGTGTGATTGAAAGAAGAAGAAGAAAAAAAATTTACCATTTTTTTCAGGTGAAAAAAAAAATTATAACACACAATTATCTGGTGTGACACACATATATATCATAGTTATGACTAGTGTACACCTGTTTTTTATTGGATATTTTCACTCACATAAAACAATTCACATTCCCGGAGTGCCCGATAGTTTTGTCAGTTAAAAGTTTTTAGTCTTTACACGGAAATTATTATTTTCAAAATAATTTTTTCAGAAAAAAAATCAACACTATTTTCACTGTTACACATTCGAATCTATTTCCACACAACAACAGATGTGCTGTTCTGTTCTATTCCAACAACAACAACAACGAAAAAAAAACCAATCTCCAACATTTTTTCGATTTTAAATACCGCCATTTTTGTTTCGTTTTGAAATAAAATAATAAAAACATTTACTTTCTTTATTTTCTTGTCTCTCAACTTTTTTTTTTCATTTTCCATCAATATCTGTCTATGTGAAGCAAGTGTGGTCTCTCTCTCTCTTAATCGTGTTTTTTTTCTGATTAGAAAATTTGCTTTTTTCGATATAGAGAGACGAAATTCACACAGAGAAAGATTATTACTACCTATGAAATTTTTTTTTTTTTTTTTTTTTTGAAATATGCTGTTTTCTGCTATATGTTAAAATTTGCTTGTTTCACATCCACCATATATATATATATTCATCAACGAATTGATCATTTATAAATGTTCATATTGGATGAACACATCACATACGCAATGCCAAAAGCTGATAATCCTTTCTGCTCATGTCGATATATGATTATTAATGTTTCCAATCGAATTAAATTGAATTTTACATTTTCAAAAATTGTATCGAACAATCATCATGTTATATTTCATCATCATGAATGAAATTTTGTTTGCCAATCACTATCATAATCATCATCAGAAATTATTATTTTCCATCGATTTCTATACGAATTGATCATAGTTATTTTTTTTGTGAATTATTCTCTTTTTGTGCGTAATTTTCTTTTTGTTTCGGTGACATTCAAAGTGCATGTGATATTATCATCATCATCATCATCTAGTCTAGAGAATTGAAAAATTCGAAACGAAACCTTCGATTTCCAGCAAACGGTAAGATTTCATTTTCAATTTCATTTTTTCCCATTAATCATAATGACGATGATGATTGCGATGATTAACAGGAATTGAATTTCGTTTTTTTTTTCATTTCTGAAAGTAAAGAGTAATTGAATTAAAGAAATAGAGAAACAGGAATCATTCGATTAATTTATACGAAACAAAATGATGATGAAATGCTTTTTCCATTTTGAAATATACAATGTTCAGCCATCATAGTGTTGTTGAGGGTGGAATTTAAGGAATTTTCTCAATATAAAATGAAAATCTTTTTATTATATCGTTAAATTCAATCATTTCTTTCAACGATAATTATTATCATTATCATCATTATATTGATGATTTTTTTTCTAAGAAAAAAAATAGTAAATACGGGAAACTTGGTTTTTCCAAATAGAAAAAAAGCTCTGCATTTTTTGTTGTTGTTGTTGTTGTTGAAAAAATTGTGAATAGAAAAAAAAACAAACAAATCCAAACACACACATTTTGAATGCCGATTGAATGATGATTATTGTATTTGTGTTGTTCATTCGATTGGACACACAAACAGACACACACAATATGCGACCTTCATCATCATCAGCAAACAGAAAGAAAAATTTAATCTTTCCCGCCAATTTTTTTTTTTGAATTTGAAGAGAAAATTTTAAATTTTCTCTGCAGCTGCAACTAGTTGTTGTTGTTGTTGGAACATTACATTGTCTATGAATAGTACCAATGAAAAAAAATTTTATTCGATTTTTCAATTTTTTTTATTATCATTCGAAGCAAAAGATGAAAATCTTATGAAATCATTTTGAAACGAGGACATATAATCGAGAAACAAATGAAAATTCTATATTTATATTTATATAAAAGTTTTTATTTTATTCAAATTTCTTTTTGTCGTGTCCTGTGTTTTAGTTTTATAGTTTGTGTGTGAATTTTAAAGAATGTTAATTGATATTTTTGTTTGTGTTTAATAATTTTCAGATAACTAAATCATTTTTTGTTTCAAGTACGTTCACATAATGATTCAATTTCAAATATGAAAAGCAAAAAAACAAATGAAAATCAACGAATTATCTATATTTATATTTATATATTTTTATGCTGCAATTTTTGGAAAAAGCAAAACAAACAAATTTTGTTTCAAAGTGTCTTCGACAGTGGTTTTTTTCTGTAAAAAATTTTAGGTTTAATTTTTGCTGAAACCTTAGAACACAAAACATGATTTATTTTCGTTTTCGGAATTAATTCATTATCACCTGAAAAATCTTGAATTAAAAAAATCATCTACAAGAAGATCGTTCCCAACTTCATGTTAAAATTTTTTTATCGAAACTTGTTGTTGAATGAATGAATGATAATGACTGCGGTATGGATTTTTCTTCTTGTTATTGAAGAATAAAACTCATCTGAATAAAAAATTATTTAACATTGTTTATCAAATTTGGCTTTGTATGTCGTTGTTTCATGTATGTTGTCAATTTATTCATTTACAATATTCCGTATCATTATAAGCAAGCGGAACAGAGCCCTGCTTGATGATTTTAACGATTATAATCGAGATGTTTCTTTTTTTTCTTCGATTTCAATCATCATCAATATATCGTTTTTTTTTGTTTGTGGTTGTTTTTGACAATAACATCACCATCAAGGATGACATAATGATTCAATTTCAAATATGAAAAGCAAACAAATGAAAAATTCTATATTTATATTTATATATTCATTTTTAAAAAGCAAAACAAAACAACAAAAAAAAATTTAGAACACAAAAAGATTTATTTTCGTTTTTGAAAAAATTAAAAAAGAAGAAAAGACAAAAATTTTTGTTGTTGTTGAATGAATGAATGATAATGACCTGGAAAATAAAAATAAAAACATTGTCGTATGTATGTATGTTGTCTATTCATTTTATCATTATATTGATGATGATGATTTTCGAGGTCAATGATGATGATGATGATTACGATGACGATGACGATGATGTCAAATCGAGAGACACCAATTTCAAACAGAACAGAACAAAAACAAGCAGATAAATCCCAACTTTTTTGTATGTGTGTGTTGAATGTTGTTGTTGTTGTTTTGACTTTTTGTTTTCTTATACCATTCTTAGATTATTGATGATTTTTTTTATTGATAATTAACCAGTGAAAAAAAAAATTGATTGCTTTGTTTATGTTTTTATATATTGGTATTAGTTTGTTTTTTCTCACTTTTCATCATCAATCAATCAGTGTTTGATGATGAAAACAAAATGTGATACATTTTCTACATCAAACATGACAAACTTTGGATTGTATAATTTTTTTTCCATGTTTGGGAAATTCCGTCAAGATGATGAAAAAAAAATTTTTTTATCAAACAACGATGCTGATGATTATGGATTTAAGCGATATGAATGAAATGTGGAAAAAAACTATACGGATACGGTTAAAACACGTGCATACCATTTACCTTATTATAATAATATAATATATCAGCACATTGGAAATGTCATTTTTGTTGACATTTGTTGTTGTTGTTGTTCATGTGTTTGATACATTTTTTTGTTTATCATCGATATATAAATATCATGTCGATGATCAATGAATTTGGATTATGACATAAAAAAATGGCATGATTGTGAATAAAAATAAAACGAAAAAAAGAAATCTTTCTGCCTTTCTGACGACTAATCGATTATTTTTTTTCTTTTTTGGCAATCCTGGTAATTTTTTCTCCTGTTCTGCTACAAGTTGCTGTAATATTTTGAATTTATAAGCCGGTAATTAAAGGTGACGAAGAAAAAAAAGTCTGCACTTGGATAATGATGATGATGATGATGATGAAAACGGTTGTCATTGCCGCAGACACAGACACAGACGTAGACAGAGAAATTGAAAAATTTGAAATCAATCCATTGATTGATCGATCGATCGATTGATTGATTATTGTCTGGATTTTTTTTCCTATCCAAATGATAAATATGTTTATTTGAGGAACAAAAAATTTGGGGATGGGAGGGGAAAGCTACAAAATCTGGATTCATCCAATTTAATGCGAATAAAAAATTGAGAAACAAAAATTTCCGTCTATTTTATTTTCCTGAATTCATTTGATGATGATATAAACATTTAACATTTGATCATGATGAAAAACGTTTCCTGAACAACAACAACAACAACAAAAACAAAATTGCATTGCCATATTGATTTCGATGAATGAACCATGATCATCATCATCATGGATCATTCATCAATAATTCATATTGATCACTCACATACACACACACAGCTGTTGATTGATCTGAATCGAAAGAAAAAAAAACACAAACAGCATGCAATTTGCTGAATAAAAAAACAAAAACACTTGACACTTGACGATGATAACAAATCAATCCAATTTTTCAATTTTGATTTATTATAAAAAATTATTTCATTGCTGGATGGATGTGATAAACCGAAAACTATTTATTTGCATAATTTCATCATCACCAGCAGCAGCAGTAATTATCAAATGAATTGTTTCCTTTTTTTCAGAAAAACAAATTCATTCATTAATTAATTGAAATTCAATTGAAAATGAAAATTTTTAAAATTTATTTTGCCATTGTCTGTCACAATAATCAATCAATCAATCAATCGTTTTTGAAAAAATTTTTTTGTTGTTAAAATTTATTTGTCAAAAATGAAAAAAAAATTTTTTTCATCTTCACTTGTCAACATTGTTGATTTTCATTCATTCATTCATTCAGCCATTCCTTCGATTTGATTGATGATGATTTTTTTCCAATTTTTTTTTTCGTTTGTGTTTCTGGTATTTTGACTGTGACTGTGTGAATTATCTGTCTTTTTTTTTGTGTGTGTGAACCACAAAATATGTCGTTTTTTTTGCTGTTGTTTTTTTTGTAGTTGTCCATACAATTGCTCATCCGTGTGGTATTTATTAGTTAGTCCAAAAGTGATGATGGTGGTGGTAGCCTACAAACACGAAAAAAGCACATAAATAATTTTCGATGATGATGATGATGATGATTAGCCTTGAAAGAATTGGAGATTGGATGTTGTTGTTGATGATTTTGATTCGGTTTCCAATCAATCAAACTAATTTCATTTTGTTTATGTGTGTGTGTATGATGTAAATTGATCATCTCATTTTGTTGTTGTCAATTTGTTTATTGATTGATTGATTACACCACCATTGTGTTACTATGTGTGTGTATGTATGTAATCTGGTTTGATGGAATTGGATACAGGTTAGAGTGAAGAAACTGAAACCCTTTTTTCCGAATCCTTTCTCTTTGTCTTTTTTTTTTTGTTTGGTGGTAATTAAAAACCGAGTTGAACAAAAAAAAATTCTGATTTTTTTTCTGTTATAAAATAGATGTTTCGAACAATATCGTATGTTTGATGCGTAATTTTTTTTCTTTCATCTTCATCTTCATCTTTACCGCATCATCGCCATTATCATTTCATTCATATCAGCACATTCAAACGATTCGACGACAAACGTGAATTTTTTTTTACATTTCTACACAAAAAAAAATAATAATTCCACAATGAATGCCGATGATTCTGATGATCAAGGTGTAGTTATGAAAACAACATCGAACGATAATAATAAAGATAATCATGATGAGAAAAATGAATCAACATTAAATATGAATGATGATGATCATCATGATCATCATCAAAATCAACATCAATCATCGCAAAAACATTCACATCATCAGCATCATCATATTCTTCAATTTAATAATTTAAATCAAGATGACATGGAAATTGCTGTATTTAGTGAATTATCACATTTATGTCCAACAAAAGATGGTCAAGCATGGCGTGAGATTGCAAGGTTTGTGTCTGGCATTTGCATTTTTTTTTTGTTTGTTTTGTTTAATGGTCGATATTAAAATTTTTTTTAAATCAGATGGGTAAAATACGAAGAAAATGTTGAAGCCAATGGAACAAGATGGTCTAAACCATATGTATCAACAGTAAATGTGGCTGCTTTTCAAGAATTACGTGATAGTTTTCGTAATGGTGTTGTTATATTTGATTCACAATGTCAATCATTGGGACAATTAGTGGATGAATTTTGTCGAATATTACGACAAAAAAATCTGGTGACAGCTGAAGAATCGAAAAACATAGCCAATCTATTGACATTACAAAAATTACATCTTTTTCAAACAAAACGTTCATTAATGCGTTCATTGGCCGATATGCGACAACAATCATCGAATAATTTTCTACGATTACTTTCCGGTTCCAGCAGTAAGTTTCTGTTTTTTGTTCATTTTGATCGATGATTTGAATTTGTTTTTGTTCTCTTTTTTATTCGATTCAAATAAAGCAAAAATCAACACAGCTGCTATAAATGAAAATGAAAATGTCATCAATTCACAATCACGATCCGATTCTGAAGAAAATGTATCGAACAATTCGAAAACTGGTTCTGTAGCTAATCTACAGAATGGTGGCAATGGTAAAGATGGTAATAAAGATGATTACAAGGTAAATCAATTTGTTGAATTTTTTCGATTATTTTCACTATTATTGTCGTTGAATTTTCAAGTTTAATGATGCTTTTATGCGTAAATTACCGGATAATGTTGTATCGAACAATATTTTGATTGCTGAAGTTGATTTTCTTCAATCACCAATTTCTGGATTTATTCGTCTGCAAAATGCCACTGTTTTGGGAAATATGACCGAAGTTTCAATACCCACGAAATTTATCTACATTTATCTGGGACCGAAAATGAATGCCACAACCGGCTTGAATAATTATGAACAAATTGGCCGTTCATTGGGCACACTAATGTCCGATACTGTTAGTCAGTCATATAGTGTTTATATTGTCAAAATTGATTCATATGGAGCTATTTTTTTTCTATTATTGTAGATATTTAGACAAGTGGCATTCAAAACTCAGAACATCAGTGCATTGGTTCAAGCATTAGAGGATTTTCTACAAGAATCACCAATACTGCCACCAAATCTTTGGGATCCATCCACCAGGATTGAACCACCGGAAAAAACACCGGCTAGTTCAAATAAAAATCGTGGCCGTCAAATGTTACATGATTCAGCATTATTTCATCGTGATTCATGTCATAGTTCAAATGATGGCAGTGTTAACAACAACATCAACAATAATGAACATAGTTTTACATCACAATCGTATTATAATAAAGCATTCTTTCTGGATAATGGTGATAAAGTCATTTCGTTCCGCAATCATAATGATACATTTGGATGTTTTATTGATGATAAAATCAATATGGATTCCGATGATGAAGAAGAAATGGAACGAAAACAAATGGGACTTGTACGTTCAGGAAGGTAATGTGAATGTGAATAATAATTTATTGTGGAATTCACTGATTTGATTGATTTCTTTTGTAGATGGTTTGGTGGATTAATTAATGACGTGAAACGAAAATTCCCCATTATAAAAGTGATTTTATGGATGCACTGTCAATGCAATCAGTTGCATCGATTGTATACCTGTATTTTGCTTGTGTAACACCGATTATTACATTTGGTGGCCTACTTGGTGATGCTACCGGCAATAATGTTGCTACAATGGAAAGTTTAGTTTGTGGCTGTCTATGTGGTATTGTGTATGGCCTATTTAGTGGACAACCATTAACCATTCTCGGTAGCACTGGACCGGTATTGGTTTTTGAAACTATTGTCTTCGATTTTTGCCGTACTTATGGATATGATTATCTGGCCCTACGGTTCTGGATCGGTATGTGGACAGCAACAATCCTAATGATATTTGTTGCATTTGATCTTAGCTATTTTGTATGCTATATTACACGTTTTACGGAAGAAAATTTTGCATCACTTATTTCAGTGATTTTTATGTATAAATCAATCGAAAAATTATTGAAAATCAATCGTGATTATCCAATTCATCTACATCCAAATGATCCAATGGATAATGAATGTTTGTGTTTACTCAACCATGATAACGCTAACATAACAATGCGATTTGATGCAAACGTTTCCACTATCGATGGTGATAATGGTATACGTAATAAATGTTTACAAATGGGTGGAACACTTTATGGCAATGGTTGTCACAATGCATATGTAGCGGATGTTTTTCTATTTTCGTTTATATTATTAACATTCACATATATTTTATCCATAAAATTGAAATCATTTACATCGACAAGATTTTTCACCACAAATATTCGACAAATGGTTTCAGATTTTTCCGTTCCAATCGCTATTGTTATAATGACAGCTGTCGATAGTCTAACCGGGCTTCCAACACCAAAACTTCAAGTACCAAATGATTTTAAGGTTTGTTTGATTGATTTATTGATTTTGGAAGAAATAATTATTCAATTTTTTTTGTGTTTGTGTGTGTGTGTGTGTGTGTGTTTATAGCCAACATTACCGACAAGAACATGGCTTGTATCACCATTTGCTCAGGCAAATCCAACATGGATGCCATTCGCAGCATTCATACCAGCAACATTGGCTACAATATTGATTTTTATGGATCAACAAATCACGGCTGTAATTGTTAATCGTAAAGAAAATAAATTAAAGGTTCGTTTAGTATAGTTTTAGTGTTAAATAATGAAATTTTTTTTTCTCAATTTACAGAAAGGATGTGGCTATCATTTAGACCTGTTCATATTATCCATATTGATCTGTATTTGTTCAATATATGGTCTACCTTGGTTTGTTGCCGCCACTGTTCTGTCGATAACACATGTTAATTCATTGCAAATGGTTTCACAAACCGCTGCACCTGGTGATCGGCCAAAATTTCTCGGTGTCCGGGAACAACGTGTTACACAAATTGTTATATTTGTATTATGTGGCCTATCAATATTTTTCACACCGATTCTACAACGTATTCCTATGGCCGTACTTTATGGTGTTTTCTTTTATATGGGTGTTTCATCTTTGCATGGATCTCAGGTTTGAAATGGAAAAACAAAATTCTTGCCTTTTAACTATTCTCTCTCTCTCTCTCTTTTTTTTAGTTTATGGATCGAATCGCAATCATGTTTATGCCACAAAAATATCAACCCGATTATATGTTCCTAAGACGTGTGAAAATGTATCGTGTACACATGTTCACCATAATACAGGTTATTTGTTTTATATTTTTATGGGTTATAAAATCATCGAAACCGATCTCGATTACATTCCCATTGATGGTAAGTTCAAATGATTTATTAATCATTATATTTGGATAATAATGTTTAATTTCTAAATTTCAGTTGGTTGTAATATTGGGCATACGTAAACTACTTGATTATGTTTTCACACAAGAAGAGCTGAAAATATTGGATGATAAAATGCCCGAATCGAAACGTAAGAAAAAAGAACGTACAAAAGAACGTTTATCGGTTATGATCATGAAAAAACAACAACAACAACAGAATGGTCGAACAGCAGATAAAAAGGCAATTTAATGAGAAACAAAAAGAAGACCATTATAAATGAAATTTTTTTTTTTTTTAATTTCACATTCTTTTTTGGATTTATCATCATGTCACATTTAAATTACAAAAAACAAATATTTCACTTTGATAAAACAAATTTTTTTTTACAAATTATCAATCAGATGAATTATCGATACGTGTTGATTTATCCAATTCCATCATTGCTTCTTGTATGGCTCGTTCTAGTAATACATTGACGGGTTTTCCACTGAAAATTATGTAAAGAAAAAAAATTTCAATTTGGTAAATGAAAACAATCCATATATGGTACCTTCTATGTCTTTTCCGTGCACAATGATGAGCTTCTAATCCTTCGGTCAATGTTCGTAAACTTTCGGGTGTTACATATGTGCATGTATCATTCGAATTGAACCATCGTACAATTAACTATGAAAATTTCAAAAAATTAAAATTTCATTTTACAAAAAAAAAATTATGAAAATGTTTTACCTTATTATTATCCAGATTTGTATCCGGCGGCGGATCATCAGATGATTTATTCACATCATCATCATCATCATCATCATCATGAATGGATGAAACTAATTTACCGGGCCAAAAACGTACATCACCAAATGGTCCCCATACAAGATCACCATTATTGAATACACGTTCCTGTGGTGGTAATGGTGGCGAAAGACGAACTTTTTCATCAGTGGACAATGTTCCAGGCATACCTTGAATTTCAAGTTGCCTTTTCAATCGTTGTAAACGTTGATAATATTTTTCACGTGATTTTAGCTCATCCAACGATCGTGATGATGATGATGATGATGATGATTGTCCCATTTCCAAAATGTCATTTGGATCATTTAACAAATCGAAGCTTTGATCATCATCGTCGTCGTCATCATCGGTTATTTCATTATCAGCATCATTAATGTTTTTGTCATCATCATTTTCAATACAATGCTCGGTTTCTTCTTCTTCATCAGCTGTATTAGCTATTGTTTGTGAACTTTGTATGATTGATTTTTCAACAATTTCTTTTATAATTAAACAATCATCGATTTCATCTGTCTCAGCTGATTGTTGTTGTTGTTGTTGTTCATCATTTGGAATGAAATCATTTTTTTCAACTAAAATATCAGAAATTAATTCTACTTGCCCAATTGGATCCAATTGAATTTCTTCTGCTTGTTGTTGTTTCGGTAGTAGTTCATCTTTATTGGATTGATGTTGTAAATCACCAACAACAACAACATTATCATCATCATCATCATCGTCGTTCCAATTATTTTGGTCGTCATTTTGATTAAGTTCTAGTAAATTTTTCGGTATATTCATCGTCATCTGATAACAAGCATTATCATCTAAATCTTCAAGACGAATTTCAAAATTTATCTGCTCTTGCTGGTCATCATCGTCATCATGATGTCCACGATGATTCATCAATAAATCGGAATCAATATGTTCAGATAACATGATTGAATTATGGTGATCATCATCCAAATCTTCAATAACTTCAATTGGAATACTTGAACAACTTCCATTGAAATCGATTGTTGATAATTTATTGGATGTTGATGGTTTTGTTGGTGATGATAATAATGATGAATAACAAATATCCTCATCATCATCGACAGCATTGAAATTATTATCATCAGATTTTTTAAAACCCAAATTATCATCATCATCATCAACGGTAGGATTTTCTTCGTTTTTAACAAAAGATTCATCTTTCTCTATAGACCGATCGATGACTTCATCATCGTTGTCACAATCATCATCAACATCATCAATGGTGAATCTATTGAGCATAGTAAATGGATTGATATGATCAAATTGACCGATATTATCGTCACCATTATTTTGAATAGGAAAATTTTCCTTCAACCAATCTAAAGTCGTAACGGACCAATCTAATTGTTTATTCATGGATAAATCCAGTATAGCTGTCGGTATGATCATTTTAATTGGATCTTCATATTTGAAAATTATCGATCGACAATCGGCTACAAATTGAAACGAATGAGCTGATTGTATGACATTGTTTAAATATTTTACAATACGATCATCATCTGAATTATTCATTGTTTGTGGCAGCTGTGGACATTGTCCAATATTATCACGAAAATAATTGAGATCATCTTGGATAATTTCCGATTCTAATTGTTCAATTTCTCGTGCAATCTTTGCGGAAGCTTCAAGAAAATCATCTAGAATCAATCTATTGGGATGATCATTATTCTCCAAATATTGTCCTGGATGTTTGCTATCGGATACGATACCAGAATTTCGCATTTCATTTGCTAAATGCTTTAGATTCGATTCACACAACTGTTTAGTCAATAGCCAACCATTTTTTGTCATCATTACTTGACTCCAATCAAATGATGAATACCAATCATTGAATAAAACAATTTGATCATCATCATTACGTTGTTGTTGATGGATTTTATATATTTCAAATAAATCACATTCATAAAGACAGAATAAATGTAGATTAACATCGAATAAAATTGAACAAAATTCATTTACATCACCGAATGATGATTGAAACCATTGTTCACATGATGATGATAATTCATCGTCATTCGTTTTGTATTCATCATCATATTGAATATTCGAATCGAATTTCGAATCAAAATTAAATACCTCATCAAATGTTAATGATGGATCTAATGAACATTTACATGTGTTTGGATCGGCCAAATACTTATAAACATCGGAATTCGATAACAATATATGACCACTTGGTGTAACATAATAGATTTTATCATATTTATCCAATAATTTTCTTTGCCAAAGATAAGGTATTCGAATTAAATTTGTTTTTGAAGAAAAGCTATAGCTTTCTGAATTCGATTGGCCCGATGAATGGCTAACAGATTCTTTCAGATGGATATCTTCCATTATTATCCATCCAAATGTCTATGTGTGTAAATTTAAGATTTACATTTCTTGAAAATCGAGAAAAAAAAATTAAAACTATTCATCACCATGAAAAATAGATAGATTGATCGAAAATTTTGACAAACGAGTACATCATTGTTTGTAAATATTGAATTTGAAGAGAGCCAAATTTTCGATTGTTGGTAACGATATATCGAATCTACTATCGATAAATTGTTGAAGCAACAAATATTCAAAATCAATTTCAACATTCGATTTTCCAATTTCTTGTTATTTTATTGATCAAATTTGTCATAAAAAATCGCTGATAAACTAAAATCTATGTATTTATGTATCCTAGAAACAATCAATTTTTTTTTTTTTGATGTACTAAAACCGGACATCATTATATCAAATCATTTAAAGAATTTATCAAATTTTTTATGGCTTTTAAATGATTACAAATCGTTGATAAAAACCACGATGACATCTTTACCATTCGATCGATAATGATGAAACCATGATCATTTATCGTCATCTTGTTTACATAAAAAAAAATTTAAATCAATGATCTTGTTACGAAGCGTCATCGACACCAGCGAATCAAATAAAAAATCAATAAGCCTTGGACTTTGAAAATTACAATTTTTCTCATTTCGTCAATTAAGTAAGTAATCAACTTTGTTTGTATGTGATAAAAACAACTACGTTTTTCTTTCTACAACCCGCTCATCAATATTTGTATTGTTTATCTATCGATGTCATGATGACGCCACTTTTGCGAGATTCGAATGTTTTTTTTTCTTGAGCTATTCAAAGTTTCATAGAAGAAAACACAACAACCAGTAATATATCATTTTTTAAAAGTGCAATTGATTTGATTCGATTTTTCTTCATTTTTGTCATATTCTATCGTCGTTGTAATCAAAACAAAACATAAAACGATGATTGATTTTAGGTTTTTTGTTTTCTTCATAGCATTGGCAATGGCCAATAGGCAACATTCATTGTCAACAACAACACCATCATCATCATCACCGCCATCACCAACACCCTCATCAATATCGAATATTGTGCAGGATACAATCATTCAAGTGGATGATAATCTTACAAAATTATTCAACGATTCTGTACAAAAATTTACTAAAGAATTCGACGACGATAAAATAATGCCAACAAATCCATCATTGAATTTTTCATTTTTACATCTGAAGATGCCCGATCCATGGGATATTGAAACAATTAAGCCAAAAATCGTATTCTACAAACGTGGTCAACCAGAATTTGAAGTCGATCATTTCGCTAATGCTAAACAAACGGCCCTTTCGCTGAATAAATTAGGTTTTCTCGACACTGAACGGCTAATATTGATTACACATGGTTTTCATAATAATTTCAATACTGATTGGTTACATGATTATAAGGAACGAATATTCAATGTAAGTGCACAACGTAAAGTAGCACAAACAGTGGCAATTTTAGGCTGGGGTGGTGGTGCAGATATTCTCGTGTTCCGTTATCGACAAGCAGCTGCAAATGTATTGACTGTTGGTGAATGGCTATCACAGTATATCAAGACAATTAAAGATGTTAAACCCGATACAATCATCTATGGTATTGGTCATAGTTTAGGTGCACATGTTATGGGTGTTGCTGGTCGTATATCAAAAGGATTTGAAAGAATTACAGGTATTGTTTTTGTTCACCAAGGAATTTCTTATTAATTTTTTTTCACAAAAATAGGTTTGGATCCTGCTGGACCATGTTTTGAAAAAGTAGAAAATTCACAAACACTTCGTGCTTCGGATGCTGGATTTGTTGATGTCATTCATACGGATGGTTATGATTCTAAATTGGATCCATCTGAATGGTTTTTCCCTGTAAATCATTATGGTAGCCTAGTACCAATTGCATCGTTGGATTTTTACCCGAATTATGGTTATCATCAACCTGGTGCCGGTACATTTACCGTTGCTGGTAGTCATCTTCGTTCATTAGAATTATTCGAATGGTCAATTACAAATCCGAATAAATTTCTAACTAAACAGGTGCTAAGCTCTACGCCTGATTTCGATGAACCAGTTAATTCAAATGAACCAACCAAATATACAGCTGAAATGGGATACTATGCTGATCGTTGGCAATTACCACCAATTAATGCCAGTACATTGTATTATATCGAGACAAATAAACAAGAACCGTGGGTATAAGAATTTTATTATCCCATCAATGAGAGAAAAAACACCATGTCCAGCTATCTATATTTATATCAATTATGTTATATCATTCTAGGATCTTTGAAAAAATTTAATTTAAAATAAAATTTATACGTTGAAAGTATATTTGACATGTATGAATTTGGTTGATTTTTATTTTTTTTTGAATAAACAAAAACAAAACAAATTGGACAACACGTGAATTTCAGTAGCAACAAATTATGGATCAAATAGATGAAAAGAAGAATAAAAAAAATGATTTGACCAAAATAAAATCGATAACTGGAACAAATGATTTCAGTACATTGTCAAAATATTCAATGATAAATAAAGGATATTGTTGTGATCCATATTTAAAATATTTTATTGATGGTGATTCGACGACGATAATCAAAACACGTGCACCAATCATTCATCATGGATATTATGTTCGTTTTAAAGCCATTGAATATGGATGGCAAAAAGTATTCGAATATTCAATGAATGAACAACAAATCAATATAATTTTATCATTAGGCGCTGGTTTTGATACATCATCATTTCGATATCGGAGTGATCGAAATATTTTCATTGAAATTGATCATCCAGATGTTTGCCAGCGAAAAGCCAATATTATTCGCATGAATCAATTGATTGATGATAAGAAAATAAATTTCGAGGAAAATTGTCCGGAATTATTTTTGCAATCATCAAGATATTTATTATTCGGTGTAGATTTACGTCAACATTCGCAGGTGATTAATTTGTTGTCCACAAATCTATTGGATGATATGATCAACGATGCTGCAACTGATTCAAATGAAATGAAAAGACTAAATTTTATCTTATTCAATGAATGTTCACTGTGTTATATTGAACAAACGGTTGCCGATAAATTAATGGCTAAAATTATCGGATTCATTGAAACAAAATATTCATCATCTCGGTATTCTATTCAAATTCAATATCTTGGATATGAAATGTACAACGCAAACGTTGATTCCAATGATTTCAATCGATTCATGTTCAAACATTTTCAACAGATGAATGCACCGATTCTTACATTTATCAATGAGAATCAAATACGTAAACGTTTTGAAAATTTAAATTTTAATCAAATTAATCTGATAAATATGCGTCATTTTTATCGAGAATTATTAACACAAGAAGATCGTAATCGAATCAATCATCGTATTGAACCATTCGATGAATGGGAAGAATTGGAAAATGTTTGTCAAGTTTATTGTTTGACTATTTGTAAAAAATTCAAATCCAATCAATTATCCAATCAAACAATAACGATATACGACCACCGACCAGTTAAATCTTTGCTAGCGAAATCATTTCATCCATCGTTACAAGTATTTGGTCATTGTAGTAATTATGATGCCCATAATAATCAGATAAATGTATTTGGTGGATTCGGTATCGAACCACCACCACCACGACAATCGTCTGTCAAAATGAATAATCGTGTTGCACATTCAAGATTTAAAAATATTCTACAATTATCGTTGGATGATTCACATGAACAAATCACCAATGTTCAAATAATTCATTCGAAAAATAATGAATCCATCATTAATCGATTACATTCTCGTGTTGTACCATTCAATGATGGTAAACATTTTTTCCTTTCAGGTGGACGTAAATCACCAAATCAACCATTGTTATCATCTATCATAGCGATAGATTATGATATAAATCAATTTGAAATTATTGAATCATTCGATATCGTTCATAAATATCGTCATGTTTGCAGTCGATTTGGTTATCGTGATCAATTATGTCAATTTGGTGGTCTACCACTGATTCAATCAAACAACAATGTTGATGAATCAAATTCAATATGGATGTTTGATATGGCAACATCACGATGGTTTCAATCAAAAATCAATGGTTTACTTACTGATCGTCATTCATTGGCATTCACAACCTTCGGTAATCATTCCATCGTATTGAATGGTGGTCTTGATTGTCATCATAATCAATTTTTATCGGAAAATCATATTGAACTTATGGATAGTCGAATGGAAAATGTTGAAAAATTTTTAATTGCAGATTTAAGTGAAAAATTGTATTCACATCATATGAAAATCATTGATGATCATAGAATATTGATAATTGGTGGTATCGCTGATTATGGAATTTCCAATCGAATTTATCAAATTGATTTTAGATTGATGAAAATTTTAACAACAAATTATATTGGAACCAATGATGATGATCAGATATTAATGATGCACAATTTTAGTTGTGAATTAATCAATAAAAATTATCTCTGGACAATTGGTGGTGGTGGGAATTGTTTTTCATTTGGTACACATTTTAATCCAATTTTATCGTTTCAAATCGATTGATGATGATGAATAATAATTAAAAATTAAAAAAATTAAATTTTAAAAAATTTATCCAATACTCACCCAGGTGGCGACACTTGTTGCGCTTTCTAAAATTCGATGTTCACTGCAATTGGTGTGTGTTGTCTTTTGAGTTGTCATAGTCATCGAATTTTTTTTTCTCACACCATAAATCGAACACTGTCACTTGTGAAGTGTCATTTTTTTAATCATCGATGACGAAACAATCGAAATCAAAGAAAAAAATCGATTATAAAATGGCTTTGTTTGATAATCAATCAATCGATAATGACGATGGTCATGAACAGCAGCAGCAGCAACAACAACAAGAACAAGAATCACCAAAAATGGTAAAACTTTCATTGATGGCCTATTTTGATGACATGTGTCGATATCAGAATTATCTAAGTTCATATGTTAAATGTAAGCTATCCAAGAATGTTTTCTTTTTCTTACCCATTAAATTTCATTTTTTCAGCAATACATAATGATTTTGCTAAAGTGTTGAAAATTTGTGATCAATTCAAAACAAAATACTCGTTGAGATCGAAAGAATTGGAAAAAGCTCATCAACATATTGATGAATTGACCATGGAAAATTGTCGTTTGGATAAAGATTTACGATATTTTAAAGAAAAATTTTTGGAAAAATCAAATGATTGCGAAAAAATCAACAAAGAATTGATTGATCTTCGTTCAAAAGTTGAAAAATTTGCCAAAGTAGTAAATTTTACGGATTTTGATAAAAAAAGTGTGAAACAATCCAAGACAACTGATGAGGAAGAAAATGAAAAATTATTATCACGATTACATCGTTTACGATGTGTTGATGATGATAATCAAATCAACACTGAAAATGATGAAAAACTGAAGAATCACCGAATTCATTTGGATGCAATTATAGAAGAAGAAGAAGAAAAAGAGAAAGAAAAACAATGTAATGTACGAATTGATCCAAGAGAAATGGTGGAGAAAAGTTTGGCCATGTCATCGAGTCCTAATTCTTCGGATTTAACAATCGATATTAGTGAAGTGGATGAACCTTCCATTGTTTCATTGAAACCTAGCGATAAAACAACAATTGCTAGTAAAAAAGTACGAACAAATGGCCATATAAAATTCATGAAAATCGATGATGAAACAATATACAAAAAACATTCGAATGTTAACGATGGATATCATTCACTTTGTCGATTTGCTCATCTTTTACATCCACCTTATCTTGAACAGCCAGAACAACAACAACATTTGACCAAAATTCATGATACGCCGCCGCCATCACCATCACATGAACATCGTTGGGAATCGACCCGATCAACATCACATCGAATGATCACATGTGCTATATGTCATGATCGTATCGGATTTTACAGTACATATGTCTCTTGTGATGATTGTGGTGCACGTGCTCATGATAACTGTATCAACAATAATCCATCTAAACGATATTCACGTTCAATAATGGATTTTGTACAAACACAGCTATCTGAATCACCATCATCAACAACATGTGGCGAACCATTGGTTCCAACTTTGTTGCTAAAATGTTGTTCAGAAATTGAAAAACGTGGCTTACGATTGGTCAATATTTATGATCAAAATCAAATGAATGTTTCTATTATACAGAATTTAATGTTGGATTTATTGGATCCCAAAAAGCAACAGAAATTTTCACAGATTGACATTGATTCATTATGCAATATTGTCATATATTTCCTTGGTTATCTCATCGATCTTGGTGATCCATTGATACCTGGATTTTTGTATGACGATGTTTTGAATCTTTTAAAGAATCAATCGGATGGAATTGATTCAATCATTTGTCAACTTCCATCATGTAATCGTGATACATTGGCATTCCTAATGATTCATCTACGTAAAGTGGCTAAAAATCAAAATTACAATAATATGTCATTGAAGAAATTGGCACGAATTTTTGCACCGAAAATTTTTCATCCATCATTCACTACATCCGTACAGGAGAAGGTTTTGATGGCATTATTATCGGTGTCATCAGATTATTGGATCAATATCATATCACAGGATACACCTAGTTCAAGTATGTGATTGAATAAATTTAGTTTTTTTAATCTATTAAATTGTTTCTTTTTTCATATAGGTCCTACATTGGTTTTGTTAAACAATAGCCTTGAAGACGATAATCATCAACATTATCAACCGAATATTTTTCAAAGTCCTTGTAGCTATAAATCGGCTGTAACATCAGAATCGGTTTATAATACACCGATTGGAGGCGGTGGTGGTGGTATAAGCATTGTAACGCCATCACCAACAAGCGGTGGCCGTAAAATACGAACATTTAAACGATTCGATTTTTCTCGATTTTTGGTGGAAAATTTAAAATTTTAAAATTATCATCATCAATCACAGAACAAAAGGATTTTTTTTTTTTGAAAATTGTGAATTTTCTATTTCTTTCATATAATTTCAATTGCTGAAACTGTGATTTTTTTCCTCTTTGATTCAATTTGAATTCATAATTATTCTTCATTCCAATTATATCGATCTCAATTTTTCAAATAAAAAAAAACTTATTTTTCGTTTCAGAAGACTCATTTTTGTTTGTTTATTTTTTAGGTCTGAATTTCAAGTTTGAAACAATCACAATGACAGCATATGTAGTTCGAAATAATTTTTTCAATTTTCTTCTCCATTATCAATGGCAATACGTTATCTTTGTTTTTTTTTCTATTTAAAGAAAAAATGCGTTTCTCGTCATAATTTTTTTTTCTGTTTTCGGGGCCATATTTTAGCCGTGGTTGTGCGATGATGATGATGAGAGAGGTTCTCTTAACGACACAAGAGAAAACACATCCATTTGATAACGATAAAATGATTGCTATTTGTTTATTTAGATTTTTTTGGTTTTGGTTTTTTTTTCTTTATTTCAATATTCGATGATGATGATGATTATGTGTGGTGTTAATGAAAATGCGTATGGATGATAATTAATAGTGAACCTCTGTGTGGTGGTGGTGGTGACGATGATGATGATGATGATGATGATTACAATCAATCAATCATACCAAAACCAAAAATGAAAAAAAAATGAAATGAAAAAAACCAATTAGATTGTTTTTCTTTTCATTTCGATTTGCAATGCCATTGATTATTGTCCCTCTCTTTCTGTTTGTGTGTGTGTGTGTGTGATGTGATCAACCAAAAACCAAACAAACAAACAAATCTGATTTGATTTCGAAAAAAAATCATCACAATTCATAATTGACTTTGTAATTCATTTCGTTTGTCTCGCTCACACACACACACTCACACATAATCAATAGATTTAATTATAAAAAAAAATTAAAATAGATCGAAAATCGAAAATTGAATTGATTAACTTTGAAAATTGTTTTTTTTCTCTTTCTTCATCCCATAATAAACAAACGTCAGATGATTTCGTCAAAAGTATTAATATAAGTTATGGCTATTGATTCAATTTTATCAATACAAATGTCTGTATTAAATTCGATGAATAATAGCAGCAACCACGACCATAACGACAACAAGAATCAATCGATCGATACATCATCATCATTGCCATCATCATCATCATCATCATCATCGCCATCATCGATTGTAATGATGATTCATAATAATAACAACAACAACAACAACAACGGTACAAATGATTTGATTGAATTGATTAAATCGAAACGATCATTAATCGATACTGTTGGTCATCATCATAATACTAATCAGAATAATAATCGTATAATAAACAACGGTAATCAACAAGGAACAAATCTTTTACAGAAAAAATCTTATCCAAATCATTTTTCATTTTTTTCATCCAATGATTTCATCAATCTACGACGATTATTAAATTCATTGAAATATAAAAATAAATCAAAATTAGATTCAATACAAGAACAATCGATTGAGAATTCTGTTTCATCCACTAATGGTAGTGCTACTGGTAGTGATGAAACGTTGAAAAAAACCGTGAAAAATGACAATAATAGCCAGGTAAAGACAATTTCAAAAAAAATAGATTTAGACTGTGATAATTGTGAAAATAATCATCATCATCATCATCATAATCATGATAATCGTCATCAATCACAAGTTGTCACCACATTACCATTACCATTACCATCATCATCATCATCATCATCATCGTCAACATCATTGGTGGTAGAAGAAAAAATTCAATTACCAATCGACCATGAAAAAGTGATTTTAAATGGCCACAATGATAAAAGAAAAAAAATTCATCCTGATAATTCCAATGATGATAATGGTGAAATACTTGAAACGGTAAGTTTGATCTATAAGAAATGAGATGAAAAAAAGATGATTAATCATCATTAAAATTTTTTAGCTTCGCCAAGTATTACGAATGTGTACCAAAGTCGATGTATCCAAACGGGCTACCGCTTTAGATGTATATCAAATTTTGATGAATAAATCTGAATTGATCTTCAAGAATCATAATAATAACCGTGACGCTAATGATGATGATGATGATACGGAAATGAACAATGTGCAAATAAATCCAATGGATAATGATAATGATGATGATCGAAAAGATTAAAAAATGGTTAGTTTTTTTTGAAAAAATTGGGTTGAAAATAATTGAATTGACCAAAATATTTTTTCTTCCACAGACGACAGATGGTTTGGATCGATTAATGAATATTTTTTTCCTACGAAAAAAAAGTTCTTTAATTAAAAATGGCCAGATGTTTTTTTTGCTTGGCACTCACCTGATTCCAGATTTATTGACCAGATTATTTGACAATGTTGTCGTTGTTGTTTGTGTCACACACACACACTTGATGATGATAATTGTTAATAGGACATTTGGGTCAAATCTGCACATAAAATTTTTTCTTCTTGGTCATCTAGTCACATACAAAATACACACACACGTATCTTGAAGACATCTGGAATTGTTATTATATATTGTTTGTAATTATTATTTAATCCTTCATCTCTTTGATTATCATTAACTACATTGCATCATGTGATGATCATCATTTTTTGATAATTAAAATTTAGATCTTCAATTCAGAATTTTTTGATGATGATGAACACATGATCTTCTTCGTGAAAAATACAGGATGCTAATACCCAATGGTATGGTTGAATGACCATACGATATGTGTCTAGAATTACACAATAAACAATAGTGGCTATCTTGTGGTTGCAGTGGTTGTTGTTGTTGTTGGTGGTGGTGGTGGTGGTGGTTAACCTCGAACCATCAACGACAAAAACAACAGCATTAATTATCATTCAGTTAAAATATAAACACATTCTCATATTCGAGAAGGAAAGGGGATCGCTATTTCGGTGATGATGGGGGTAAAAAAAAATTGTAGCAAAAAAAAAACAAAACAATAATATTTATGTCCAAATTGATTTCGACGCGTGTTTTCCTTTCTTGATGTTGTTGTTGTTGTTGTTTTTGTCATTCTGTTTTTCTTTTTTGGGTAGTGGTGGTAAACTTGCGGCGATGATGATAGCATTTCGATGGTCGATGTTATTGATGATGATGATGATGATGGTGTGGTGTTAGGCAATGAGGCACAAACAAACGACGAACGGATTTCATTTGGCCATAAGCAGAAAAAGAAAAACAGATTTTTTTTTGTTTTTGTTTCGTTTGGTCTGGATTGGTTAATCGCGTTTGGCTGGCTGGTCGATCTTGCGAATATAAACCCATCGACATCAACAATTTATCTGACCATATGATCTATTTTCACGTGTGTGCGTGTGTGTTTGTGTTTGATAACTATTTTTAGCATTCGAATTATTCGAAATTATTCAACAACTATTTCAATCTATATTTGTCAAGAATTTGTTATCCAATTTTTTTTATTGGTAAGTTTATTTTCAAATTTTCAATTTAAATTTCAAACTTTTGAATTTTATTTTACAAAAAAAATCATTACTAAATCTAACCGTGACAATATAATCATCATTATTATTTTTATCATTTTCCTCAAGAAGAAAATGAAATTTTAAAATTCATATATTGATCATTTGATTGATTTGTTTTTTCTTCTATTGATGAAGAATCTTAATCATTTCCTTAGTATCATCATTGAATTCATGTCATTCATATCGTGAAAATGATGATGATGATGATGATGCAGAAATCCATTTTATTCATTATCCATTCATTCCATTGATTTCCATTGATAACTTATTTTCGTTTAATGATTAACAATAACAATGAAGACGATGATGATGATGACGAAAAAATTAACATACTAATGATTCATTTTTGAGGCAGTACATTATGATCTGAAATGAATGAATGAAGAAATATATTCGGTAATGGTCAACGGCCATTATTATAGCCATCATCATCATCATCATCATTATTATTATCATCACTATAGATTATCAGGCGTCTAGACGATTCGTTGTTGTCGTTGTTGTTTTGTCTTTATTCGTTTTTCTTCTAAATCATCATCATCATGGCTGTCTTAATAAAGTGGTCGATTTCAATGAGTGAATAATAATAATTTATTATAATGACGATAACACGAATATACCATATATAACCTTCATTTGAAACTCTATGATGAAGAATGGTTATTATCATTATTATATGATTATGATGATGCAATAGCATCGATTGATGGTATGGTGGTAATGATTGGCTACAAACAAACAAACAAACAAACGTAAAAAAAATAATGATTAAAAAAAAGTTCATTTCAGTACATATATTTAGCGTCTGACTTCCCTTGTTGTTTTTTTTTCCTGTTGTGTGTCTTGGTTTCAAGTGCGTGCAATAATATCCGCCAATTTTTTCTCCAACAAAACAAAGATTAAATCGTGTGTTTGTATTTGCTGTGTGGAAAAGGATCCAAAAAAAGGTGCGCTTTTTCCTTTTTTTACTAGATTTACTGGTTGATGGTTTGTGTCGATTATTATCATCTACATCGTCATCATCATCATCATTTACCAATAGTCGTTTATAGTCGACAACAAGTGATGATGAAGAGCAATGAATAAGATGAACGAATGTGAAAAAAAAACAACGACTACAACATATAGTCTGGAGGTCTTTTAGGAGATGGCGAGACGATGACGATGATTAAAATAATGAAGACGACCATGATGTTGTTGTTGTTGTTGTTGATGGTAACGATGATCCCGAACACACACACTTAAATGAAAAAAAAACCAGACGATGAAAATGGTTATAATTATTCATTAATAACAATCAGATTTTTTTCCTCTTCTCTCTCTCTCTCTCTCATTCAGGATAAATAAATAAAAAAAAGTGGGAAACTTTTTTTCATTGCTAAGAATATGATGATGAAGAGAATTTTGTTTTATCAAAAAAAAATGACAAATTACCACACATAGAATATATATTGGTGGGGTGAGAAAATCTGAATGATTATCATCATCGTTTTCTGTCCATTGACAGATAGGATAACACATTTATTTTGGGTGAAAAAAAACTGGATAAAACAAGCAACAACAATAAAAAAAAATTAGTGTGTTATTGACATTTTTTTTCATCAAGAAAAAAAAAATACATACCAAGTGGAGAAAATGATAATAATTTACCATCGACATTGGAAATTCGACAAGCCATTCCTGATTCGATTATGAAACCTGGCCATTTTTAATAAGAATTTTCTTCTTCTTCTTCTTCGTTAATTGCAATCGTTGATTATAATTATTCACTTTGTAGAGACGTTCAACCCTTCCCCAATTTTTTTTTTTGCAAACATTTATTTATTTTTCTTTTCTTCACTGTTTTTCTTGAAAATTGTAATTTCCAATCATCTGAACCAATTTATTTTTTGAAAAGCCAATATTGACAAAGATAATGGATTATCCGTGTATCAGTGTGTTTTGGACGGTTGGACTTGTTTCGTTTCGTTTCGTTTTATTTGAAAATCTAGATTCAAATCTTTGTAATTTTTCTTTCGTTTCTTTTTCTTGATGATGATCACCAGTATCCATTATCGTCTTTATCATATAAGTATTTTGGTAGGCGCTAAACTCTTTTTTTTCATTCAATAATAATAATGATGATGATGATGAAGAAAATCGAAACTTGGAGCTTTTTAATCATCATGATGATCGTCTAAGAATGTGTGTGTGTGTGTGTGTGTAGATATTTAGCTGTTCGAAGAAGAAGAAGAAAAGGGAAACAGAATGAAAAACAGTGTGCTATTGCATTACTGATACTGTTTTATTTTTGTTGTTTTGTTTTGTTGCCTGTAAGATGTTCTTGTTGGCTGACGATGATGATCTGCTGTTGTTGTCTGGGATTTGAAAAAGAAGGAACAAAAAAAAAATAAGAAACTTTTTTTTTGAAATATTCGGCAGTTTTTTTTGACTTTTTTTGCATTTAAAGAATCTTTATTTTAAAATGAATAAATGATACATAACCACACACACATACACACAATCACTTGACGGTGGTCATCGATCATTAGCAGCAACAACAACAAAAAAAAGTCGCTACACTAAATAGAATAGTCATTAAGAAAAAATTGGCAGACAATTTTCATTTTTGTTGTTGTTTTGTTTGTTTTGTTTGTTTTTTCATCATATTTTTGTGTCATTTTTTTTTGTCATTCAATTCAAATGATGATGATGAATTGAAATATATTACATTAACGTTCGAATTTTTTTTTGTTGTTGTTTTGTTTTCTAAAGTGAAATTTACAAAGAAACTTCCTGTGTATGTGTGTGCTAAAATTTCTTAGAATTTTTTTTTTTCATTTTATATATTGCACTCGAAACAATTATATATTCAATTATCAAGATAATTTGTGTGTGTGTGTGTGTTTTGTGGTTTATTCATCAGAAATTCAGACAACGAAAACAAGTACACAATTTATTACATTCCAAAGAAATTTGCTTATTCATTTTCTTTGGTTTGTGTTTATTTATTACTGAAAAAAAATGATTTTTTTAGAATCGTCTCCTGTAGACTAGTAATTGCATTCTTCTTCGTCTTCGTTTTCTGTTTTTTTTTGTTTGACATTCATTCCTCCATAATTATCGCCACCATCATTATCATCATCGTTGTCGTCATAATTATCATCATCAACGTCGTCTTCGTTTTCGTTTTTTTTTTTTTTTTTTTGGTTTCCTTCATTCAATTTTTTCTTCGCCATTGTCATTGTCAATCCCAAGTCTATAACAGTTGATGGCTGCTGTTGTTTGGAAATGTGTGTTAGTCATCATCATCAAATCTTTGAATTCCTGAATCTTTGAATTCTTATCATCAAAATATTTTGTTTTTGTCATTTAAACAATATATATATAAAGAAGAAGAAAAATGACAATAAAAACTTTGATCTCAATGATGAAAATTTCAAAACCATTCGAATCAACATGTGATGGTCATCGATCTAATAAGAATTTATTAAATTATAAACAACAATGTTTGATTGGAACAGAATCAGAATGCAAATCAGAAAGAAGAAAAGGAAAAGAAAGAAGCGAAAAAATTAGCTTGTCTATTGATAATGATTATGATTATTATGATGATGATGATGATGATGATGGTAATGAAATCATCACATCAAATGATGATAATTCAATGATGAAAAAATTAAATTCTTCATTTTATAAATGGGTAATTTTGTGACTGGAACACATAACATTTACTATGAAACGAATTCATTTTCAAACGAAAATGAATGTGAAATTTTTTTTTCAAATTGATTATATTCGAGTGTTTTATACAATAATTGCACTCATTCCGAAATCAATTTATTGTTCGAATGAATTGACCATCGATGACACCGAATTGACAATCAATCAAAATTTAAATTATTCTCTTGTTTAATTTTTTTTGTTTACTTTGGGTAAAGGTTTTTTTTTTTTATTTCTGAAAAACTAACTTTTAACAAGATTTATTTTGTAACAATTTTTTAAAAATTGACTAATCAGATTTTTTTTTTAAAATAGCTGAAATTGTATCATCTTTATATTTTATTCATAATCTACGTAATCATCATGATTTTATTAATCTATCTAATCTGGCTATTATCATCATCATCATTAATCATAGCCAATGCTGCTAATGATCATCTTGAAACACAATCATCATCATCAACAATGGTATCACTTCGAGTATTTGGCAATGGTAGTGTTCAGGTGGCAAATATTACACCAAATTACCAACAAACAACAACAACAACAATGCCACCGATTATTGATCCACAACAAATGGAACAAGAAAGAATTTTAGCACGTGAAAGGTATGCCATTTTGATTTGATTAATGACTTTCATTATCATTTTTTTTTCTAATTGAAACCAAAGGGTTAAACAAAATCATCTGAATTTTATACGTGAACAATTGATGCAAATATTATTGGCTGGTCGTACACCACCAGTAGCGAATGTTACAGCTTCATCATTAAATGCTGATGTTGTGCAGATTAAACAAGTGATGGAACAGAATAATGGATCACCAACACCAAAAATGCCCATATTCGATCAGACAAACATTGATAGGAACGACAATAATGTTCGATCATCTTCGTCATCATCATCATCATTATCATCATCGTCTTCGGAAGTTTATGCACAACGTTTACAAAGTTTTTATCCAACATGCGATATGACTATTTTGGATATTTTACAAAACAATGATGATGAACAACAGCAAAAAAAGAATGAAAATGAAAAAATGGAAATGAAACTTTATTTTGATTTAATTATACCAAAATTACCGGATTCACGAACACATATAACGGTAATGTGGGCTAAATTACGTTTATTCGTGTTTGATGGACCTTGTGGTCGTCGTGTGAAAAATGGTAAATGTATTTGAAAAGTACATTTTACCGATTTTTCGTTTTAAATATTTCGTTTTTTTTTTGATTTTCGATCTAGATAATGGTGATTATTCGGATATGATGTTATCAAATTGTGAAACTAATAAGCTAATCATTTCATTATATCAATATGTACCACCATTAAAACGTAATTGTCATGGTAAGCAGGCTAAATCATTTGATGTTTGGAAATTATTTCAATTCAAATTTTTTTCCCCATTCAAAAATGGATATGATTACAGCCAATATTCGGCTAGTTGATCGTCGAATCATACCTGGTTTTTATCGTGGCCACATTGATTTCAATGTTCAAAGCGTTATTAATGATTGGCAAAATCAATTACCAAATTATGGTCTTATGATCCGTGTGAATGATAGTGTTAGTAATCGAATTTCACCATTTCGATTTATTCATCAAATGAATTGTTCAGGTTAGAAGAATGAATTCTGTATTGATTACTGTTAAAAATTCTGGATTTTTTTTTTCGTTTCTATTAGATACCGTATTACCGATACCGAATCTAGCGGAATTATATGGAAAAAATATCATGACAAATCCAAATAAAACATCTGATTCATTATTTACCAATAATAATAATAATCATCATCGTCGTTTATATTATCCAACATTGGACCTAATGACAATGGAAGTTGCAAAAGATGATACACAAGATACACAGATAATGTCTCCATCATCTATGATTAATAATATGACGACGAATGAACAATCGATTGATTGACAGAGAAAAGAATGAATGGATTCAATTGGCTCATTTATTTCACTGATTTCATTATTATCCCGGTTTTTTTTCATAATTTTTATTCATCGATTTACATCAAATTTTAAAACATTGAATCTTTACAATGATTCACATTAATTGTATATTTTTATCATACATAATTGGAAAATTTTTTTGTCGATTAAATTTTTTTTTTGAAAACGATTTACCATTCAACGATATGGATGAATTGATGTTGCGGCTTTGATTTGTGTCTTGATACTTGGCTGTGCTTTTCCTGGTGCATTTCGTTGACCAGTTGTTGTTGTTGTTGGACTTGCAACTCCTGTTTTTTGTTGTCCCAATGAAATCATATCCGCACCAGATCGTAAACCTTTACCATTGAATATAGCAGCAGATAATTGATATGTATCCGTTTGTAAATATGTCTGTGGCATTGGATTACGGCTATCATTTTCCCATTCTTCTTTATGGCTTCGAATCAAATCAACCATATTCTGACTTATTTTGTTGGCGGTCTGGATTTGTTTCTGTGCTTGATCATTATTAATGGAATTTCCTTTGGTTGAAAATAGATTTAATCGATTCTCTAGTTCAGGTTCCAATTTTGTTCGTAGATATATTGGTGCCGTATCATGATTCAATGAACGAAGACGCCCTTCTGTGGCATTAATTAACATTTCATCATCATTTGGTGCCAATTTCAATGGAAATACTGTTCGTATAGCCAAATTTTGACTTTGTAATCGCACCACTTTAAGAATATTCTTTATATAACCTTGAAATGAAGCAAAAGCATCAGCATAATGATTATATTCCAATTGTTCATTGTCGATACGATTCATGAATAATGATAATGCTTTCATTAGATCTTGGCTTCGTTGAAGCAATGAATCCAGAACCATTTCAAATTGACGATCTTCACGATCCATAATTATTATGTTTTGGTGTTTTTTAAATTAACAATTTTACAATCCGTCGATTTGAAAAATTCACAATTTTCAATAATCAAAACAATCTCTCACTCTTGATCCACGTAGCTCTATTCATATAGTACATTACAAATTGTGTTGATTCAAATTATACAAAAAAATGATTCACATGAAAAGGATTCGACTGTTGTTGTTATTTTTCTATTGATTATTGTGATTTTTTTTGTTTAGATTTGAAACCCCGGTGACGCTCACGAATCATAATGGATACATGAATGAATATTTTTTTCATTGGAAATCAAAACATTGATAAGACAGGAAAATTTTTTATTTCATCAAACCAAAAACGAACCTTTACCGGGAAAGTGAATCGAAATTGAAAATGGCCAAATTTGAAAAAATTTAAATGTTAAATCCCAAGAATCATCACCATGTGCATTGTTGATCGATTGTGTGTGTGTGTGTGTGTGTGTGTATAGTGATCCATAAGGAACGTGATTCGTGATTCAATTGAATTTATCTATGATCAACAATAGACAATGTGATGAATTAATTGGAAAAATTATTGTTCAGTTTCCATAATAAGCGATTGATTGATTGATAATGATGCAACCTGTTCGAGAAACTAATATATAAAAACGAATCGAATGTAAGCTGTTGGATTATGATTTGTGATTTGCAAACTTTCAATCATTAAAATCACTTTTGAATTAACGAACAAAAAAATGATGAAAATTTTGTCTACACGTTTATTCATAGGCATTTTGCTTATATCTTCGACGATTACATTGTCGGTAAATGGCAATTCACTTGGACTTGGCCAAATATTTGGTATGATTTTTTTGTTTGAATTTTTTTCAATTTAATCTAATTTATAATCGATTTTTTTCTCATTTATAAAGATGGTGAATTGATTGGTGGTGGTGGTAAAGGTATTGGTTTTTTTTGAATGATGAAATTTATTAATTATTGGATTTTGTTTACAATTCATTGTAGGTGGTGATGGTAGTAAAATAGGTGGTTTTATTGGCACTTTGGCTGGCGGGCTTATTGGAGCGGAAATAGGTCATTTTATTGGTTCATCTCTTTTGGGTGGTGGTTCCAGTAGCCAAGGTTCTTCGAGCAGTCAATCCGGTAGCCAAGGCCAAAGTGGCAAAAGTAGCCAAAGTGGTGGTCAATCCGAAATAATGAAAATTGGTTCCCAACTTTTTCCTGGTTTATCACAAATAATTGGTGGTGGTAGTGGTTCCAGCGGTCAATCTGGTAGCAAAGGCCAAAGTGGCGGTCAATCCGGTAGCAAAGGCCAAAGTGGCGGTCAATCCGGTAGCAAAGGCCAAAGTGGTGGTCAATCCGGTAGCAAAGGCCAAAGTGGTGGTCAATCCGGTAGCAAAGGCCAAAGTGGTGGTCAATCCGGTGATATATTGAGTATACTTCAAAAATTTCTGAAAAAATGAAAAAAAAATCCAATTAATGTTCAACAACAAAAAAATAATGCCGTATTCTGGCATTGATCATCAATTGTCAATTGAATTATTTTTTTCCGGAAAATAAAAATAAATTCAGAATTTTAATTCTTAAATAATCCTATGTCATCAGATTCAATTATTAATTCGTTATTTCATAAATCCTTGTTCAGTAATGTGTATCATAGAACGGATATTTGAATATTTTCGGCCACCGTTAATTAACAACAACAGTGAATGTCGATTTTTCTTGATAAGTGGCCATCTGTCACATGTGGAATGATAACAAATTCTTATGATAAGATAATGTTTTTAAAAGATATGACTCCGGCAACTATGATTTGGTCTACAACTCGTATCCATTGATAGATAGATATTGTAACCAATAACGAATCATAAAACCATGTGTTTTTTTCAATTTGTTGAGGGTTTAACCACAGAAACCTGCACAAAGAAAAGGAGATAGCTTATACTACGGACATAACATCAAACATTAAAACATTGAAAATTGATAGGTTTGCTAACGTTCTAATGACATAAAATCGAATTGAATTTGAAATTAATAAATTTTGAATTTTTTTTTTTGGTTTGTTTGTTTATCCAAATATCAAAAGCCCATCATTGTCGTTGTTATCTCATGAATTTTTAATCATCGCTCGTGTGTGTGATCACATAGATCATGATCCAAAATGAACGTGATTTAATTGATAAATATGATGATGGCGATTTCATTCATCATCGACAGCAAAATAGAGGATAAATTCATTGGAAAAAAATGAAATTATTGTTCCGTTTCCATAATAATAAGTGATTGATTGAAAATGATTTCGATTACAAAACAATTCAACAATCGATTACCATAATAAATGAATCCATAACTAATTACTTTGTCAATTGATGGTGATGATGATGATGAGAATGAAATATTGATATTGAAATATGAAATATTTGAGAATGAAATTTGTATAAAAACCGATCGAATGTATGTATCTGAAATATATTCGAATCTTTCATTTCTATAACCGAAATTTTGATTTTAAAAAAAATCACCACACAAAATGATCATTATGAATATCTTGTCAACTCGTTCATTCATTGGCATTTTGCTTATATCATCGATTACATTATCGGTGAATGGAAAATCTGGAGCTAACCAATCATCTGGTATAATTTTTTTTCAATTTAATCGATCAATTTATAACTTATTCTTTGAAATTTATTAATTATTGATTGGATTTTATTTGTTTGAATTCATTGTAGGAAGTGAAGGTGGCAAAAGTAGTGGTGGTAGTATGAATGGAATTCTTGGCGGTATAGCTGGTTGTTTGGTGGGGGCTAAAATCGGTTCATCTATTGCTGGATCTAACGGGAAAGGAAGTGGTTTATTGAGTGAATTATCACAATTAATTAGCGGGGGAAAATCTGGTGGAGATGGTTTATTGGGCGACTTAACACAATTGGTTACCGGGGGAGAATCTGGAGATGGTTTATTGGGTGGCTTATCACAATTGGTTAGCGCAGGAGGATCTGGTGGTAAATCCAATGGTAATAGCGATGGTGGAAAATCCGGGGGAAAATCTGGTGGAGATGGTTTATTGGGTGGCTTATCGCAATTGGTTAGCGGGGGAGGATCTGGAGATGGTTTATTGGGTGGCTTATCGCAATTGGTTAGCGGGGGAGAATCTGGAGATGGTTTATTGGGTGGCTTAACACAATTGGTTAGCGGGGGAGGATCTGGTGGTAAATCCAATGGTAATAGCGAAGGTGGAAAATCCGGGGGAAAATCTGGTGGAGATGGTTTATTGGGTGGCTTAACACAATTGGTTAGCGGGGGAGGATCTGGTGGAGATGGTTTATTGGGTGGCTTATCGCAATTGGTTAGCGGGGGAGAATCTGGTGAAAATGGTTTATTGGGTGGCTTATCACAATTGCTTAGCGGGGGAGGATCTGGTGGTAAATCCAATGGTGGAAAATCCGGGGGAGAATCTGGTGGGAATGGTTTATTGGGTGGCTTATCACAATTGGTTGGCGATGAAGATTGCGATGAAAGTGATGGTGGAAAATCCGGGGGAGAATCTGGTGGTAAATCCAATGATAATAGTGATGGTGAAAAATCAGGGAAAAAATCTGGAAAAAAGTCTGGGAGCAAAGATGATTAAAGATTCGATTCGAAAAGTTCTCAACGCGGGTGGAAAGCAAATGTTCGACAACGTAAACAACGACAAAAATCCAGTCATCATTGATCAATTGGTCGACAAATTCAAATTGATTTATTCAAATTCAAAAAAAAAAATTAAATTTTAACTGAATTATTTTCCGGATAATTAATATATTCAAAAATCAAAATTTTTAATTTTCATTCTTATATCATCAGATCAATATCAATATGATTTATTTATCATCATTATTGCCCCATTATAATATTCAGTGTTTTGTTGTTAATTGATAGACAAAAAAAATTTATCACAAAGAAAAATGATATTTTCATTCAAAGAAAGTATAGGTATGTGATATATAATGCAATAAAAGAAAGACAAAGAAAGAAAACATATGTATTGATTAAACACACGCACACACAAACATTGACACACAGAGATTCGAGGAAAATTGAAAAAAAACCTAAAGCGAAAAAAATTTCAAAAATGCCTGTGGTGTTATAGGAACATGCAATGGTGCTTTTTGAAATGATGTTTGACTCGGTTGTTGTTGTTGTTGTTGCGCATTTGCATTTTGTTCATTATTTTGATCATGATTATTATCAGGTTGTTGATGATTATTAAGTCTTTGCCTTTGAATAACCAATGGATGTTCGAAAAATGGTAAATTCTGTACCATAACCGGTCCATTTGGTAATTGTTGTTGTTGTTGCTGCCGATGTCCAGATGGTGGACGACGATTATTATTTGTATTATTATGATTAAAAGCAAGTGATCGTGATCTTAGTATAGCTGTTAATGGTTGTTGTTGTTGTTGTTGATTTTCATTATTATTTGAATTGCTTGGATATTTTGTTGAATATTGATGTTGTGTGGATTTAAAACCAGTTATTGGTGATGTTACCAGTACTTGTCGTGTAAGATCTGGATTCTCTAGGATACATGGATGATTTTTTGACTGTGAAAATATGAAACAAAAAAATGATTTGGAAAAAATTTTAAAATTCGAAAAAAACAAAGAAACAACCATCACTACTAACCTTCCAGAAAAGACAACGACAATAACGACATAAGAAAAGACAATCGGCATATTCTTCTTTTAGGCCAAATTTTCTAATTTTTGTTGTTTAAAATAATTATTAAAATTGATTATGAAATTAAATCCGATGACTTACTTTCGTAACAAATGAAATAAACGTTCCCAATCTATTATAATCGATTTGTTCTGTTCAATTATCGGATCAGCATTTTGATCAATTTCAATATTCATCATCGTTGGTGTTGATTTATGTTTAGTAGTAGCGGTGGTGGTTGTGTTTATCGGTGGATTATTATTAAAATTGATCGATTCAGAAGTTATTGTCATTCGTAATGCCCAACGTAATTGATCTTTTGTAAAATGATATTTAACCAACTGTTTCCAGATATGTTGCTCTTCATTCAATAATGAATTCATTCGTTGACAAGCTTGTGCTGAACGTTCTAAATCTTTATAATCAGAAAGACGTAATAGAATTTCACGTATTAATTCTTCTGGTAATTCTGACCATGATGGTTTTCCATCACCAGGTTCAGGCTATGACAAAAAAGAATAAAAAAATCAGAATATTGAATTTTTTTTCAAACAAACAAACCGGAATAATTTCAATAGCATCAGTCATTTCACAAATTCTTTCCATAGTACGTAAATGTTGTTCCCATAATGATGTTGAACCTAATGGTCGGCCCCAACATAGATATTTATCAACAATTTCGCGAAGTTCAATCAACAGTTTACGAATTATATGAATATTTTGTTTATTTGATGCAACTATTTGAGCATTAGAAAGAAAAATTTTTATTATTAAGAAAAAAACTAAATTCAAAAAAAAACAACAACAACAAACCTTGTTTAGCAATTTCTTCAAGCATCCAAAACAATGCTTTTGTAGCATTACCACTTAATGATGTTAGATTCTGTGTAATCAATAGATGTAATAATTTGCTTACATATGCAAATCGCCGTATATCACGTATAGCGTTACAGAAATCTAATTTATAAAATGCATCAGATATTATATTTGATCCTTGTACTTCACGTGTTGGATTCAATGTAATACGATAATATGGTTGTGTATGATAAATTTCAATTTGTTCCGATGATTCTTTCAATATGTCAATCGGTATTGGTTGAGATGATGAACGTTGTAAACGTTGTATAATGTCTGCAATGGAAAAACCATTTAAATCGTGTTGTTGTTTTGTTGTTGTCGATATCGGTTCCGGCGTTGTTGATGAACCATTCATCAATGACGATGACGATGACGATGATGATGAACAAGAAGAAGAACCAGTTGATGGTGTTGTTGCTGTGGTTAGGCTATCACCAGATTCATGACGTCGTTTACCCGGTACAGGTACTGGATCCGATGATTTTATATGATGCTGATGATGACCGATTACTAATAGTTCATTTTCAGAATCGTAATCTGTTGTACTACTACTGCTGTTACTATCCAATGATGATGATAATGATGATGATGATGCTGGTGGTGGTGGTAATACAACAACCTCTTGATAATGATCAAAATTAGGTGATGGCGATGATGATGGTGGGGATGATGATGAAGATGATGGTAAACTATAGAAGAAAAAACCCAGATTAAATTACTAAATTACTAAATTATGAATTCAAATAAAAAAAAATCCAATCAAGTTTGACACCTACACACAGCCCAAAATTCAATGAATTTAATCTAGCCTTTTCACACTCAAACCCATTTTGTGTGTATGTGTATAATGTTTGGTTGTTATTATCATGACTGAGTCATCATCATCATCATCATCACGGACAAAAAATTTTATTTTTAGAAAAAAAAAATTTTTTTTTCATAAATGATCTGATGACGACAACGACAATAAACCGGATAATAAAATGGTAACTTATTCTGATCGCCAAAAAAAAATATTAGCCATCATCATCATCATCATAATAGATATATATATAAAAAATGGACATTTATTGAGTATTTATAGCAGTAATAATCATCATCATCTGCAAAGCATCTCTACCTCTATGGTGGCAATATCGAGTTTCATCAATTTTTTGCCGTTGTTGTTTTGTTAATGTTGATAACAACAGAACACACACATTAAAAGTTAAATTTAAATTTTCATTTTCATTTTTATTTTGTGTTTTGTTACTGAGTGAAATCTTTATTTTTTTTGTTGTCATCAATTTTCAATCATTAAAAAAATGTACACACACACACACACATCAACAAAAACACGTGAATAAGAAAAACATTATGGTGGATTGACACAAACATATCCTTCAGGTGTCACAATATATAAATCAAAGCTTGCTAGCAATAGGATGGATGAACCATATTATGACGTAAATATATTTTTTTTTCTCAGAAAAAAAACGTGGTGACAAATCATTATGTTTTTTTTTTGCTGTTGTCATTGTCATAAATGAATGATAATTGACAAAGTGAAATAATCAATTTATTAAACCGAACCAAACAACCAAAACATATACAGGAAAAAGGAAATTGATCCACACACGAACAAAAAAAAATTATTTTCTTTGAAAAAAAATAATTATTCCATACGAATGAGTGAAAAAAAAAAACGTTAATAATCATTTCCATGGAATGACACACACACATTTGATGTCGTTGTTGTGTGTGGCCTCGTTTCATTTTTCATTTCAAATTATAATTTTCAAATATTACTATTTCAAAACACAATAATAATCATCATGATACATAAATTGGCCTTTTTTCTTTACATCTATCTATCTATCTATCTATCCCGGAAGTGATTAGGATCACAAATTCATAGATTATGTCATTTATTGTGATGAAAAAAATGAAATGAAATGAAAAAAACAAAATAAATGACCACATACAATTTCACGAATAATTCATTTACAATTCTCAAAGCAGATTATTATGCGAATGGATAAATCGATCCAACGATGGATTAATTTTAATGACCACATGGTCAAATTTGATTAAAATATTCATAATATTGCAAATTCAGTATAGAGAACAAAAAATGCAATTATTTAACCTCGTGTTTATTCGAAAAAAAGTTTTTTCCCCAATAAAGATAAATCATGATTCAATCAAATAGATTTTGATTTACACGTGTTTGTGTGTGTTTGTACATTTATATTTTTCTCATTATTATTTTGTATTTCATAACTTGTGTATTTTTGTTTGTTTGTTTGTTCGTTATCAGAGATTTTATGATATGAAAAAATGAAACATTTTCTTCATCAAGGCAAATTTCATTAATAAATCCCAATGATAATAATGAATAATCTTGGCCCAATATTTTAGATTGATTATCATAATCTTATGATGATCATCAAATATAAAATCTGCACGTAACGATTCTCTAATCATTGTGTAGTCAATCAAAGATATTGAGAAATGGCCAACACACACACAAAACAACACAAACAATATGCAAAGACAGGAACCATTCATCATAATCATTAAACTTGAATGAAAAACTCTTTTTTTTTGACTTAAACATTGAATAATGAGAAAAAAGGGCAACATTGAATGGTCACAAATTCAATGTTGAAAACTAGTTTTTTTTCGACAAAAAATTCGTTCTCTCTCCACAATAATCAAAACAAACTAATTTCAAGAAAATTATCATCAATTTACTTACCAATCCTCATGATGATGATGATGATGATGATCCAAATCATTATCCATACGATAATGACGTACAAAATGTGATTTACGCAATAATTTCATCGGTTCCCAACCTTCAAATGTTTTGATCCATACCTCACCAGGTGAACGCCAATCTTGACCAATAAATGGCATTTTTGATTATTGATTGATTGAATTATTACAAAAAAAATACAAATCAATCAATCGCTATCAATAAACAAAATTTTCAATGTTTTCGAGACGATTTTTTTGTTATTGTTGTCAATCAATATTGCATAACAGCCAAAAAAACAACAGTGAATAAAAAAAAAAAAAAAAGATTGCACTATGGGTATCTATCTATATAAATGAGAAATTCAAACAAACAAACAAAAAAAAATTCACAGAACCATAAATTATATAGTCGATGTGTGTTGTACACATGAATAACGAAAAGAATCAAAAACGCAGAATTTTCATCTAAATATATAGTCGAATGAGAAACACTGATGAACATACACTGAATGAAAGCCAGATGATTCTTGTATGTGTGTGTGTGTGTCGTTATTCTACGTCTTAAATTTTCTTTTTTCTTTTCGATGATCCTTGTGATCAATCGATGATGATGATGATGATGATGACAATGAATCACTCATAAGAACAAAAACGCACATGCACAACAAAGAAAAAAAAATATTCACATGATCATCATCATTCAATTATAATAAAGAGATAGGTAGATGAAACTAAGAAAAAAAAGAATCAATGATGATGATGATGTAAGCTCGAAAATAATACATTAGAGAATATTCTTAGTTCGTTGGTTGGTTGTTGACTCATCATCATCATCATCATGATCAAGTTCAATTCCATTTAGATGTTTTTCTTGGCAAATGATTCACTAGCAAAACAACACAAAACAAAAATCATGACTTTAGACATTTAGTTGTCGTTATTAATCGTATGTGAAGTTTATAATTAGAAAATTGAAGGCGTGTCGATTATTCACATGGTCGTCATCAGATCAGATCAGCATTACAAGTTGTTGTTGTTGTTGAATTTGAATTGATGCCAAGAATAATCTGATGATATCGTCGTCGTTTACATCATCGTTTGATGTTGTTGATTGCATCATTGCATCATTTTTCTTGATAATTAATTTTTTGCTTGTCTTTTCACATCAATAATAAATTGATATAGATTGGTAAATAGAGACGTAACAATGTTTCAAACAAATTTTTGTTGTGTTCGAATTCAAGATTAGAAATTCAGACTTTTTCCGGGATTTGGATGAAAAAATTGATTATCGTTGTTGCTGTTTTGTGTTGAAATGAATCACGATGATGATGAAGATGTTCTTTTGTCTTGTCAAAACAAACAAACAAACAAAAAAAAACGATAAATGAACAAATTGGTGGTGGTCGTGTAGTTACATTCAACTTTTGTCAACCCAAAAAAAAAAAACAACAACTACGACGACAATAACCTTTTGTTTTGTTTTTGGCGATTAATAAATTACCGAATTTTCGAATGTTTTTATTTTCTTACGACGTATCTGTCATAAAACTAGTTTTTTTTTCGTTGTTGTTGTCGTTAGATGATGATGATGATGATAGATTTCCACCAACGAATGATGAATTGTGGACACCAAGTTACAATCACTGTCGAACTTACTTACAAAAATCTCAAAAAGAGAGAAAAAGATTTCTCTCTTCCTTTTTTTTCTACAATTTCCAAAGATCTCCGAACAAAAAGACAAACGATACAGTTTTTGTTGTTGTTGATAGAGAAAAAAAATTGATATTTTTTTTTTTTCTATTTCTTATTTTTCGTATTGTTTTGTTTGTCTGAAAAGAAACTGCGCAAATGATGATGATTTTTGACTCTTCATTTGATTTGATGATGGTTCTTGTTTTTGTTTTTGTTCGATTTTTATTTTTTTTTTTTTTTTTTTTTCGAAATACGCAAGCGCAACACCACAGATGGCGTCATAAGTTTTATTTTTCCAAATGGATTGGAATTTTTGTTTTTTTAAATTTAAATTTTATTTGAATTCCAGAGAAAAAAAAATTGCAAATACTAATTTAGACTTTATCTAATTTACCTAATAATAATCAATTAGAAAAAAGCTAGTATGGTGATAGTTTTAAATCATTTCCTGGATTCAATGATGATGATGATAATAATGATGATCACAGATCACAGATTTAGATTTACTGAAAGATGATGAAACCAATCAACGTTTTTCCGGTAATTTAAATCCCATCATTTTGGCGGTTTGTTCGACACTACGTTCAGATTTTCCATGATATTTATTCAATAATTGACGATATTTTTCTCCTGATGACAAATATGTTTGATATGATTCACCAATAAAACGCAGTTCATTTGGTCCGCGACAAATACGTTGATCAGTCACTTTATTCTGGCGTACAGTTTGTCGTATTACTTCAAATATTGGTGATTCGCTTACTTTTCCCTATTATTTTTTATGAATGAAAAATTTTTAAACAAAAATGCAATGAAATATAACATGTTATTCACCTTCATACGACCACGAAGTGTTCGACAAATTGATCGAACCAGACATAATGTTTCATTTAATTGATTACTCGATGCCATTTACATTAGATAAATTGACTGTTTGTTGGTTATTTTAAACCCAAAAACAAAAAAAAACTAAAAAAAAACATCAACATTCGAACACACAAGATCAGCAGATTCGATGTGAAAAGGTCAATCAACTAAATGAACCAGTAGCAGTCGAAATAGTGGCCACAAATGAATGAAAATTCGAAAAATTTTAAATTCAATTTTTTTTATCATTAATTATTTTTTAAAACAACAAATTATAACATGAATGCATGTGTGGTAATGAGAAAAGAAACAAACAAACAAAGCGAAAAAAATTCGGGATCAATCTGACTAGTTAGTAGGTTTTTTTGTCCCTTTTGTTGTTTTGTTGTTGTTGTTGTTGTCACCAAAATACCATCCGGTATAAATTGAAAATTATTGCAATCGTTTCATTCATTCAAATCACCTGGAACAATTGGTATCTCATTAACATCACTTGCCATTGATGCATTTGGACTTGATATTTTTAGGTTCGTATTATTCTGTGAGAGTGGAATGTGTACATAGAAAACAGAATGATTAATCCGAAAAAAAAAAAAACAAATAATTTACCGATTTAGTTGGCCGAGCAAATAGCAATATTTTACCATCATGATTTGCTACAACTATTGATTCTTTACGAAATATCAACGACGTAAGACGTTCATTTGAAATTTTTTTACATACATGTGGTTCAAGCATTGGAACCTCTTTAAGACGTGGACAAACAATCGTACCAAGTAAACGAGATGGATCACAGTTTGATTCAATAACGGCAGCAACATTATTATGATGATGATGGCTTATTGATGATGATAATGGTGTTGAATGTTCATTATTTAAATTCATTGATAATGATGATGATGTAGATGATGTCGTAGTCGTCGTTGTAGTCATTATATTATTTTCTAATTGGTTATGATGATTATTTTTTTGATCAGATTTCAATATTGATTTTGATGATGATGAACCTAATGAAAATCCAACAACAGATGATTTTTTATGAACACCTTTTTTAAGGCTATTAAAAAAATTATGATGATGATGATGATGATGATTGGATTGATTATTGCTATTACTATTTGTTGATGTGCTAAATAATTTCAATGATGAACGATTATTATTGATTGTTGTTGAATCATTTGCTGTTGTTATAGTCGTATGATTAGTAGTAGAATTTATTGCCGTTGGTGCTGGTGTTGTTTTTGATAATGAATGATGATGATGATGATGATGACCTACAACACCTGAAGAATGTTGACTTATTGTCGATCTTGATCGTGATTTTATTACTGTCGATTGTCTGATAATATCATCAGTAAGGTCCCATAAACAAATCTGTGTATCTTGACCAACTGATCCAATACGATAATTTGTTAATAGTCGAAATTCATTTGTTGTATCGGAAAATTGTTGTTTTTGATCACCATTATCGCAATCTTCATCATTGCCATCATCATCATCATTATCGAAATTTGAATTTTTCATATCTGTAGTCATATATGGATCAAATCGTACACAATTCACCCATGATTTATGTCCTTGGCCACGTGCAATAACACGTTTATCTTGTAATGACCATACAGTGATAAGGTCATCTTCACCACCGGTCACAATGAATTTTGAATCTGGACTCCAATCAACACATAACAGGCCACCAAAATACGATCGCATACATCCGATAAGATCCATTTGATCATAATGAAAACAACGAAGAAAACCATCTTGTGATACGATTGCCAAATATTTACCACATGGTGAAAATGAAAATTCATTTATAGATGATTGATGTGACAGAATGTTACCACTATTCCATGCATTTGAACTGTTATTCGAATTATTATTATTGATAGAAGCACCAATCGACCAACGAAATATTGGATTACGTGGCTGACGTGTTTTACACGTATAGATAACAAAACCATCGCCACATTTATATTGTTGATAATTTGGTTGCGTAGTGAAACAAGGTAAATCTTCTTTATAAACATACATCTGTCCAGAACTATATGACACGATGAAATTACTTTTTGAACGTGGTAACCATCTGATGCATGTAACTTTTGATTTATCAATTAATCTCTGTGTTTAATTTAAAACCAAAAATTATTGCACAAGAATTTGAATTTTCAAATAATTTACCTCTTGATTATAAAATTTACTAATTTCTGTACGATAAAAATCCACCAATTGTATTTGGCCCAATGAAAAACCAATCAATAATAATGAAATTGGTGGTTCAATATTTGTGGAAAAATCATGACATGTTGGCGAGGTTGCTTTGTATTGTTTACGATCAATTAATCCAGCTGGATTGGATGGCTGTAATAATCAATGAATAAATTGATCAAATTTGGAAAAATATTAATCAATCAAATCAAACCTGTAAACCATGAAAACCATAAACAAATAGTTCACGTCCACTATTGAAACAGATTCTTTCTTGGATAGGAATATTATAGGAATAATGATGATGAGATGGATGATGATGATGATGTGCATGACGATCATAAATTCGTGTAATATTAGAATGATGATGATGAACATCGATTTGCATTTGATTATCGACAGTATCCAATGTTGCACCACCACCATCATCATCATCATCATTAATATTATCATCATCGTCATTTTCATTTGTTGGTGTTATATGACCATTTTGATGATTAGTATTACTTATTATTCCATCGAGATTATTATGATTTCGAAATGATAATGAACCATTTATTGTAATAAATTTTGTAAATGAAATTCGAACCAATGGTACACTGCTGGAACTCTGTCCATTCGGTCCATTCGATTGTTGTTGTTGATGATGATGTTGTACGTATGGTGATGGTTTAGGTCTACCATATTCAGCTTGTTGTATTAAACGATACACGCCTTCACGTGTAATTAATTGTGTTTTAATTTCATTAAATGATGATTCTTGTTGTTGTTGCTGCTGCTGCTGCTGTTGTGATTGTGATTGATGTTGCTGCTGTTGTTGAAGATTCATCATTATGACCGATGATGATGATTGATGCATTTATTAATTGGAAAAAAAACAAGAATGAATATTGCTCATTTATTTCTGGAACACCAATAAGTTTATGAATCACAAATCATCAACAAAAAACAAAACCATCGAATTTCAGATACAACACACAAAAAAACTTGAGATTTTGAAATAAAATTATCATTTAAAAAAAACTAAATCTCCTTTTTTTCTCCCTTTTTTTCCGTTGACGATATGATCATCATCATTATCGGTGTTGATGAGCGGTGTTATGTGATTATTATTGTTTATCAACAACAAAAACATTCGAAATAAAATGGCTAAAAGTGCTGCCATCTTTCGAATCGTCGTGAAAAAAAATGGAAAAATGAAATTTTAAAAATTTTTTAACCGCCAAAAACGAATTTGAACGATGAAAATTTTTTTTTTTTTTTTGACAGAAAAAAACGAAGAAAGTTTTGAACCTAAACAAACAAACAAATGAATGAATGAATGAATGTCATTCACCAGTTGTGTTGATGTTTTTTTCTGATGAGAAAAAAACAAAAAAAACAGAAAATAATTGACGACATTAAAATTTAGCTGTGAAATTTTGTTTTCAATTTTCGGTTCAACGATGATCATATATGATCATTATCTTATCGAGCGTTACCAGGTTTAAATTGTAAAATTATTATCAATCAATCGAATCAATCAATATTTAAAAGGTGAGAAAACAACAATAAATCATCATCGGTAATTATCATCATTAAATGAAGTTAACTAAAAATCAAAAATTAAAATACAACCCTTTGAATGTGTGAATGAAAGGTCAATTTTTTCCAATATATGATGATGATGATGATGATGATTAAATTCAAGAAATTTTCCACCTACTCACCACACACATATTCATTGAACCATTTCACATTTTCGGTTAAGTCATGGAGAAAATTTTTGTTTTCTCATTGAAAAAAAACTAAATAATGATCATCATTTTCGATAAACATTCGTGTGAACACACACACACACACACACACATTTCATTCTACACTTTCATCATCATGATGTTCCAGTTGACTTGATAATGACGATAAATAATTGTCACGAATTATGATGAAAATGTCTTCTGTTGTTGTTGTTGTTGTTGCTGCTGCTGCTGAACAAAGAAAAAAAAATCTCATCACCTAGTTTGTCATTTTTTCTTCTTCTTTTTCTATTTTCAGCCTCAACAACGACGACGACGACGACGATGATGATGATGATGATGGTAACAATCGGCGATGGCGATTTTACAATGTCTATCTATCTATATTTTACGAAAAAAAAAAAAAAAACAAAACAGAATTTAATTTAGTAGATAAATTTTTTGTTTTTCTTTTCTCCATTTGTATCACATTGATCTGTTGTCATTGTATTTTATCAATTAGGATTTGGTGTGAATTTTTTTTTTCTTTTCATTGTGAATCAAAGGTCAATGTGGTATATATTGGGGTATTATTTGTAACTATAATGATCGTGATCATGTGATGGATTGAAATTGATTTTTTTTCACATTACAAAAAATAAAGCCATTTTTGATTGAGCACAAGTTTAAAATGTCAACTTTATTATTTCAATAGCCAATAGATGACCAAAAAAGAGATTATCTGATGGTGATGAAAAATTCAATAAAACGCGCGCATTTCGATTGTTCATTGTTCAAACAAACAAACAAAAACGAAAGAAATATGTGCAACACAGAAATTTGAAAAAAATGACTAATGGTGTGATTCGACGAATGTTCATCATCACAATTCGACCTATTCGCTTCATCAATCATTACATTTTTTTTGGCCAAAAAAAAAATCCTTTGGCAAACTAGATATAGAAGATTTGACATAAATGAATCAACGCCATACACACACAAACAAACACAATCATCATCAATTCAAATGTCTGATACACATATAGATTATCATTGTTTATCATCATCATCATCAGGCCCATCTTTTTTTTTTTTCATCCTGCTGTTGTTTGTTATCATTGTTGTATTTCATTCAATCAGAATCAGAAAATAAAAAATTGAATCAAATTTTTAAAAAAATCATCGTTTGGTTTTTTGTTTGTTTCAACCTGTTTTTTTTGTTTTGTTTTTGTTTTTGTTTTTCATCTTGTGAAGAGGCGCGAACACACACACACAGAAAAAATTATTAATTTTTCAAAAATAGCCACGAAACAACAACAACGGCATTATCGAATTTTACAAATCTCATTTTTCAAATAAACAAAAAAAAATGAAGGAAAAAACCTCAAATTTCAATAATTTCACCAAAATGAATGGATGTGATGAACAAAAAACGAACTAACCCTCATATATTTGTGTGTGTGTGTGTGTGTGTGTGTACCATGACCGAAAATAAAACAAAAACAAAAACAACGAAAACAAAAAACTTGGAAACTGCTGGGCCATCCAAAAAATAGTTGCCTGCTTGTTGTTGTTTTTGTTGTCAGCTCTCAGCTGGATACACAATTGATGATCGAATATTTGGTCCACCACCACCACCATCATCATCATCAACAACATTGATAACAATAGATTTTTCGACGATGATGTGGATGATAATGATAAAGTTGATGAATTGATCAATGGAATTGATGAGGATGAAAATGATGAATTGAATATCATTTTTTGGGTCAAATAATTTAAGCATTTTTGGATTTCAATTCCACAGACAACCAGATAGGTTAGATAAGGTGATGATGAGGGTACCTTGTACTTAGTGGCTGACCCAAATTAATTATTATTTAATTATCTTGATTTCTGGTCAATTCCAGTTTTTTTCCATACATTCATTAACATTAAAATTTGATAATAATTTGGTTAAACCCACGATTATACCCCACTGGCTTACTATACCACCATTATGTGTCAATGAATATTTTTTTTTTTTTCAGTCAGAAAATGGCTAAAGTTATGCATGTTTTGATCTTTGTGTCTGTATTTGTGTGTATGTGTGTGTGTGATACATCAATTAATCAACCTGAAAACTTGAAAAACTTTTTTTTTATTATTCTGACACAATCGGGCAATTGGTACAACAAACTCTTCTCTCTCTCTCTCAATCTCTCGCTTCGTATTATTGGCTTGGTCTCGGATTTTTTTTTATATATTTTTTTACCAGACAAGTAATAACCGACCAAGTAGTAGTATATATTTCGTGGAGATCGACTGTGTTTGAGGAAAAAAAGGTATTTAAAGATTGATTTTTTTTCACCTGATATCACAACAACAACAACAACAGCAACAATTTTTAACGGAAAACTTGTGTCTAGGTCAAGTTCAGCTTAAAAAATGATTTTTTCATTCATTCAAATTTCATTCTTCGATGATGATGGTGTTATGTTATGATCACCAGAAAAAAATATTATTATTATCATCAAACCATACCATTAAAAGAAATAGTCTGAATAGATATGGATACCATGGCCATCATCATCAGGAGAGAAAGAGAAAAGAATGTGTGTGTGTGTAAATCATTCATATATGAACACAACACACACAAACAGACACCACATTCAATTTGCAAAAACAATTTCAAACAAAATAAAAAAAAAAAAAATCTTATGAATGAAGGAATCATCATTGCCATTTCCGGTCAAAGGTCAAAGTTCAATGTTAATGATATATTTTTTTTAAATATTTCGTTTTTGTCAATAAGATTCAATTTCAATGAAGAAGAAGAAGAAGAAGAAAAAAGATTTGATTTTCAAATGATGATGATGAACACGCTGACCGTCTTTTTCTACTTTGCAACCTTTGACCTCATTTTTGCTCTCTCTCATTGATTTAAAATGATGAAGATGATCCATGGTGAGAATTTTTTTTTGTTGTTGTATACAAAAACAACAACAACAAAAGAAAAATTTAATAATCCGTAATTATGATCTATTTGGCTTGAATGATTTTCAATTTCTTGGGCCGTATTTTTTTCGGTTTATTTACTCACCATCAGCATTATGATGATTTTTTTTTTTTTTTTGTCCCGACAACAAGGTCAGATTTCAATTTATTTATTTTTTTAGAGAAAAATTTTTTTTTCATTTTTATACAAGTCTCAGGCTTCTGAGTTTGTGTGTGTGTGTGTGTCGAGCAACAAGTGTTTGATTCATTCAAACAATTTTTTCTGTAATCTAGAAAAGTTTGCGTTGTTTTCATTGTTTCCTTTTTAACAAACAACATTCTCCTATAGGTTACAAGGTCATCATCGTTGTTTGGTTCTAGTTTTAGTGGTTTTATTATTATTTTCATTAACCACCGTCATTCATTTATTTATTCCAGAAAAAAAATGAATGACCAAAGTTCACCATGGAGAATAAATAAACAAAACAAAAAAGAGCGAAACAACAAGTGTTCTTCTCAGGTGTGCGTGTATGTATTCAAAAAATAACCCTACCAAATAGCCAAACAACAACAACAAAAGCAATCCATGCATGAACTTAACCCTTTTTCGTCGACATATTCCCGCGCCTCATATCATAATGTCGTCATACAAATGTGAAAACTTTGTGCGAATGAACGTGATAATAATGACAACGACAAAAGATTTTCTCTCATCATAAACGATCATAAAACTTGTACAACACACACACACAAAAAAGATCTTATCTTTTTTTGAAGAAAGAAAATAATTAACCATTAGATTAATGAATGAAAAAAAAGTCGTTTTGGGTGGAATTTTGAAAAAAAGCCTTTAAATAATAATGATCGTGACTAGAATTCACTTGTTGATGATGATTCTTGTTTTTCTTTGTTGTGAGCATTTGTGATTAAATTCTGTACCATCCATGATGATGATGGCCTTTGACCTTGGTCAAACAAATCTGAGAAAGTGAATGTTCATCTTTGAAAGAATTTAGTTGCGCCGACCATATGTGATGTGCAGTGTGTGTGTGAACATTTTTTTTTTTGCACATTCGATAAGAAAATAAAATAAAAAACCCTAGGTATGATAATCATGATTATGATGATGATGAAATAATAAAAAAAAAGAATCAAAATCAAAAGATTTCGATGAGATGATAACCATTTGAAAACAAAATAATAATCA